CCACTACTAACAAAAGCAAAATTAATAATCAACTGCCAGTGAAATGGCTACCATTTAAGATTAATAAACTCATTTTTAAACGTTTTAAAAAAAGATGATGATGTTTTCTTTTATATTTGTTACTTTATCATCAAAAAATTCTTCTCTTCTCGCCTCTCCTTAGAAAATAGGTATATTTGTCAACTCAGAACTCCGTTATTAGTAAACGGATTTGAAAATATATTTTATATAATACCCTAATAAAATGTATGTATTTACGAAAAAAAAGTATTTGAGTATTCTATCAGTCAATCTATATTTCATAGTACAAGCTCTGCTTAGTTTGAAACTAGATGGCGTTGTCAGATGTCCGAAGAAAGACAATTATTATTATTCTTCCAGTAAGTCGATAGTATGTAGTTAGAGTTACAACAAAACAATGACAAGTGCTGTCTCTCCACGCGTAGTCATAAAGGCTTACTACTGTTTGCCGTATACAATCGACATAAAATGATCTCACTTATGGCTCTATAAATTGTAACTCGAAAGCAGATTCTTAGAAGATGCCAGTTGTAAGCCAGTTTAAAACTAAACTTACAATAAAGGCGATTATGAATAACAGTTGAGCAATTGTAAAAAAGAAATACTTAACAAAATTCAAACACTCGCAAAACGGACGTTTAATATTAATTTGTAAAAAACTATAAACATATAAATATTTTACTAATTAAAACGTTTTAGATCCCCTTGATTGAAATTCACATTAACGATAACACACAATATTAATTGTTAAATTAATTATTTTATAATCTCTCTACATATGGGTTTGATAAATTCACAAGGCAACTAGCCACGTAACATCACACTACGACTGTTAGGGTATAAGCAGTTGAAACGCAGGTGAAACTACAGAGTCAGTAGAATTCTGATAGATTGTAATAACAAGAGGATTACCAGAGAAGGATCAGACCCCGCTGGTTACTGGGTCTGTGGACACTATGCAGTTATAACACCTTTAATTTGTGACACAATATTCAGATGGGGAGAGTACGAAGCCTACATGGCTTTCCATATGATGATAGTGGAGGATGCATCACCGACATAAATTCATGCGGCTTTCATCGTAACTTACATAATATATTACCTCCTTCCTAAGGAGAGGCCTATGTCCAACAGTGGACTGTTAAAGGCTGTTGATGTGATGTGATGACATGCATCTGAGTGAGTGAATAGTTAAATTTGTTTATTTAATTGGTTTGTTTGTAACGCATTCACGCCTTAAGTGCTCAGCTGGTTAACATTAAATTTTGCACACATTTAGAAAAAATATGGTAAATTTTATAAGGAAAAAAAAGGATGATTCTCAAACACAGAAAAGGAATAATATTGTTATGTGTACTCAAATACCTTTTTGACAAAAACTATTTTCAAGCAAGCGAATTCGATTATATTATATTTATTACTCGAAGCGTAAATAAAACTCGTGTTATGAGAAGCTGATGAACTGTTCTCATTTATTTTCATGAATCACTGGCAATCGTGTTAGAAATTAAGTATATGCAACGGTATCTATAAATGTGGTGCATATTAAGTTTTAAGAAACAAGCTTTTGCCCCACGTATGATAAAAAGTAACCTATATTGCTCGCTTTTAAATCGGTTAAGCGGTTTAGGCGTGAAAACGTAACAAACAAACAAACTCATTTTCACAATTATTTATACTATAATTATGGATTATTAGATACAGTGCTATCCAGCTGAGTCATACCACGGCCTCACAGAAAACCATTGCTTTTCAGCAATTATGTGACGTTACCCCAGCTTATCAGTCACCTCCAACCCCCCCCCCCCCCCCCCTCCTAATTGTCGACTGCACGGATGGCGTGGTGGTTTAAGCGGTCGCCCCGCGCCCCTTACTACTACCCTGAGTTTTACCAAAGAGACCACCCAAGAGAAATATTGTGTGATGAGCACGATCATTTGTCCTGTGTCTGGATGTAATTTATTTATAGTATGTTTGTATTGAGAAATATATATGTATCTTTATCAACAGTCTGGTTACGATAGCACGGATTCTGCCTAGTATGGGATTAGACTGCCGTGTGTGAGATGGGTAAAGTTATTATTATATTAACGAGATAAATCAGAAGGTAATAAAAAGAATTATAGATTTTTTTAACTTATTTCAATAAAAGTTTCGTAAATTTCAGTTTCAGAATCACCGAAATATTTACGGTTCAAATCTTACGATCGATCCGCATCTATGTCTAACGCGATTATTCTGTAAAATGTCAATTATTATAAGGTATACAAAAGTTTTAAATTAATTCGCCTGTTGTTAAAGGCCTATTGTTAAACGAAAATAAATTATTATGTCTCAACACTGCAGCGAACACCAAATGAAGGTAGATATACAAAAATTTATTTACTATGAAAATAATATTTCGGACATCTGACACACAACGCCATCTAGTTTTATACTAAGCAGAGCTTGTACTATAAAAGCTAGATTGATTGATAGAATACTCAAATACTTTTTTTGTAAATACATACCTATTATACACAGGAAACACCCAAACTAGAAACTAAATATTTGCAGATCATACAAACATTTGGTCCGACCCAGGAATCGAAGCTGAGACCTCAGCACAGCAGTCGCATACGCTACCACTACATCACCGAGGCAGTCGAAGATATAGATTGTAGTGTATAACTATCGCAGTCCACTGGTGGACATAGGCCTCTCCCATTGCACGCCACTTAGTTAATAATAACGTTGTTCTAGTTCGATCGCCTGAAACATAGTTTGGCCTTGTTCAGGCAGGCGGCCCTTTCTTTTTTTTCTGGTGACGATCGGAAAACCCCTTCGCACGCAGGTATAGGAGTATATGTTGATTCCACTAAAAACCACCCCGTCGGCAGGCCTCAGGCGGCCTACTCTAGGAAGGACCCGGGCCATGTGATTTCAGGACCCCGGCTCGACGCTGGACCTACTAGGCCCTATCCCGAGGGAAGCCAGAAGCTTCCCCCGCCTACCACTTAATCTAGGAGCCCGATCGCATTTTGGTGCAATCAGGCCGCACCCATGTCTACCGCAGTAATCAATCTGCCACCAGAGGTCCCCACTCTCTTGCAGCCTGCGGTCCCTCTACGAGTATGCTCGGCGTCTAGGCAAGCGGTGCCTAGTTTTGAACGAAATGTTAATTCTCCTAACAACCTTCATGTATTATATAAAAATCATGAGTAAAAATACCTGTAAGAATAAAATATAACAACTATATTTTTACACTAGTGTAACTTAGTTTTATTATTGTCTAACATCTATTTTAAACCGCAATGGTTTTTTTTTAATATATTAAAAGACAACTCCCGCACAAGGATTATATCGCTGGGGACTTTACAAACATACATGGAAACGGACACAAGACACAAAGAACACCCAGACTCAGAACAACAATTTGTAAATCACACAAAGTGTTGTCCCGTGTCGGACCCGCAATACTCAGCGGCAAGAAATCGCCCTATACATTACTTTCTTAAAAGCGTAGCAAAAAAAATAGCTGCCTGCCCTTTCCTCACACTTGTGTAATGAAGACCAATTCCCCTCTTTACAGTTTTTATTACTTTTTTAATAATAGAACTAAAACAATGATTTGTGAATGTAACACATAAAACAATGTCAGAAAGTAAACCACTAAAATTCGGTTTGACAATTCTGATAATAAATTCTGAAGATCACGAAGCTGTCTTTTGTTTCATTCTGTCAATTTTTTTTTAAATAAATATTTTAAAGTTCTTTTTTCTCACTTTTACGTACAATTTCTCAAAAAAAAAAAACTCAAAATGTTTGTTTTCGTACAAACTCTAAACACATACAAAAACAATAAGCAGTAGATAGCGACTGTTCAGACCATACATAATAATATAAATTAATATTTATTTAAATGGAACTTTGAATTTATACTATCAAATACTAAGTTACGGTAGGTACTATATGAAAGACGTTGAACAAATGGTTCACGACTATTATCTTAATTGTCTGAGGAGGTAAGTTTGAATTTTATTACTTTTATAAGTATTACATAAACTAAAAAGACGCAAGAAACTTATTAGTCTATTGTAGGTATATCTGTCATAGCAAACGATTCTTCAGCATCTTCTCAGAGAACCGGTAATTTTTTTAAATAAGAATTAAACAGACGTGAAAATGTTTTTTTTAACACAAAATGCTGGCAACATTTTAATATCATACTAGCTGACCCGGCCAACATTGTTTTGCCATATACATTATTTCAATTTCTTTTGTCAAAAATAAATAAATTTGGGGTATGAAAAATAGATGTTGTCCGATTCTCAGACCTACCCGATATGCACACAAAATTTCACGAATATCAGTCGAGCCATTTCGGAGGAGTTCAACTTCTAACACCGTGACACGAGAATTTTATTTATTAGATGAATTATAATAATATTTTACAAGACAGAAGGTCAAAAAAAACTTTATGTACCTAACTAATACTAATGATATCGAAGGAATCTTAGGAATTGTCAAAGGCATGAATAAATAGATATGAAAATTGTTAAGATGTTTTAAGAAACAATCGTTTACGCGAAGGTTTTATTTCAAATTGATCCTATCGTATCACAAATAATTTTTCTAATAGGTACGTGTTTAAATATAAATAAATTGGTTAAACTTTAAAATTAATAGTCAAAGAAAATTTACGTAATTACAGATTTATTTGTCAAGGCTTTAGGTATATGAAAACCTTTAGGCTTCAAAGATGAAAGTTTTGCTTTTTACTATCGATAAATCAATTTTCTACTTTCTATACAAACACATTTTTTTTTATTTGTCTACCTACATTTAAAGTTATTGAATTAATTTTTAAACTAAAATTTAAAATACTTTTCACTCGAATTATATTCAGAAACTATGATGCATGCTTACTATGTGCAATAACGATTACCTATTATATTTTCTAAATGCACTAGTCTCATTACTTTAAGAATACGACTTACCTTATATTTCATTTTGAATTAAAATCGTCTTCTTCCAAGTACAACACAACACTAATAATAAAATAAAACTATTAACTACAATATTTATAATAATAGAATAATCGCTCATAAAACAAAAAATCCGTCGAAGTATTTTGAATGCGATGCTTTGGCGCGGAATCGCGACATCCGCGCTTGCGTACTGTGTGACTGCGCGGTAATGGCTGCGCTTTACGCGACACGGCGGTTTTGCTTCCCCGCCATTGCAGTGCAACGACCCAACACTGTTAGCTGAAACAAACACTTCCTACGGTCCGAGTGCAATGAAGGTGAAGGCAAACTAAAGGTGACGTGCGAAATGAAATGGTTGTCGAAAAAGTTTGTCACAATGCATCAGCGAGACGGTACCGCGGCTACGCACTTCTCACGGTTTTTATTGCAAATACTTTGTTAAGACACTGACCCACTATAATTTAGCAACTGATAACGCAAAAACGATTACAATTCGATCATTGATCAATATTTAGCGGCTACCTACCGTTATTTTCGAAAACATTAATCTACTAGAATAGGTACAGTTATATAAATTGATGAGAATCTCTTTGCTTTTTTTTTTATAAGACATCTCCCGCACTTGGAATATAATCCTGAATCGCGGGGACTTTACACACTATTATGAAATGGATACAAAGAACACCCAGACTCAGAAGAACAAGTTTTGGATCACACTAAGTGTTGGCGTAGTGATTTAAGCGGTCACCTCGCCGCTTCCTACTGCGCTAAAGTGTTGTGGGTTCGATCCCCGCATGGGGCATCACTTTGTGTGATCCACAAATTGTTGTTGTGAGCCTGGGTGTTCTTTGTGTCCGTTTCATGTATGTTTGTAAAGTCCCCCGCGACACAGGATATGTTCCTAGTGCGTGAGTTGTCTTTTAAAAAAAAATACCATTCACAGCCCACAAAACCAAGTAGTTGACGATATCACAAGAGACGTTAAAATATTGATATAGACACTTGTCTACTTACCTAATAATGTCTGGAACATTTTACAAAAGTTAAAATGAATAGACGCAAGCTCAAATTGAAGACTAAGTACTTTTTAATGTACCCTCAATTCTGTTATGCTTTGGCAACAGAATGTTGTTTGTTTTCTTGCTTTGCACGGTGATGTTCACAAAAAAAGTTAAGCGCGATTTTTTTAAATTGTTTTTCATACAAACCGTGTTCTGACAATAACGTATACAACAAAAAAATACCATCATCATCATACCAAATACCATCAGTAGATGAAAATTCTAACAATCAATTCATTGGTAACTTATGTATTAAGAAATACTTCCAAATATTGAAACTATGTCTTTTTTTTTCAATAAAGCAAAAAAGCTTCGCCTGTAAAAACCACTTAATGGTAGATAGAAGAAATAAGCCCTAAAGCGACGAGTAGTAAACGTAAAGTAAGTGTTCCTTTGTATATTAAAAGAAGGGTTAGTTAAAAAGCTCATGTCTAAAATAATTTGATAGAGCTTTGTTTCCAATATAAATCAATATTAAACAAGTCTACAAACGAGTTCTGCTTACTAAGAAAACTTTTGTGCCACAATACATTATATTATATTTTTGTGAATTATAGCGACATCTAGTTCTATAAGTTAAAACATATTCGAAATCGTTGTATTTGCAGCACTGGTGTACAGTCCATTTTTTTAAAACCACCCAATAAACAACTCAATCGAATTACTACATGATGTAAAATCAAAGTTTGGGTTTCAGGCACTATTAAATTCTAGCAATTATAGCTATTTTACAGAATAACAATTTTAACTGCATAATTTGTTGCGTTTTTCATAATTTTGCACTTTCCAAACGTACCTTTTTTTAGTTGGCAGCATTGTTTTTCAACTATTAATCAATCAATACCTACTGTCAGTGTCACTGTCAGCTGAAAGAACCAAGCGGCAAGCATTATAGTGTGATTATAGTAAACATGGCATAATTAGATTTGGTTGATGATTTTATTTATTGATTTAAATCAAAGAAGAAAAGTTAATTGTTGAAATTCTCAAGATGATGGATCATATACGGCAATTTGACTGGTACAATAGTTTAAATATATAATCTTTTCATTTTTATTTATTGTTACCCAATTTAATAGAGCCTTTAAAATTAAGCCAGTTTTTCGTTATTTTGTAGTTGAAAAAAAGTGATAAACAGAAAATAAATTTTAATATTTAAAAAAACAACTAAAACCCAGGCAATAAAATCTGTAGTGCATTGAAATAATTAGAAGAACATTATTAAAAACAAGAATAACGTAGGCCTGAGACAATAGAATAGTTTAGAGTAGAGAGTAGACGAGAGATAGAGTTTAGACGGTTAGGAGATCAAGGCCCTCTGCATGCAATGGGCTAGCTGTCTTTGGCAGCCAAGATCAATTGGGATTTCCTAGGCTGTATGTAAGTCCCTTGCAATAGACTCACATGTAAAGGAACACTGTGTTTTAGTTGATTTGATTCTGACATACAAAGTCACTGTGAGTCCTGGTGAGGTGAGAACCCGTGAGGTTTAAAAAAAGCAATAGGTTATAATATTTAATTTGTATTTTTAGGTGCACATCAACAACATCAGGACCATTTTTCATAGAAGAATCTGTATTAGATAACTGCAATACAGAGAAGATTATAACGAACAGATTCGTTGACCCTCTTGCATCAAGTGATGATGAGGAACATCCGCCTAATGTTATTGACTGGGATAATGTATTTAAAAATAAAGATGTGGGTAATATTAAATAAAACATCAATATTTTTTTTCAGAACTTATAATTGTGAACACACATATACAAATTACATGGGTTAGCCATCTGGCTCAGTTGTCTAATTGTGATCACATTAACTTTCATTTTTTACATCACAGTCCACAGCTGAAGATAGACCTCTTCAAACATTCACCTTAGCACCTGGGCCGTGTTTGCCTTATGGTGATGTCTTAAGAATACACATCAGTACCACTTTTTAGTCATGATTGTGTAAATCAAGCTGAAAACATCACTGCAAAAGGAAATCTGGAATTACAACTTTATATCATTCCATCTGCCTGATGTGATAACAGTAGACAAAACCCCTCCAATAAGAAAAGGCTGTAATATTATATATAATTTCTTGAAGCTTATAAGATTCAACACTTAATTAAAAACCATTATAATAAATTAATAGAATTAAACATGTTATTATGGGTATAAATAAAACTAAAAGAAGCAAACTGTATATATGTTTCTAAATGAATTAACTGTTATTATTTTTTTTAAATATTTTGTTACAGTCCAAGCAAACCCCAAAAATGTTTGTACCTGGCCTGCGTCCTGTGGCCCAATATCCTAAATTATCTGCGCTCACGGCAGCGCAGCACCATAAAGGTTTGAAAGTGCTCTGTGCCATGTACCCAAATATACTAGAGGAGATGCAAATTCTCAGGCCTACACAAATGGGCAGAAGAAATTTTGAGGTAACTGCCTATATTGAGAAATATTGTTTAAAAAAAAAAAAAAGCAAAAAAAAAGAATATTATTACTAAAATTGGGCTAACCCAAAATATGACATTTGTGTCTAAACACAAAACTAAATGTGTGATTCTCAAGATGATGGATTATATACGACAGTTTGACTGGTACAATAGTTTGAAAATATAATCTTTTCATTTTTACTTATTGTTACCTAATTTAGCCTTTATTTTATTTAGACTTACAGTTTCTTGTTATTTTGTAGTTGAAAAAATGCCAAACAGAAAATAAATTTTATTATTATTATTTATTATTATCAATATTATTCGTGAAGACCTGTTAATGGCTGAATGTATACAATATTGAATCAATTTGTAAAGCTGTTGGTCTTCAAAGATCAAACAAATAAATAAATAATTTGAGCAAAAATATTTTACATAATATTTTGTGAGTGAATGTAATACAATTTTTAATGGTCGTAATTAAATTGTATGTTTTCCTGTTTGTATGTTTTGTAATTTCTCTGTTAAGGTCTGTTAAAAATTTGCATTTGTCCTGGGTGGGATTGAACCTGTAACCTCTGGTTTAGCAGACAGGTTTACTAACCACTAGACCGACAGGCCAATCTATTGTAGGTTTTCGCACACAGTCTTACACACAGTAAGCAAAAGTCTTATAGCAAACTTATTTATTAATTTTTGTACTTTGAAGAAACATTTGTATGTAAAAAAAGACTAAGTTGGTTTGTGTACACTTCAAAACTCAAAAATTGCACCGATTGGGCTCAAACTTTGATCCAATATTCAACATGCTTTAAAGATCGTTTTTATCTATTTTAGTCAATAAAAATGTGTCACAGCAAAGATTTTCTATAAATTTAAATCAACCAACCTAGTTTTTTTTTGGTTCGAAATGAGTTTTAAAATAAACTGTTTGATAAAACTTTAAATGAAATTTTAGGTTTTAAACGAAGTGTATGAGAAGGAACAAAAAGAATACATAGAATGGGCTAAATCTCTATGGGTTAGCGCCCACTGCGTTCGTGCATTACGACCCAAGCCAGCTATCGAAACGATATACGAAGCTGAGTTCAAAGTTAGAGCGCATCGGTTAAGTGGGTACCCACAACGGTTTGATATGGCAGCACAGATCCCACTGGCATGTACAAAGCCTCATCAATATGAGGCAACACTGAAGGAAACTTTAATCGACGTAAGTCCTAAATTCAAATTAAAAACTAAACAGGTCTCTTTAAAACCAACAATTAACTTATTGACAAAAATTGGCGCTTTTTACTTTGTTATTTAAAAATTCCAAATCCAAAAGAAATTTGCAAAATGAAGGTTTTAATAGATTATTAATTTGAAATATTTGTTTATTATATTTTGTTTTTAGAACTAGGCCAGAACCTCCTTTCTGGGTAGAGGCCTATGTCCAGCAGTGGACTAGTAAAGGCTGTTGATGATGATGATTTTGTTTTTATGTTTTGTGGGTTTGTGTGATGCACAAATTGTTGTTCTGTGTCTGGGTGTTCTTTGTGTCCGTTTCATGTGTATTTCTTAAGTACCCCGCGACACAGGATTTATTCCTAGCGCGGAAGTTGTAATTTAAAAAGATTATTTATGGTTAAAAATAAACTTATAACAGTCCTTATAAAACTTTATTATTTATTTAATAGCAAATTACCGTATAAATAAATAAACGTTAAACGATTCTAGGTACATGTGAGAGATCTGCCCCACGTCAGCTTACCACAGCCGATAGTAAAACTCACTTCTATCATCAAACCATGTACAGTTCCTGAGCCGTGCCACAAACACCCGTACCCATTCATATTACCAAGTAAGTATGGGCACGTAAGTTGGTACTACATTAGTAACAGAACTGCACACTATGACTATAATGCTACAAGTATATGGAATTAAGAAGAATTAGAAGATCAGTTACGTCACTGAGTAGTTAACGTCTAACGTATAATGTTAAAACCTTCTTTCTAAGGAGAGGCCTATGTCCAGCAGTGGACTATTAAAGGCTGTTGATGTGTATAATGTTATTTATCATGTACTAGCTTTTGGCCGCTTATATGTCGGTTATCGCGGTAAAAAATAGCATAGGTCTGCTCGTTTGCCCACTATTCCATAAAAAAAATGTCCTTCATCAAGAATCAAACTATCTCCATATCGAATTTCATCTTTATCGATTCAGGGGTTATTGATTCCTCATACAAACTTCCACCCTCCTTTTCACCCCTTTAAAGTATAATTTCTGGGATAAAAACTATCCTAAATCCTGTCCCGAGACTCTAACTATCTCTATACCAAATTTCATCTAAATCGCTTCAGCGGTTTAAACGCGGTTTATTTTGGACTAGCTGAGACCCGCGGTATTCCCCGCGTTTAGTGTTATAACCGCAAAGCGAAGGTAGTCTAAAAAAAGTAAACTTAATTTACTCTTTATGTCATCAGCTATCTGCCAGTGAAACTCCCGTCGAAATCGGTCCAGCCGTTCCAGAGATTACCCGGAACAAACAGACAGACAGACAGACAGACAAAAATTGTAAAAAATGTTATTTTGGCATATATACCGTGTAAACATACATATGCATTTAGTAAAAAGCGGTTATTTTAATATTACAAACAGACTCCAATTTTATTTATTTGTATAGATTGATGTAGAATGTGCCTTACACTCCACTAAGTAAAAATATATCTAAAACTATTTTTTCAGCTGAAACCAGTGTGTCAATACTGCCAATTATGGAACTGCACAGAGAACTGGCTCAATATGCAGCTGCCAATGGCTCTAAATTCATCGCCAGTGAAAATGCTCTGCGATGCCTCATGGAATTCAACAGGCACTGGTCCATACCAGTGACCGTATGTAGTGTTTTTAATCATGGTAAGTATCGTTGTATATTATTGGAATTGTAATAAATTGGCTTGTTTATGGTCAAATGTTTAGAATACTAGTTGTGTGGTACATGAAAGTGAAGTGAAAGATGAGTCATCACATCATCGGCCTCTAATAGTCCACTGCTGGACATGGGCCTCTCCTCAGAAAGGAGGTTTTGTCCTACTATACCACGCTGGCCAGACGGGTTGGTATAGGGTTTGTGTTAAGTTTTCCTTCTCTTTGCAGCGCTCTTATCCTGCATAGTTTTTTCCCCTAGTCGGCTCTTACGACACCCACGGGATGAATAGGGGTGGTGACACTCCGTATTCTTAATCCGTCTGGCCAGCGTGGTATAGTAGGCCAAAACCTCCTTTCTAAGGAGAGGTCTATGTCCAGCATTGGACTGTTAAAGGCTGTTGATGAATAGATTCCCTATATTTTTAAGATCGTGGAATAACTAAAAATATTAAAAACAATATAATATATAGTTAGAAATAGTTTTAAGATTGTGTTATCACTATTAAGAGTTCTATTGTATTTATTTATACCAATAACAGAAGGTGAAAGGTGCAACGTCATAGTTTTGGACAGCGAGTTCACGATAAACAAGGAGCCAGCCACCATCAGGACATTCAAAGCGTTTAGACATCTTCTAGAACATACACTAATACCGTAAGTGTAATTCAGATTCACCATTTTATACGGTCTTTTAAATAATGTAAGCGTTATCAATGGAGAACTACTTTTTCCTAGATGGAAGATACCTTTATTTTGGACTAGAAGAAAGCCCGTCAATGGCATCTCTATACTGGGGTTTGCGCTGTTATGTTGTATCGGAACGAAACCGACTAAAATTATATTATACTGCACCGTAAATAGGAGGGATCCGCGAACAGCTTTTATTAAATATCCGGACTCCTCCTAACACCTGCCCGCAAAATTGCGTCGGCAATACCTAATAAAATTCTATGTATTTCTTTTTGTTTTCTTTGTCTGGGATATTTACCCCTATAACGACATAACGCATATGGAGGGGCACCTCAGTACCAGCTTCTCCCTCTGGACCGCATCCAACGAAGAGCGACTCGAATCGTCGATAGCTCAAACATCTCCGATCGGCTCGATCCCTTGGCGTTACGTAGAGATGTGGCTTGACTCTGCATTCTCTATCGCATATATCATGGAGAGTGCTTCGAGGAATTGTTCGGACAAATACCAGCCGCAAATTTCCGCCATCGTTCCACACGGCAAAATTTTTATCCTCATTACCTGGATAGTTGGCGCTCCGCTACTGTGCGCTTTTCGAGACACTTTTTGCTGTGGAATGGGTTATGTCTGCGGTATTTCCGGACCGTTACGACATTCAAACCTTCAAGGAAAGAGTGTACTCCTTCCTAAAAGGCTGGCAACGCGTTTGTGACTCCTGAGTTGCCGACGTTCATGGGTGGCGATGGTCACTTTCCATCAGGTGACCCGTTTGCTCGTCTGCCCCCTCTGACATAGGAAGTAGTCTCAAAAATGCGACCAGCTGTGACAAGGACGGAATATGGGGTCAAAATAACAGGGAAATCGTGTGACGTCATTTATGGATTGCCCCTATTTTATTTAACCACAAATTCCACTATCCTTTTATTTTTACAAATTGTTTAATTGAGAAACGAGTACATGTTTACGAATTTCTAGGTCATCAGAGGTAGAGAAAGCAATAGAGAAAATGAAGAACAATAAACAGAAAGAGCCCAAAAAGAAAAAGCACGCTACTCCTTTTGAAGAGATGGATGTAGAACCCGAATTGTCCAGTGACGAGGAGCCTTTGGGCTTGTGTATTATGGAAGATTATGATGTCGATAATGCACGTATGTCCCTACTCACCCTTTGACAAATTATTATCCTATATTGCAGTAAACCATTTTCAAATAAGATAAAAAGAATAAATCGTAGATACGGAAGGATACGGATACATAAAAAATATAATAATATAATATCTCACACATCTCACACACGACGATCTGATTCCAAACTAGGCAGAGCCTGTACTATGGTAACCAGACTGCTGATAAACGTACTTATATATTTTTAAATAGATACATATCTATCTAGATATAAGAGATTTCCACGTATATAGTCACTCATCACGATATCTCTGGAACCATTAGAGCTAAAGACTTGAAATTTGGTAGGAATATTCTTTTCACCGAGTAGAGGTCAGCTAAGAACGGATTTTATGAAATTAGAAAAAAAAAAATGTAAATAGCAAAACAACGTCTGCAGGGTCAGCTAGTTATTGATAAATTACACCCAGACATATAGCGTATATGTACTACTTGCATGTAAGGAATAACCAGAAACTTATCCTTAATTCCAAAACTTAATTAAAAGACTTTGTTAGACATGGCATGCTGTACAAACTCTAACAAATCAAATTTAGCAAGAAATAAGTAACGTTTTAGTATTCACCAATTGTTTGACTTTAGTTAATTATTATTGATGTTTTCTTATTTCGCCCAGCATTATAATAATAATAATAAATTGTTAATTTTCAATACATTTTTTACATAATTATAGCTTGCACAAGAATTATTACCAAATTTTATACTGTGGGAGACTGGTGCCTAAGCTAGGCTCAGAGCCTGTGTTTCAGGACACCAGGGTCCCCTCCTTAATTGTATACATTTCTGTTAGGATTGTATCAGCGCTTTTGACAATTAGTTGTGGTCGAGCTATTAGAGAGTATACAATGTACCTATATATATATATGTATATGTTTTCAGTTTATTTGTTCATATGTGCGTTCGTGTATGTAGATGTGTGCGTGCATGTGTGTGTGTGTGTGTGTGTGTGCTTATAATAGAGGGTTTAGGATCGTGATGTACCTATGTCTATGCTAAGACAGCAAGCATCTTTAAAATGTCGTCGTAAAAACAAACCTTTGTAAGTATTCTATCCATCTAGCTTTCAAAGTACAAGCTCTGCTTAGTTTGAAACTAGATGGCGGTGTGTCTCACGACCGAAAATATTATTATTATTAATCCTGTATACCTTGAATTTACTTATAACTTTTATTTTTATTTTAGCAAATTCTGAAAAATCCGACACCACACCAGCAGGTAAAACGGATCAGGATTATTACGAAGAACACACAGACAGTCCTTCACACAAGAACAAAGCTATGGCTAACGGCGATGTATCGCTAGAAGACATCAACGATATCATCGGAGTGTATAACTGCACTTGTTCAGGTTCGTTTATCATAGCAAAAAAGATTCAATCAACATTCTAATAGTTAAGTAACATACCTTTTTTTTCTTTTCTTTTTTATAAAAGACAACTCCCGCATTAGGAATATATGTGTCGCGGGGGACTTTACAAACATACAAGAAACGGCCACAAAGAACACCCAGACTCAGAACATCAATTTGTGGATCACATAAAATGTCGTCCCATGTGGGGTTTGAACCCACAACACTCGGCGTAGCGACCGCTTAAACCACTACGCCATCCGTGCAGTCATGCAACCTATGTTTTGCAACTTCCAAATCATTGTAATGAACATTTTGAAAAATGTATCTCATAGTTCATATAATATATTTTTGTATTGATTTAAACTACCAGAGTCAATTTCACTTGATAACTTATCGCGATCGAGTTTCAAACAGTAGTAGTGGACTAATTGCGACGCGCGTTGTAAACGAACTAGAAAGAGATTTGTGGTCATGGCGCTCGAAAAATAAACATGGTAAATATCCCGTTTACCAGCTGGCGTGCCCATGTGGGCAAAAGTTCCTTCAAAACATTAGAATTTAAAAAAAAAACCGTTTCCAATAACTTATCAAGTAACATTTTTGCCCCAATAAAACTATTGCGAATATCTTTACAATGTGTGATCCAACTTTCAGAATATCTTGTAAATTATTATACACAGGAACGTTAGTTGGATCTTTTCTATTCAACAGGATGCAAATAGCAATTAATGTATTTTTGCTAATTTAAGTCAGAAAAACACATACCTATAGGTACTACGTACACGTACACACAAATGTGCACGTAAGCACGCACACCCTCCCGCATATGTTTTGTTTTTTCTAATTTTGAAGTGACACAATTTACCTAAAACCTATTAATATAATAAATGTATACAGGATTTTAATAGAAATGTGTAATAGACAAATTTTAGGAGTTTTAGGTGTAACTGGAAAAGCTTGAAAAATTTAACTTTTATAAATTTTTAAATATTTTTTCGGGGTTTGCTGATAATAATTTTCATGCATTTTTTAAATTTTCTTACCTTCGGAATATGCTGTTTCTGGTAGTTGCACATTTCCAAACAATATAATATAAACTTATTTATGCATACTTTTAGTATTAGCTTTACTTAATATTTGATATTAATTTAATACCTAAAGTGTCATATTCATGTTGGCCCCCTTCTTCACAAAACACTCTCTTCATAAATCAATTATTATTTAGATTCACATATAAAATCCATGTTTTTTTTTTCGTAAACTTCTTAGCGGTTTACGTTATTCACCAGGTGTGCGACATAGTTTTGCAACACCCTGTATAACACATGATTATGTAATGTGTTTAGATACAATGTACGAGATACCGCCGCGTCGCTCGTTCAAGAAATGGCAAATCACGAACAACACTACGCAAGAGAGTGTGGACTTCATCGTACATTGTTCACATAAAGCCAGAGTAAGTGTTAATGAAGAATTTAAACCTTATTCACGTTCAGCGACCGTCGACATTCCTTTGAAAACATCTGGAGTCAAATTGTCTTCATTGCCATAGCTAAAACAGCATTATAAGTAATGTCCTACGGGGTGTAGCTAATATTTTTAAGGTAAAACCTCCATATTCCGTCTAAATTTCACATGAATTCGAAATGTGGTCATCTTGGTATCTAGAGTTATGTTCCATTTCAATTTTAAGCTGACTAATCGCGGTACCTAATGGTTTAAGTAAGTCAGTGATTACGGAACTAATTCACAAATCAACAAGATAGTCTTTGCAACGACTTCTGAACTAGAGGTATTGAGTTCGGATTCCAACCTGAACAAATTGTTTTATGACGAACATTTGTACAGAACAAAAGTTCGTCAGGGTCTGGGTGTAATTTATCTAAAATATGTATGTAAATACATAGGTATGTTTATTAGCGGTCTGGTCACTGGCACAGGCTTCGCCTAGTTTTTGATTGGATAGCCGTTTGTCAAGTTATTATTTTAAGGGGTTCCAACACTTAGGTAAGCCCATAAAACCCCTAAACATCCCAGAATGTTGGGCAGCTTACTCTTAAAATTACTATGCCAAGTGGAAATTAATGCTGATAATATTTTTTACCAGCAAAATTTTTCCGAGCTGATACTGGAACCAGTGCCGGAGTACCAGTTGGAGTTGGGAGCCAGCGAACAGTCTCCCGACAGGATTAGAAGTTTGGCTCTCTCGCTCATGTTGAGGAAGAATGCTTCAGTCTTGACAGGTATACATTTGATATTTAAATAGATGCCTTTTATATTAAAATTAAATGTAAACAATTTGATTTTTGGATAAATTTGAATCATAAATAGACTACTTCAAAATAATAGTTTATTACTGGAGTTACTTTTAGATAAAATAATATTCACTTCTGTTTATATTTTACAGATGTAATAAGGGAGTTCTAAAATCATACCACTTTTTCAATTAGATGTATAAGAATTTTAGTCATGTCATATTTTTCAATTTAGTTTTTAGTAAAATAATATAAACACAAAATTATTAATGCAAATATTCCATGTTAGATGTGTAGTGTGTTAGACGTGATTTGATAGAGTTAGTATTTTTAAAGATACAATACCGTTATATTTTGTTATTAAATGGAAACGTTGGGTAGCCAATAGACGACGTTTCGATTGAAATATTGTTTTTTAAAAGACAACGCTCTAGCAATATATCCTGTGTTGTGGGGGACTGTACAAACATACATGAAACGGACACAAAGAATACCCAGACTCAGAACAACAATTTGTGGATCACACAAAGTGTCGTCCCATGTGGGGATTGAACCCACAACGCAGTAGGAAGCGGCGAGGTCACCGCTTAAACCATTACGCCATCCGTTCAGCTTATTTTATTAGTATGTATTAGTAGTATTAGTCATTGACTCCGGACGTGGTCACGGATTGACCTTTGAAAGAGTTTACATATCTGATATGTATCTAATCGCGAAGTTCAGAACAAAGAAAGGTTATTTTTATACTGTAATAATTAAATTTTGTGTGAGACCTTTTAATTAAGTATTAAGAATATGTAAGTATACGCACGGATGGTGTGGTGGTTAAGCGGTCGCCTCCGGCTGCTTTCTATCGAGCCGAGTGTCGGTGTTCCGTTTTCATATGTGTATGTAACTCCGCAACACATGATATATTCCTGGTGCTCCCTGCAAAGCAAAATGCCCCCTGCCCAGCTCGCGTGGACGCGTGCAGCGGCGACCTGGTGACGCTGGAGAGGGCGGAGGCGGGGCAGCTGCGCGCCGAGCAGGGCCCGCGCTGGCGGCAGGCGCTCAACGCGCTCCACACCACGCTCAGCGAGCTGCAGGGGCTCGTGCCCGGACACTACGTGCTCAAGCACGAGGTCGGTTACCTACCTTTTAACTTGAACATGTTTACTCTGCGATTCAGTTATCGACGATGTGTGTCGCATTTAGACACAATTCTTCACATGAAAGAGAAGAAAGATATAGCTTAAATAGAATAAGAAAAAGGGCCGTGTATTTTTAAGAACTTGTTTGTGTGCTTTCGCGCATAACTTTATAATATGTAACACGGAACGGAAGTGTGTAACAGGAAGCCAAAAACGAAATAATGATCCTTAACTTTTCGGCAAATCGAAATTTACAAATGAAATGGACATGAAAATGTTGTGTCGTAATAGTAAATAATGTGAAACGGTTACATCCACCACGTTTGAAAAATTCTCCCTTTGTCTCATTTTGAAATCGAACGTCGGTAACTGAATATTAAAAAACTCAGACATCACCTCAGTCTAAGGAGTAAACGAACAGTCGGGTCGCCTCATGGTAAGTGACTACCACCATCCACTACCCTGCACCTTTTCCTTCCAAGAAATAAGAGCGATTGGCTTCTGCAACCAACCTTCGGTACCGAGGAAGGCTAACATTTATACCATTCGTGTGTCCCGTCTAATCGTTTGCTCCCTATAGAATAACAAAACAGTGACACTCCGGGAATGCCGACAGCAGTGAAAACTTGAAAGTTTAAAATTATTTGATTATAACAGGATTTTTCTTTTCGATTCGAAAAGTTCCGACATGTATATATATCTATGTTGTACGTATATACACAATATATGTTTATATTATATAGAGTTATATTATCAATGTATTTCAACCCAAACTCAACTCTTGTGTAAACGGAGCCAATATATGATGTAGATACTTATATACAGAGGTGTCGGTAACGGTCACGGTCGCGAGTTCAATGGTTTTTTCCCATCTCAAAAAATGTGTTTTTATTTGTTGTTCAAAAATGCCCAAAGTGCTCCAAGAAGTTTTCACTTCAAAAAATATATATCCATATGGGATAAGGTCCGGAACCACTTCTAACAAGACAGATTGTTTCTTTATTGCCTATTATTATAAATTGGATGATAACGGTCCCATTACCTTCCAGCCAAGTCATTTCGACAACGCGTTCCTGTACGTGTCGCGTCCTCACAGCATCTCCTGCGACCTGCAGCTACAGTTCGACAGCTCGCAGCTTATCGAACCGGACGAGGCCAAGATGGCCAAGACTGCACCCACCCTCACACCCGTGTTACTGCCATACCACAAGTAACTACTTTTTCAATAATTAACTATTTTCTAAGGTCCCTCTTAAATCTGCTGCCAAGGAAAGTCAGTAAGAATCTGAATACTGAGAATTGTTCCAAATTGTTCACTATGGTTCGAAACGTATATTCTATTTAGAAAAAACTATATCAACTTTCACGCCTTTATTCGTCAGGGGGTTAGTCAGAGAAGTATTAAATGTCCACATTTCAGCAACTATATTTGTACTTGCTTACTGTCGTTAAACATGCGCGAAAGCGCACCTCGCCGCTTTCTAACGCGCTGAGCGTTGTGAGTTTGATCCCCACATGGGACATCACTATCTGTGATGATCCTGAGTCTGGGCGTTCTTTGTATCCGTTTAATGTATGTTTGTAAACTCCCCCGCAACACAGGAATTATTTCTAATGCGGGAGTAGGCTTATAAAATAAAATAAAAATTAAGAATATTAAAAAAAAATAGACTAGAAAGAATACGATAGTTAATTTAACTGCGCAAATCCAGAAAGAGTTTTAATGATAATGCAGGGTGGCACTGAACAATGAGTTCTATAACAATACTCATAAGACCGAAAATATATTGTCGCACGATTATCTTGTATACATTTGATACGAATATGCATTTCTATCAATCTTATCAGAAATCTAAAGTTCTACTAGTGATTAGAATAAGCTCTAAAGAACTTTCTAGACGTCTGGCGAGTATTATAAATACGGACACGTCTTCGTCGGGGACAGTTCAGTTGGAACTACAGTGTGAACCAGCGACCTCATTCCGGACTAGTCTTCAGTATTGTTGAACGTTTTTAAGTGTAGTAATAATAAAGTCTCTTCAGTCGTCAGAAGGTTTATTATTCCATATCAATTAACCCTAGCACGTTACAATATTTCATTGCCGCAAACACATAATTGTTGAAACTAGCAGCTAATATCATTTCACTCCACCAGGTACCGCAACATCCTCCCATGCGCCTTCTCCCCCTTCGAGTCCCACTTGCAGAAGGACGCCAAGAAGCCCCCCGCCAAGCAGAAGACCCCGCCGCAAGCCCTCAAGGTATATATTACAACAATACAACAAACAATTCGAAGTGATGGATACATTTAATACGTATTCGCTGGTTCGATTTCCAGCGTTAACTATTGAACAAGGTAGAAAGATATATAAATGTGAAAGAAGAAAGAGAGACGCCCATACATAAGTTCGCAAGCATTTGCGAATTGTAAACGATTCTACTTAGTTAGTTATTTGCAAAATTAATATTTTCTTTTCAAAAGAGAATTGATAAACAGAATTGAATATATTTAAATATCTCTCCCGAACGTTTAGAATCATTAAATAAAATAAACTAGTGGAAGTACTCTAACAAACCTGTAACAAAAACATTTTTACTACTTCATGCAATTATTGGTAATACCAGAGACCCGTCTGCACTACAAATCCGAACCATCTTTATCGCTCTGCAAACATCCAGAATCGGGAAACTTCCTCACTCTCGCTGCTTCTCTAAACAGGGTAACAGCTGAATAAAGAGTATCATCATCAAAACTTAATGCCTTTGCGATAACAGCAATATACTTTGAGATTGAGTGGACCTTGGAGGGGACGTTCCAGCAAATAGTGCTCAAGATACACTTCGCGGCAATTTAATTTAATCATCAACAGCCTTTACTAGTCCACTGCTGGACATAGGCCTCTCCTTAGGAAGGAGGTTTTGGCCTACTATACCACGCTAGCCAGACGGGTTGGTATAGGGTTTGTTTCAAGTTTTCCTTCTCTCTGCAGTGCTGTTGTCCTGCGTAGTTTTTTCCCTTAGTTGGCTCTTACGACACCCACGGGATGAATAGGGGTGGTGACACTCTGTATTCTTAATCCGTCACCACACGGATATTTAATTTAATAAAGTACCAGTTTACAGAATATACTTCCACTGTTTCTTCTATTTTATGATTCAGACGAGAGGTCTGAACGTCGGGAGAGAGGTGCATTTTCAGTAATGGACTATTCTAGACTGTTTTCTATACAGCTAAATCTTAACTACATAATCATGTCCTAGCCCGATCAGATAAAAGATCCGTTTAATTAAAAATAAAATAAAAAAATCATCAATCAAAATATCTAAGGCAAAATAAAATTGCATAATAAATTTTATCCATGCTTGTCTTGGTCAGTTTTTGGACTACGTTTAGCAAAAACGTATTAAAAAGTAATACGTTTTTTCTAAAACTGATCGAGTGTCATGCTCGAGATTTTTATGGATCCTGACAATTTAGCGTTTTACTGATTCTACATTTCAATACTTTCCTATAAAAGGTGTGACTTCGATGTCGTAAATATCTCGTTGTGGCCTTTTTGGGAGGCAAAATAGTATCAGTCCTGGATCCTGGTCGGGCTACAATCGTTCTGGATATTGTGTTTATGCGTTTTTGTTCCTTCGAGCCTAAAACCGGCTTTGCTTAAGCATTTTTTCAGGAACATTGACGCCACCCCCACCTTGCTGACTGAGGCGTGCGGTGGTTTACGATGTGCCTTTTAATATATCACATAGTTCAGATACGTGTAATGTACTGAACCAATTATGGTGTGGTATTGGTAAAGTTTTTAACAGAATACATGACAGATATTTTTTTCTCTGTCTAAGTTAATCTGTAGCGCGTTTCATGGCACATTAATTAAAATTGCCATGTCAATAAATATGCGAATCATATATAACGGAGTAAAAGCATTCGTATTCACAAGCATTAAGTCACTTTTCACCATATTCTCTTTTTTAGAGAAGGAAATGAAATTAGTGAAAAGTGACTCAAAGAAAGATGTTGCATGTGCGCTTGTGAGACAGAGAGGGAGAGAGAGAGAGAGAGAGAGAGAGAGAGAGAGAGAGAGAGAGAGAGATACTTTTATGTCAAAATTGATTCTCCATATTATTACGTCGTGACCCAGTCGTACGTAAGTCAGGGAGATTTATGGATTATTCTTTATAAAATTCACTACTAAACTATGACGTTTTTTGTTGTAAACTTTCTTTAATTTTATAAAATTTAGATATTACTAAGGTCCCAGCGGTCATACTACAAACCATAAAAATAAACATTTACAACGAGACACTATGTTAATTTTTTTATGTTATAGGGGGCAAACCAGCAGACGGATCATCTGATGGTAAGTTACTACCGCCGTTCATGAACACCTGCAACTTCAGGGACACAAGTGCGCCATTACCTCCAGAATTAATAGGATGGGTTGAGCATCCGGTAATCTTACGCACCCGGTGAAAATCAAGAAATGAATTTCTTAAAACCAGTTCTACATGACACCGTGGAATCACACTGATCGAGCCGGCCCATATTTTATGTACCAAGGATTCAGGGTATAGTTAGTTTTTTTTTAAAGACAACCTCCGCATTAGGAAGATATCCTGTGTCGCGGTTGACTTTACAAACATACATGAAACGGACACAAAGAACACCCACACTCAGAACAACAATTTGTGGATCACACAAAGTGTCGTCCCATGTGGGATTTGAACCCACAACACTCGGCGCAGTAGGAAGCGGCGTGGCGACCGCTTAAACCACTACGCCATCCGTGCAGTCTTTGTTTAATTACTTTTGTCAAGTGATGCTTGTGAATACTAATGTATATACATAAGTATATCTTAGTATGATTAAATTAAATTACTAAGTCATAGGAAACACCCATCATACTTGGCTAACGATTTTCTTTTAAAATGTGTATAGAGGCACATTATAAACCTACAAGCCGTATGGTAAAGTATGCTGCATTGCTAATTGGACATGGGCTATATTTGTGTGTACTACAACTTTGAATGTGTCTGCTTGTTACTAGAACGAAGCGGAGCAAGAGAACGGGCGGTCTAAGGTATCAGTGCTACGCTTTCCAGTATATTTGTAAACGACTTCAAAAAAAGGAGGTTATCGATTCGTTTAGAGGTTCTGTATACTTGTGCCTATTCAGAAATTGGGAAGGTAGCTCGATTATATCAGGTTTTAATCTATTTTTTTATTAAATTATACCTGATTTTTTTCGGACTACCCACTAAATAAACTGTCATTTAATTCAGTGTGGAACTAATTTCTGAATAGGTACTTTTATATATTTGTTTGACTGTTTGAACACTTTCATCAAAATGGGCTGGTATATTACAAGCACAATCAGCGAAGAGCACAATATTTAGGCGAAAATATCATTAATAGTAGTATCTCGATAAACAGCGCCCTTATCAGGCCCCTAACACGGTACACATTAAAAAAAATATCTGTAATTTATAAAAACCTGTTTTAAGATCCTTGAAAATTTCCACTTTACTTTTCATTTATAATACCCACTGTAATGTACATACATATATAACCTTTGATGCCTGTTAAAAATATCTTCGTTGATTGTGTGAATGACAAGTGTTTTAAACTCTGTTTAATGCTATAGTCTTGAGAAAGAAAGAAAACGCATTTATGATGAATTAGCTTCTACTACAGTCTACTCGATGTCTTCGGAAATTCCGTTTATTCTCCTACTTAGCTCCATTTCTTGTTAGGTATGCCTCATTTATTCCAGATGTGGACTATAGTATTAAATAGCGTTTAAAGTATCCAAATAGTGTGTTCAACTTTATATCACAATTAGGGAATTAGTTGCAGTGAATTTATAAAAAAAATTAATGAGTTGCAATCTTAGGAATATGTACTAGTAGTGTGCGACCGATGCGAATTTCGATGCTGTCTAATTGCTAAATAACTCTTCACAATAAATTTGTTTTAAAAACATTATAGAGAACAGATAAAGAATTCGAAATTTTCAAATACTTATAATTTGTTTACGGTTTTTTTGCCAAATAAAAAAAAGTGGTTTTAACAACAGTAATAATGTCTCTTGACTGGGATTTATGAGAAAGAGAGAGAGAAGTTAAAATGTTTTTCTCCGTTTATGAAAATGTAAATTTTCAATTTCTGTTTAACAGTGCATTGGTAAAAGTTAATGAAAGCTAAAAAAATGATTGAAAATAAAATTTCTACTAAGATTTATGTTCGCGCTGTTGGCAGTGTTACCACACGATAAAATTTAATAACCATTGCTGATGACAAAATTTTAACATATCTTTTCCTTGATTGCATCCTATTTCTTTCTATTTTAAGATACCTTGAATAGTAGTTCCAGTACATAAAATTATTTGTTCCTTGCTTTAATTCTGTCTTCAGCTCAGCGGTAAATGTATTTAGCTATATTTATAAATGTATCTGTTAAGTGCCATCGGCTTATGAAAAAACTGTACACACGAACTCATTCTCCTTAAAAAGGCGATAATTTCTGACGAGCGCATATTTGACGTCTCTGATATCTAAAAAATTGGCTGTTAAATAGATTTGATCTGCGAGATTTTAATTTTCACAGATTTTTCGATGATTCATGCCAAAATCGCTCTTTGTGAAAGCTTAAACTGAGCTCTTTTTAGTATTTTAAGAATTCCTAATTTAAATTTAAAATAAAAAATCTAATTTTGTTGTCTGTTAGGATTAGTTATTCTACTATTCTATTTGACTCGGTTGCAGATACTTTCATTAAATACTGTACATATGTTCTGATACTGTACATATGTTCTGGAGCTTATGGAAATTACTGGATCACTTCCAACTACTATAATTTTAAAACCACTCAAACATCAGTTTCGTTACACAGTTTAGCGCAACCCGTTGGTAGTTTAGTAATACATCTGTAGTTATTTGAAGATAAATTTAGTTTTTTACGATTGATGTCCATATTTTATCTTTTTGTATAAAACGTAAAGGTTCGCAGTCACTAATCCGACAGTAAGCCAACTGATGATGATGATACAAAGCCAATATCTTTACTACTCGACCAAGCGTTTTTGACCAACGAATTGGAATGCGGCCTCCCCGCCCGAACCTCGCCTCAGGTACCGCGATCGTCTTAGTACCGTCGGCATGGTTGCTACCGCTCGCACGTGTTTGATTTTGTTTCTGTTAGTTTCCATTCGTTTGTTAAGTTTATTATAATTCGTTAAATTGTTGTTAATTATTAAAGCTGTTATTTTGTTGTGTGGAAAATTGAGAAAAATAAAACAATACATAGTGGACAGCGAGAAATAATATTAAGTGATGAATTTCTTTGAAGAACAAAAGAAAAGGGGCTTATTCGTCGTTCCTGTAGACCAAGTCTTAAAAAGGACGGTTGCAGCTACTGGAATCAGCCTCAGTACAATCACGCGTATAAAAAGAGAAAGAAAAAAAACAAATTATTTTTCAGGTAAATATTATACTTATGTTATTTTATGTATGAAAAAGGTACCACAGATTAGAGACAGGTACTAAGCCTAGAACAACGTGCAAAACTTATTTTTCACAGAAAAGAGTAACATCCACATAATGTTTAGTACCACGTAACGCTAGTTGGCGCTGTTATGGATCTTTTTAATAATATTTTGTTAATGTCGTCGTTAAACTTGAAATGTATTGCGTTTCAGAGATCAAAATTCACCAGATCCATCAACGAGTGCTGAACCGACGACATCAAATTCAACTGCTACATCAGCAAATTCTACAATAAAAGTACCGACACCAGGAAAAACACGTTCCCTGCCACCTCATAATAAGCTCGATGTGGATGATTTTACAATGTGTGCCATTCGAAACTATTATAACACCTTGGTAGATCGCAACAGACTACTTGTCAATTTTATTGAAAGGTTCCATGACAAATATGGTTACACTTTTGTGACAACAGATGGTGTTAGTAGTGATTTAAAACTAAATAAATTTTGATAAAAACATTATCATACTAACAGAAACATCATCGAAAGGTTTTATTCAGTTCGCATGAAGGTGCCAAACTTAAAAAAAAGTAGTCGCCAAAGATAATTTAAATTCCCTAGGACAAAGAGAAGCCCTTAGAAAAAATATCACTCAAAATTTAGGTTACGCTTTTAAAAAGTGTTCAAGGAAAAGGGAAGTTTCAATTGAGAGACCCGATATAGCTGCATGGCAGCTCGTTACTTGCGGCGATTGAAGGAAAACGAAGAATTACTTGCTGACAAAAAGCCAATCATCTACATAGATGAAACGTGGATACATAGTCACTACACTGTACATAAATGTTGGCAAAATTCTTTGCAAAAAGGAGTGAGAAGAAATTATAGTCCAGGTCAGCGTTGGATTATAGTACACGCAGGTGGAGATTATCCAGGAAGCCCAATTGGGCTATCATGATGAAATGGGTAAAAGGAAAACTAATACCAAAGTTACCTACTAACAGCATTGTCGTGATGTACAACGCTCCCTATCACAGCCAAATAAACAAACCACCGACAACCTGGCTTAGCAGTAAAAATATTTTGGATGACCCCAGGACCCCAGGATGACGAAGAAAGAATTCTGTTTAATTTACCGCAACAGACAAGACAAAGAATATTACATAGACAATTTATTCAAAACCTATGGCCAACAAGTTTTCCGTCTTCTACCATACCAGTGTGAGTTAAACACAATCGAATACGTGTCGAATTTGATGAAGCAGAAAATGGCAGAAAAAAATATAGATCAGTTAGAAAAGAATATTGAAGCTCTAACCCGCGAAGCAATCAAATCTATAAATGCAGCTGACTGGAAGAAGGAGGTGGATCACGTAAGTCGTTTAGCAAATGAGTATTGGAAAAAAGGATTAGAAGAATTGGAAGAAAGAGAACAGATTATTTAGGTTGGTGAAGATAGTAGTTCTGAAGATTCGCAAATGTCAAGCATAGAAGAGCTTGATTTATCTGATGACGCAATAAACTCAGATTAATTTTATAAAACAAGTCTTTTAATTACACAATAAAAAATTCACCCTGTCACTATAACATATAACGGGCAGATTCACACTTTTGTATGCATCACTACGCTCTGATGATGATGATTCACATTGCGCCATCTAATCCCAAACTAAGCTAACCTTGTACTCGTAGGGTTACTAGACAACCGATAAACATACTTATTTACTTTTGATTTGTAAATGTATACTTATAATACATAGAAGCACCCAGAACCGGAATAATTAAATATCTGTAGATAACATGAATAGCTAATCAACTTAAATTAATTAAATAAAACAAAAACACAGATCTATCACTTGAATTCTTCTGCTATCCGTACCCGAAGTCAATGACGTCACATTTGACAGTCGTCTAGTTCGCTTGGTCGAGTAGTAGAACTCCTCGGTCTAATGAATGCGTACCTTTACCTAGTTAGGCCAATGGTCATTGCAGCGTGTCATGTTTGCGTTTGTTTCAGTGGCCACGGCGGCATAAACGAAAGAAGAATAAGAAGTGAAGAAAATAATTTAAGCATCTTAATTATTGTGATAATATTTATTAGCTTAGCTTTAATATAAAATCTGTGACTAAATAAATAGTGTCTTTATTTATATCCTGATACATTTCAACTAATGTACATATAAGATGTATATTATTAGTTTTATCTAAGCAGCTTCATCGAAGTACCCGTCCAACTGTGTTGCAATCTGTAAAAATAAATAGAATTTTGTTCGTTTACTTTAGTAAAAGCAATGGTAGAAATAGTTTTTTTTTTTTAATATCTGAATATTCGTCCTATGTAAAAATAAATACAAAAGTATAGTACAAAGATAGAACTTTAATGAGAAGTTCAAATTGTAATTTCAGAGACAAAAAATGTGGATCACACGAGACATGAATAGAATGAAATTAGTTACTTAGCCGGGAAACTGACCTGCACGGGGCTGTACTTGACGTACTTGTCGGGGTTCTTGGAGAAGGGCAGCGAGGCGTAGTGGTCGTAGAAGGTGGTGTAGGGCGGCAGGATGGCCAGCTTGTTGTCGCGCTTGAGCGCCTCGCGCAGCTCCGCGTCGGGGACGCTGTACGTGCGCTGGGCGCGGCTGCACTCCTCCCACTCGCGGTTGAACGACTGCCGATGTTTGATGTTTTTATGGTACAGCGCAAACGAGCAGACGAGTAAGCAACTGATAGTAAGTACCGTTTCCCATGGACGCCTGTGACTCACCAGTCAAAAGTGCATTGCCGCTCTTTTGAGTCATGAGTTACGGGATGGACTCCGATAACCTTAGTAACTCGGTGAAAAGCAACGAGAGAATTGCTTAACACCGGTTTCTAGTGTGGTATACTCCGGTCGAACCTGCCCATTAGTGGCGAACCATAATTCTCGCACAGAACTCATCCAAGCGAGAATTATATTACTCTAACTGCATGGGTTTAAGAACAACTTATGTATTAATACTATTCTGAACTCTATCCAATTTTTAACACTCAGAATAATAGATTATCTTCCATGAGTTACGTCATTGTTCAACACGCCCTAAAGATCCCGACTAGTTTGATCCTGGCAGGGGCTGTTAATCAAAGAGCCAAACGACCTGTTTTGACCTCAAAACCTTTTTTAAATATCTCCATACCAATATATATATCCAGTAAAATTATCAACCAGAAATATTATTCACAAATTGCAGACACTTTACAAATGTTACATTGACTGTAGGCAGCAATTCGTTATCTTTTGAAAAAACTATTCTAGTTTGTTTAAATTCTAAAACGAATTCATAACTCACAGCAAATTTATCCTTGAGTATCTGCCGATCCCTGTCCCTCAGTTTAGCAGGCAGGGGCTCATCCAGTGTCGTGTGCTGCAGCAGTTTGTTCCAACTCTGCAAGTAGGCGTTCTTATGTTCCTGTATCATGTCGCGGTAGTTCGCTTCACACTCGGGTTCCGCCAACATCAAAACGTCGAGTAGACCACTTCGTTGAAGTCCCTGGAAGAAATAATTTCGTCATTTTCCTGCACTTTTGCCAATTATAGTTGGAGTCGATACAATGTGTGTTGCAAAAGGTTTTAACTGGTTCCTTTTATGGGCGGCCGCTAGCCTGACGAGAGAGAGTTCTCTTGGGAATGTAGTCGTTGTCAGACAGGGCAAAATAAGAAGGTACATTGGGGTAAGTAAAACTGTGACGGATTCAGAATACGGAGTTATTCATTTCGTGGGTGTCGTAAGAGCCGACTAAGGGAGCAAACTACGCAGAACAACAGCCGTGCAAAGAGAAGGAAAAATTGACACAAACCCGCCTGAAAAAAGAAAAATAATAATGAAGAAAAGTGATAGTACCTGTAGCAAATAGAGCGTGTTGTTTAACAAGAATATAGCTTTCAACGCATCTGGATATTGCTCACTCTTATTCCTTAGCGCAAAGTTCAATTGCGCCAGGACTTTTCCTGAAAAGAAAAGATTTATTGACTTACAAACACAAACAGTTGTGAAGAGCCAAATCCATATGTACAAGTTTATAGCTATCAGAGCCCAGCTTGATAGATTTTTTTCCACAGTACCACGTCTGTGGCGAACAAGCTAATCTACTTTTAGGCTGTCTGTGTGGTGACATTAAGAATACGACATGTCACCATCCATATTTGTGGGTATCGTAAGAGGCGACTAACGGCGCAAACTCTGGAGTACAACAGCACTGCAAAAGAGAAGGAAAACTTGAAACAAACCCTATACCAACTCGTTTGGCAAGCGTGGTATAGTTGGCCAAAACCACTATTCTAAAGAGAGGCCTATGAGTATTGCAGTGCTATTCTCTAAGAACCAGTGCTGCCACAGCTTTGAACTTAAAACTAATTTAGTTTGGAATTGGAATTGGACAGCGCTGTAGTCGAATTTCAAACGAACTCTTTCCTTAGAGAATACCACTGAAATATTGATATAATAGGTCAACTCCGATATGAAACTAAAGCACTAAAAGCAAGAAATTAAACCCTAACATCTTCAGAGGAAATAGAGTTACGAGATACAAAGATAGGTGAATACAACTGTAGATGATATATGCCGTCAACCTGAATTGCACTTTATTATTTCGAAGCAAGAGTCGCTATTTATTTGAATGATTTGGTACATGGCACTACATTAAAAATAAACTTACGCATGTATATAGCGAGCATGACCGCGTTCCTGTCATGAGAGCCGGACACCTGGCTCACTGCGCGGACGTACGACGGCTCTGTCGCTAGTGCTGGGCCTGTATACATCAGAATATATTTTACAATAATATTGTACATTTTCAACTTAATTTGCTTAAAAATGTGCCTAAATGTGATAAATTATAATAAGCTATATTCATTCATCCTTTAACTTTCTATTGTTAGAGATAAAACTACCAAGTTTAGGTTAAATTAATTAAAAATATTTTATTTTTAAATCAATTACCGATTGGCACAACGCGTAACGTATAATAAAACCAAAGACGTTCAGTCGAATTAAAAACCTTCTCCTATTTGAAGAAATATTGATTATGATATTACCCACCCCCTCTCCCCCAGAAACTGGTACGTTACCTATAGTGTGTATGTGTGCGGCCAGCGCCTGGCAGTGGGCCAGCGCAGCCGCGGCCAGCTGGTGCACCGTCCCGTCCACCGGGCCCGCCGCGCTGTCGTTGCGGATGCCCTCCACCCACTCCTCCAGAGACTTTATGCACTGCACATCGTAATACACCGTGTTTTTACATATTCTGCGTTCAGTGAGCTATTAAACAACCTATCTAAAATATCTGTGCATATAGTGTATCAACGACTCATTAACAGTTTCAGTTTTCTAAATCGAACAAAATAAAAACAAAATGAACATACGTTCTGCTGGCAGGCGTGCAGGATGTTGGTGTAGGGCTGCGGCGAGGCGGGCGCGAGCGCGCGCTCCAGCTCGGGCAGCAGCCGCGTGAGGCGCGCCAGCACGGCCCAGCCCCCCGCGCCGCCCCCGCACCGCCCCGCCGCGCGACGGGACCGCGCACACGCGCGCTGTCGGGACCCACGTTAGTGCCTTGCGGTACACCTCACCTATTAATCACTAACACCTACGACTCGATCTACTGTACGCCCACCCGGATTGAATATTGGTAATAACAAATATTTTTAACGATTAATACAAAAATGTTTATTACAATAAAAAGAACTTTGAACCGGTCTAAATTGATTATTAACATACTTAACGCTGTCGAAAGCACTATTAGAATTTTTGATCACTAAGTTTTCAAAACGACCCATTAAAGGTTAATTCTAACCTCAACATCGGTGGCGAGTATTGCGAAACATTGACTGAGCACGGCGGCTAACAAGGGAGGAAGTCGCGGCAGCGGCACCAGCCCCAACAGATGGCGCTGTTCGTGCCGAGCTAAACGGCACACTGCAGCTGCAACGTTACCGGCCATCTCTGCCTCCCAGTCGTCCAGGTACTCGGTGTTTTCCTCTGTGTCTATAACAATTAATTTTCCTAATAACCATATTATGGTATTTATGATAAACAAAAAATATTAACTTTGCTATTACTATACCAAATTATAAATAGATTTAAAATTGAATGGTAATAAGCATCAATCGAATATTAGAGGAACTCGTAATTTATTTTTTTGAACCCAACATAGGTTAAGAAAACGATAGCCCTTCATATCATCATCATATCTCATCAACAGCCTTTAAATTGGTATAAAATTGAGTAATCAAATAAAATTAGAATAGTGTTGCAGGGACTTAGTTTTGTATAACAAGATTGGACATTATCAATTATTCATTATAAATGATTACTATGGATATTTAATAAAAAATAAGACTACTGGATACAACAAAATCAACTCTTTAAGAATTAAACTTACAAGTTTCAACGACAGACTTCCTTGGCCCAATAGCTAGTCCGGTAGACTGTTCTAAGGTCTGTGACGCCTTCATCATTATTTTGTTTGCGCGTTTCTCGATACTGAATAAATTAACCACATGTTATATAAGTCATTCAAAATACGAAGTTATCAGTAGCGGAGAGTAAAGATAACTTACACTTTTTGCAATCTGCTTGTTCTTCTCTGAGTGCTATCGGAACGATGTAAGAAGTTTTTGGCTCTCTGCAAGTAAATAAAACATTAATATATCATATATAATATATCTGATTCATCAACCATAAAGAAGTAATAGATTATTCATGTGTTTGGCTAGGTAGTGACACTCACTACCTAGCCTAAGTTTATTATAGGTATCGTATGTGTGATCTCATCACTTCTATATTAAGGTCTCGTAGCAGAGTCTATCTTGGTAGAAGGCAATGTGCAGCACTGCCAATCTGAGACTTCAATCGTATAATGCGGATGCGACGGAACGTCAAACAGAGCACTTCTGCCAGATATTCCATGAACAAGTAAGTCGGTGTGAGTGCTGACTCACCATGAGCGGCGAGTGCGCCATGGAGCGCGAGCGCTGGTAGTCCTTGAAGGCGAGCAGCGAGGACTTGGCGGCGGGCGCGCGCACGGCCAGCAGCTGCGCCGCGGGGGGGGCGCCGGCCGCGCTGAGCCACGCCGCGGCCGCGCGCATGCAGTCCAGCGCGCCGCCCACCGTGCTGCCGCTGCCGCTCACGCTGACGCTGTCCACGCTCGAGTCTGCCACCACACCGCTCTCGTGAATCGACATGTCCTTACCTGAACCTGAATCGCTCTGCCGATAACCTACCTTCTTCTAAAGCGATCATGTCCATCAGTGTAGTAGGAGAGAGAGGTCTGGTGTTGCGATTCAGGAGGTCCTCGAATGCGTTTTCGAGCTTGGATACACCCGTGTTGTACAGCTGATTCTGTCAATCGGATTGGTTAAATATAGTCTAGACCGGTTGTGACCATGGACTAGCTGGCACAAAACATTGGGATATATGGCATAAAAATATTATCACTCAATCTTAGTAAATTTGGTCATTCAACGGTTACGAAAACCATTCCGATAATATTAAAAAAAACTATAGAAGGAATAAAATATATAAACATTTAATATTTTCTTAGTTTTTACAAACTTGATGGCATAATGTCATGGTGGAATTCCTTCATACTTATAGAATAAATAAACCTTAAAACTTAGATAAACACACATGAGATGCTTCGTCTTTCGATTGCTTATTGCCTTCACAATATATTACTGTGTTTTTATCATTAGTAAAACACTTTATCCATACTAACATTATAAATGGGAAAGTGTGTCTGTCTGTCTGTTTCCTCTTCACACCTAAACCGCTAAACCAATTTAGATGAAATTTGGTATGGAGATAGCTTGTTTTTGAGAAAAGACTATGACTAGTCTACAAGTACTAGTTAATGCAATAACCTACATAAGCTAGTTGTATATATAATTAAACTATAGTAAAATACCACTTACAATATTTTCCAATTCAATACTCTGAGGATTGTTTTTGTTGAAATATCCTTGTGCATCTGCCAATTTGTCCAAAGCCTGGAACATAATCATCAAGTCTATACACACAGTACTAGCTAGTACCACAGTTCACTTTCTTTATCATATTTTTTTAAATTACTGAATTTGATGAGAAACTCTTACTTCAAGATATACATTCAATGTTTCCGTTGTGCTGGTATTTGGTCCAGCTTGTATAAGGTCTGCCAGCTCTCTCGTCACCATATAATAGTTTATCACATGGTCCAAAGACCTCACTGTGCGCTCCATATCTGTAAAAACACAAATTAACTTGGTCACAAAATTGTTTTAACATTTAATTAACATATTTTTTAAAGACAATTACTAGAAAAATGTATTTTACAGTAAATAAATAAGAGTTAACCATAATGCTGGCCTGCAACCATCTGATCTACAACTAAAATATGTACATAGTTTGATGTAGTACAGTTAATAGTCTGTACTCTTAAATATCACCAATTTTTTTAACTTTAATGAAAAGTAGATATAAACTTTAAAACTCTGTGTGCTTGTTTGCAAGCATATACCATAAAAAAAAGTCAGTCCTATCCAAGAAATGTCGATTCGTAGGCCCAAGCATGTGTAAGGTGCTCACTTTGATGTATATGTTGTAGCCTCGCAGTGTCTCCATACAACGGTAGCACAGCAGTCTCCAGCTGCTGAAGTCTCTGTTCACAAGCGCCAAGAACATTGCACACATCATTAGCAAGAGATGAACTGCGTTTAGCTGCCGCTTTTAACTCCTGGATATTCGTCATTTCCTGTAGATAAACAAAGATTTACGAATAAGTATATACTTTGACACGCCCCTTTACACAACAATTCGGTAGCAAAATAAGTATAAATACATTATTTTAAAATGATGATACGAATGTGTAGAGCCTTAGAATCGTCAAATGCAGTTAAGTTCTAATGAAATAAGTATCAATTTTAATAAGATGTTAACACACCTTTCTCAACTTCATCTCTATTTCAAACTTTTTCTCCACAGCGTACATCGCAACGGTTCTCTTATTGTTTCGGGCTGATTAAGACGTCTATAATCCTTTACTTCTACTCAATAAATACTGTAAAAAGCATATCATACAATACTGTACTTTATTTTAATAGAATTTCAAGTAATTCTTAGATGAATACACAACACATCACTCACATCGATGTAATGTCAACTGTCAATGTTGTCAATTTTCCTTGTCACACTTGTCAGCGCTAGTTGTTAACTATTATAGACAATCAAAAGACTTACTATTGAAAATAAGATTGGTCGAAGTTGATTTTTTATTTTTATGAAATCACGTTTTGTCTCCTTTAATGGAAATATTACTGAAATATCATTCACAAATGTCATTTATTAAACATATTTACTATAACTTGTTTCAAGTAGAAGTCACTGACCAAGATGCAGATTAAGTTACTCGCATGCAGTAAATCAGGAACCTTTTCTACACGCATTTTATTTTATATTTACTTGTTTATGTACCTCTGTTACCCTAACTTTAGTAAGGAATATATTGATCTAAGGAAATAAATAATAGAAAAACCGGCCAACAGCCAATCTAATCCTTCTCATTTTGCCTGTAGTAGAAAACATACATTAGAGCATACGTTAAAAAGTAGAGCAATAGATAAGTATGTAGAGCAAAAGCTTCTATTAAAATAGTAGCTTGTATTCTCTAGAGGAGAGCATTACTTTTTTTTTGTGGTAAACAGTTACTTAAATAAATAAAGAAATAGTACTTTATCAGTACCATACTTTGGCAACAAATCCAAACGTAAAGTGTGTGATGACGTGCCGTGAATCTCGAAACGTGGCTGACGTTTAGAATATTTTGTCAGTTTTCTGCTTGTAATTTTCGACTTCGGCGGCGGCAAACACTACGCCAAATTGCGAACTACTTAATTTTATATTCACAAATCGTTGATATATTCATGTAAGTAACAGTGCTTTCTTAGGCAAGTCCCATAGAATTCTAACTAGAGAGTTTAATGTGTAACTGTTTCCTATTTTTAGAATAAAATGGATCAAATCGCGAAGTTTGTTGAACCTGGTAAGCAGTTCGCCAAGGATTCGATCAGATTGGTCAGAAGATGCACTAAACCTGACAGAAAAGGTAGGTTTCATTTCAAATTTCTCCCTTTGTTACGAAGATATTCTAGCTACAACACATTATAGTGTTAAAGCAATACATAAGAGATACTTTACCAGGGTATTTTGTGACTGACCTCTTTAAGCATATGCTTCACAGTTTTATTTAACTTTTTTATATCAAAATGAAAGATAAGATTATTTCAAATTATGTGTTAGAAAGTCCTTTCAAGGTTAATAATTAAATGATTTCCACATAGTAACAAATATTGACACCTCATAGATTTTAAGATGATATTATTCATGTCTGTAGTATTTGTAGATTAATGTTAAATAACAAACATTGTGTTTTTCACAACAGATCACTTAACTGATAATTGTGTTCACATCATCACATCACATCAACAGCCTTTAATAGTCCACTGCTGGACATAGGCCTCTCCTTAGAAAGGAGGTTTTGGCCTACTTGTTTTGTGTTAATGTATAAATTAGTTAAGTCAGACGATTTTAGTGATTGAGCTTTGTTTTCATAGAATATAGAGTAAGATTTTGTCACTACTTTCTTTATCAAGTGTTTTTACTTACCTATTATGAGTGTAGTTTGTGAAATGTGAAAGTAGTATTGTTTAATTTAGTGTACAAATGAATAATAATTATTTATTTATATATTGATTTTATACGGTGAACACAAAGTTATTTATACAAATATATAGACGTATCAATTGGTGGTCTTATTGCTCATGGCAATCTCTTACAGACAACCTTAATACGGATATTATATAATATTTGAAGAGTTGGGTAGTTTACATACACGTTACACATTATCACAAAAATATATATATTTGTTTTTTTAGTAATTACTTAAAAGTCAATATATGATCATTGAATTACTAAATAGTGTAAACTTAACTCACATTAACAATCCATACTAATATTATAAATTCAAAAGTATATCAGTCTGTCTGTTATGATGCTTCCTAATGCTAATGCTTCAACCGCTGAACCTATTGAAATGTGATTTGGTATAGTGAAAGTTTGAGTCTTGGGAAAGGAAATATAATAGTTTTTATCCCAGAAATCATCCTTAAAGGGGTTGAAGTTTTAATGAGCAATCAGTACCGCTCAACTGATTTAGATAAAATCTTGTATTGAGATGGTTTGATTGTAGAGTAAGGCAAAATCTAGTATAAGCATGCACGTGGGGCATACTGAAAGTCTCTGGATTTGGCCACTTACATTAAAATAATGAAAAAACAATTAAGGAATTTCTACAATTGGGAACATTTGGGAATATATTACTTTTTAATTTGTGAGACTGTCATTTGTTTTTCATTGTGACATCCTTTTGAAAATTGTGTCTCACTATCAAAATGAATTTAACTTTATTGTGCCCTAAAAGCTCTGTCTGTAAATTTCTTTATTATATACCTTTTTATATAAAAAAATGAACAAATTAACATTGATAAAAAGTACTCCCCGGAATAAGATTTCAGAAAAGAACCGATTGTCAGATATTAATATGCCTGTTTTCTTCCTTTCCAGAATTTCAAAAGATTGCTATTGCCACAGCAATTGGTTTCTGCATCATGGGTTTCATCGGCTTCTTCGTCAAGCTGATACATATCCCCATCAACAACATTATTGTCGGATCATAGACTGACGGATCATAGTGTACTTTTAGACGTAATTCCTATGTTTAAGGCCCCCACTCTAAATACATTTCATTTACAATATTGTTTCTTAATAAAATAAATTATTTCAATCCATTTTGCTGTTTTTAATATAATCTAATTTAATATAACGTAAACTGGGAGAGGCCTATGTCCAGCAGTGGACTGCGATAGGCTGATGATGATGATGACGTAAACTGTGTGTATGTAGGGAGACGTACTAATCACGTGCAGATTTTTTATATTTATATTGCCGCCCTATCACATCACACTACGTGGAGGTTTCATTTCTTTACTTTTCGATGGCCTATTATAGCGTTAATTAATATTATTTAACGGGAATTAACGCGATCTCTTATTTAGGGTATTACATACGGCCGTCAGCCTGTGACCACGGCCGGTGCAACCTGGTCGAAACGTCAGGCAAACCAGAGGTATGTAATACCCTAAATAAGAGATCGCGTTAATTCCCGTTAAATAATATTAATTATCATGGAACGCGAAAGTTTAAAAGTTTCTATTATAGCGTTTAAAAGCTGAATATAAAACCATTTGCTTTATTCATTCATCCTTCATTATATTTAAGTCATATCCATCAGATGACGCCACACGGTGCCTGTGGATCGAACTATTGCGGGACCTAGGGATTGACTACAATCACCTGTGATAAATCATATAATCACACGTGCGACTAATTTACAAAACCACTATAACTTATTATTATTACGGTAGCGCTAGACTCGCGAAAGCTCTAAATTTAAAAGATATAAAAAAGCTCGTAAACTTTGATAAAAAGAATTCTGATTTTAATGGCATTTATCTTTGTCTATGACGAAATCACAATCACAGATGAAATACTAATCACTTCATCATATGAATATGATTTAATAGTAGCAATAATTTCAATGTCTAGTCGACACGTGTCAACCAACAAGATAGTGCGACCTATAGCCGGAGCCACGTTCCCTTCCCTGGTGGGGCGTACTTTTATAGAGGTATGAAAACTCTAAAACACTTCTTGAGCGTATACCCACTGACACACTTGCATCACCATGTATTATTAAGAAAAAGCGATAAATTTTGTAAATACAAATTGTTTTAACAAATTAAATATAATATAGAGTTAAGATATTACCGGTAAAACTGTTTCTAGTAAAACAGCGAGTCCCTTGTATCTTTACACGTGTTCAATAGATTGCGAAATGAATTTGATTCGTAATTACAGGTCATTTGGCAATACTGAGCGGACACCTCTACACAACATATTCGCAAGTGTTTACACATTCTTGGCAACCGCTTATTACTAAGTTTTAAATAAATAACACTCAGTTATGACTGGCCTGTTCACAATAATATGTATTTTACACAACTGAGAGATATGGAGCGGAGCAACATCGCAAAACGTCCACGTCGAGCCGCAACCACGTTATGACTGCACGGATGGCGTAGTGGTTTAAGCGGTCGCAACGCCGCTTCCTACTACGCCGAGTGTTGTGGGTTCAAACCCCACATGGGACGACACTTTGTGTGATCCACAAATTATTGTTCTGAGTCTGGGTGTTCTTTGTGTCCGTTTCATGTATGTTTGTAAAGTCCCCCGCGACAGGATTTATTCCTCATGCGGGAGTTGTCTTTTTAAAACAAAAAAAAAAAGCCCTGCCCATCAATATCCACGACCACTCTGACAAGAGTGTCCGACTAAGAAGATGAATGCCAAGCCATAGATCGTGGGTCCGATTCCCGCCAAAACTAATAATTGTTTGATGAGCACGATCATTTGTAAGGTGTCTAGGTATAATTTATATATAACATGCATGTGGAAAAAAGGTATACAAGTATTCTATCAGTCAATCTATCTATCTTTTATAGCGACACGAGTGCAACATGAGTTTGTTGGCTCATCCTTTGTTTTTCAGTCCGTTCTTCTTTGGATTGAGCTTTCCTTTGAAATCAGGATGGCCACAACTTTTTTTTTAAAACAAATGTATAATCAGTATCTCATAAAACAACGTAGCGTGGATGAGTGGCGCTCGGGGCAGAAGAAACTGCCGCCCCCACAAAATAAAATTTTTAGCCCTACAAACATAATTTATTTTAACATAAACAACTACAAACATAACAAATTTGGTCTGACTTTGGAGCACCATTCTTTATTGACATAATTGTAACGTTTCACTAGTACAGCACCTGGAGGACCGACCTTTGCTAGGTTTTTTTTTGTTAGTTAATTTTCTTAAAATGGCACCTAGCTTGATCGATTAATAGCCTTCGAAACCCCTGCATACTTAATTTCATGAAAATCGTTATAGCCGTTTTCGAGATTCAGATTACACATATATATACAATAAATTAGATAAAACGTATAGATGTATATTTAATTTTTAAATATAATATACAAAGTACCTGGATGACCGAGCTTTATTCGGTATTTTTTTTTTGGTAAATTTTCTAAAAATGATACCTAACTAGATGGATTAATCGCCCCTGAAACCCCCTTCCCCTTCCTAGCCGTTTCCGAGATTCAGATTATATATATATATAATAGGTCTTTACCTATGAGATTGCCGTTTTGTATGTTATAAGTGAAAGTACTTATTTTTTCAAACTTTTTTATTTCTGTTATTCAAAGTAATCACCCATGCAATCGACCCATCTTTGCCAACGCATTGGCAGTTTATTGATGCCTTCTTGTAAAAATCAGCTGGACGGGAGGCAACAATCTCTTCAAAGGCTTTTTTTTGTACTGCCTCTCGGGAATTGAGGAGATCGAGAGATCGGAGATCCGAAGGGATTTTCCAGCCAGTCAACGAAAAAAAAAAAGGAATATATCCTGTGTCGCGGTAAAGTCCCTTGACAAACACACATAAAACGGACACAAAGTACACCCATACTCAGAACAACAAATTGTGGATAACACTAAGTGTCGTCCCGTGTGGGGATCGGACCCACAATACTCAGTGCAGTGGGAAGCAGCGAGGTGAGGCAAAATTAAAATAAAAGAATGTATGTAAGTTAATGTACCTAATATGAAATAAATCTTTGTAGGCAAAAATCGCTCGTGTCTAAGTCTAATATAGTAAGATTTACTAGTAAAACCTATGATATGACATTACACGGGCTTTTATAGTAATATACATAATTCTGTAATCGATTAGTAATTTGTAAAGTAATTGGTACGATGTAAAGTTTTTCGAGAAATGGAATTATCGCTTTTCAACTATGACTTAGTCATACATTTTTTAAATATAAATGTTAAAAACAAAAAATATCCTAAAGAAGAGTAGAAAAAGTATGAATAATGTAAGTGTCTTTTACTAGTTTATTAAAAACGTCAGTTTTCATAAGCTTTGCTTTTGAAAACATTTGTTTCGAAGGTAATGTTGTTCCTAAAACATTTTAATTTTGACGCGTGATGATAAGATCATTTAGGTATAAGATGTTAAGTGTATAAGTATATCTATACATAAGTAACCTAAGAGAACCGCCCATGCAATCCAAACTCATCTCTCATAGTAAGTTTGTAGGGGTGAGTTTAAAGCTATGAATACCCGGCGAAGGCGTGCGGTTTTAGTCGGTTCGTGTCCGACATGCCACCGACAGGTGGTATCCGAGGGAATTTCCGCACGGAAAAAAAAAAAAAAAGGGGTGAGTTTAAAGGTCAACCATTTGGAACTTTGATTCCAGATATTTGTGAGTTATTTACAACTTGTTTTGATACTTTAAAGTTACATACTACCACACACTCCAGGTATTGAGTATGAGTACCTTTCTTTTTCGATTTTAAATTTTCTAGTGGAGCTCTTGCCGCCCCCCTGCCAGCACGCAGCCCGGGGCGGCCCGCACCCCCCGCCCCTCCCTCGCTACGCCGCTGAATGGCAGAATCAACATCCACATGATTGTCATCTAATATTGTTATTGGTATCTATTTGCGTATGTATCTATTTATGTAAGTTTATAGGTATTTATTTATATGTATAATGTCCGCAAATGTGCATGATGTGTAAAAATAAAATACATAAATCTAGCTTTCATGGTACAAGCTCTGTTTATAAACTAGATGGCATTGTGTGTCAGATGTCTGAAATATTATTATTATCATTAGGTATGTATTTAGAAATATTTAATTAGGTACCTATGTTTATCAACAGTCCGGTAACCATTACAGACTATGACTAGTCTGAGATCAAACTGCCGTGTGTAAGATGTGTAAAATATCATTGTTTAAGGTAGGTTATAGCCAAGTTTATGCCCTGGATGGCGCACTATGCAATGTGGCTATAGATGGACTGGAATCCAGTGTTATCACTGAGTTTTGCCAGGTTTTTCTTGCCCCTTGTAAGAAACTCAACAAAAACTTCCAAACCTTTTTTTTGTTGTAGATCGAACTCGCAAGTTGCTTTGTTAAGCTACTACTGAAATGTATTCACGTCTATAGTGCGTCCTCAATTATAGATAAAACACTATAATACGCCTATAATCATTAAAATAATGTCTCTTTCTTTTACAGCTGTCAATAATGATTACATATTAGGCTGTCAGTGCAAAAGCGGCCCTCAATTTTTCATCTCCTGACTACAATGGATACCTACACTGCGATATTATAAGCGTAGGTAGTCCTTTAAACGCGTCCAAACTATTAAACTAATTATACCTATGAAGTAAGTCATTAAAATTGTAGGGTATTTTTAATAAGTAGATAGTCAATAATTAACGAAACTGGTTTTTTTAACAAAAATAATATTTTTATCTACATCTGTACTTAGGTATAAAGATTTACCTAAAACTTAGTAGGTAGGTACCTGCGGTGGTATACAGTCAAATTTTATTTCTATACGGACATGAATTTCAATTTATTAAGTATTTCTATAAACTAACTTTTTTAAACAAATATCAATAGGTATTATAGTTAAGCAGATAAGATCTCCAATGTGAATAATTTTAAGATGTTCTATACGTTTAATGTATTAATATGTACACAGGTAATAATTTTAAAAACATTTTTACTATTCTATAATTTACTACTTAGTTTTTTTAATTTTTTGCTTTTTCTAATACGTGTATAAAGAATCCAGGTACTGACACTTGGTCCATTGGCTTGAAGTCGGCGTAGATGTGATGTTTGGCACGGTTGTCGAACGCTTCGTCTAACATCCTCGTGAACTTCTCAAGCTTGTGTGGGTAATAACACAGACGGAATTCACTGAAATTTAAATATAACGATATCAGTAAATATATATCTTCTCAATATTACATTATAGGCACTTACTTTATATGCCTAACTTTTATTCTTATTTTTAAGAGGACAAAGCAGATCGTTTAAAAGACAGTGAGTGACATAAGGTGCTAAGAATAATTTAATAATTGTAATGTTTCATAAAAACTTAATTCAAAACGAGTAAATGAATAGAGAGATCAAGCAACAAATAAATATACCAATATATAAATATATATTTGTCTAGTGAAATGTTTTTCCTAAACGAACCTCGTCTCATTGCTTTCTTTATCAGTTGTGATGCAATAATCTAACGCAATTAGTTGAGGTTTTCCGCCGACGACCAACACTGACGTTTTGATGTCTACTGGATATTTGCACTGAAAAAAAAGAAAAATAAATGAAACTTGTGACTAACTATGAAAATAACTTCGCTGAAACTATGATTTACAAGATTTGAACATGTTACCTCAGTTTTCGTTAGGTAACAAATCTTGCACAATACCTAATTGTGATTCTGATATTTATAAATGTTACTTTGTTATCTAAATGAAAAAAATATAGATCTTATTGGCTAAAGCAAGCGAGATGATCTCCGTGAACTTACTGAGAGATTAGTAAACCGTTAACAACATGATTCCTTGACAGTCCAACTTATTTTACACGTACCACAGATAAAGTCAAACAGTATTGACCCTTGATAATTATAATAAAAACTGATAAATGTGCTATTACTACTTGTATTATGAAATATAACGTAAGGATTACTGATACTCTTGTATCAGCCTTCATTATTATACACACTGATAATGAAAACACAAAATAATGTTTATTGATTTTTTTTAACACAGACGCAATTTTAGATTAGACGAACTTTAGATTGAAGTATTTATTCAAGATTCTTTTTTTTACTAATAACTGACTATGTTAGTGGTTTGAACACAATTCATGTAAAAAACACGGAATATATAATAAAAAAAAAGATATTTTGATTTGAAGCTCATTTGTTTAAAATGCAATTAAGTAATAATCTACGAACCTACCATTTAATGGTACGTTATTCAAATTAGACACAAAAACTGTTATCAGTACCATAACAAAATAGCAGTATAATGCCACAAGTCTCTTAATATTTCTTATTCAATTGTAAACATCTTTGTAACGGTTTAGTCAAGGAAATTAAAACTATCAAAGTGTACAATAACGTTACTGCAAGGAATTGTTTCCACTTTGTCAATGATATACTGCCTTTTTTCTTTTCTTTTTTTTCATAAGAAGACAACTCCCGCATTAGAAGTATATCCTGTGTCATAGGGGACTTTACAAACATACATGAAACGGACACAAAGAACACACAAAGTGTCGTCCCATGTGGGGATCGGACGCACAACACTCAGCGTAGTAGTAAGCGACCGTGTAAACCACACAGCCATCCATGCAGTCGTATTGCTAACACTGTATCGCGATATGAAGAATTCTCTCACCGATTAGCATATATTTACAACTTAACCTAACCTTTTTTTTGTTGACGGGGTGGAAAATCCCTTCGGATCTCCTGCTCCTCGGGGACTATGAGCCAGGAGTATGTGGTGATTCCACTAAAAACCACCCCGACGGACGGCCTCAGGTGTCTTACTCTGGGGAGGACCCGGACCATGTTATTTCAGGTCCACCCCGAATTGACACCATGCCTAATCAGGCCCTATCCCAGGGGAGAAACTTAACCTAACCTAACATCGACCGTTGGGCAGCGGGCCACCAGGCATGATCACCTCGCCTGGTCGAAGGATCCTCCCTTTCTATTGGAGGGACATGACACCCGTTCCTCCACACACACCTTATGTCTGTCAAATGATCGTATTCATCATACAATTATTTGTCCTGGGTGGGAATCAAACCCACGACTTCATGATTACCAGGGTTACGCATCACTAGACCAACAGGCCCTTCTAATGGACTAAGAAAATTCATTTACTCACATTATAATAAATAGAATGTCCAGGTGTTGCACCGCTGTCAATCATAGCGTCATAATTCCTATGGTCAATAAACAGCAGTCCACCAGGTTTCAAGCATTTGGCGAAGTTCTTCAGGCACATTTTCTGCATCCTCTGGTCCCCGTACTCGTCTAGAAGATGGGCGAATGAGTTCCCGAGGCAAATGACAGCATCAAATTTAGTGCCAGGTAGAAATGTTTCAATGTCAGATGGCAAAGTTTCCCAATTTGCTTCTTCAATAACTGAAATAATAAAGAGTTTAAATGTTTAAGTAATATTGCAATTGTAGTGAAGCAAATCTCGTATAAACAGTAGGCAGAGTCGGATTAAATATCGGTATTTTGACAGCTGTAATAGGTATTAGTCTCAATTTTAACCGACTTCAAAAACAAAAGAGGAGGTTCTTAATTTAACCGTTTTTATTGTTATTTGCGTAAGGCTGCCTGTTTAAAATAACAAAATTAACACACTTGGCACACACGCCGTGTGGGTTATAGGAACGTGTGATTTATTTGTACAGTTCGACTAAAGGGTTCGAATAGGCTTTTCATCATCATCATCAACGGCCTATAACAAGCTACTGCTGGATATAGGCCTCTCCTGCATCGACATAGCCACCGGTGGGTGGTATCCGAGGGGATTTCCGCCCAGGAAAAAAAAGCCTCTTCTTAAGAAGGAGGTTTTGTCCTACTATACCAAACTTGACACCAATCCTAAACCAATCCGTGTACCCGGATTGGTTTAGGATTGGTGTCAAGTTTTCTTTCTTTTGCAGTGCTGTTGTCCTGCTCCCTTAGTCGGCTCCTACGACACCCACGTCATAAATAAGATACTCTGTATTCTTAATCTGTCATCACACGTCATTTATAGGATTACAATGAAATAGATAGTTTTAAATTAGCGTTTTCTCTGCCATTGAAATAGTCTCTTTACGCTAGAACGCCTGTAACGGGTCCGTTAGTGTTACTGATAATATCGAATACCTATGTTAAATTTTAGATGTTTGAGATATTTATAAATAACGTGTTCTATGTATTGTGCTAAAACTATATTTCTAGACGACTTCTTATCAAACCAAAAAGGTTCTCCATAGATTTTTTGCATGTTTTGCAATATACTGGTATTCTTAATTAAATTAGTTGCACTTAAGGTTTGTCTGTTCAAATATGTAAAAAGATGTATTATAATACAGTTTATTACAAAAATCTTGATTTCGGTGCGTTGATAACGATGACCAACAGAAAAATGCTTACGAGTTTTCTCATAAAACGCTCATTTAGTTAGAACTGTCCTGATTATAATCACGTTATGTTAAGCGCTACGTTTTGACAGATAAAGATTAGGATATCATTTGAAAATTCGTGGTTTTAATGGTACCTGCTGGTAAGTGACTACCGTCGCCCACAGACACTTCCAACTCAAAGAACACAAGTGCGTTACTGCATTTTGAGTGCTATTCCTGAGTTTTTTGGGCTTCCGGCCCCACTCAGTTGATGAAAAGCAAACCGACGGACCCCTCAACTCCAATTTTTCATGAGGCCGTGGTATTATTACAATCGAACCGGTACACATGTACGAAACATGGCGCTCTATAAGAATTAATGATATTATTATAATAGGTACGTACTCCATTCGTCGTAATTAGACTCTTTTCTCTTGTCCCACCGAGCTTTTAGCGCGTGCTTCAACATTTTGTCTGACGCGTCGATGGACACCATCTTGAAGCCTTCGTCGATTAACATCATTGAGTCTATACTGAAATACATAAAACATTCAATGAACGATAGAACTACTAATCAATTTAGATTATTGTTAATAAGCTTTTTTTTTAAACTATTTGCGAGCCGAGATGTACTAATCATAGGAGCTTGGATAATACTTGTGATACACCAGCACAAGGACGGGGAATTCACCTATCAGGGTAGGTGATCAGTACTCCGAAAACATGAGACATTAATTTTTCTTTTAAATCATCATTATCCCAGCCATTAGACGTCCACTGCTGGACATAGGCCTCCCTCAATGACTGTACCTACTGTTGATCTCCGAAGTTTCTATCTTGTCTATCTATATTGTGATGTCTATCTTGTCATCATCAGTAGACGTCTTTTGCTGCGCTTTCCGTCTGTCTCCATTCCAGAACTTTTGGACCTTTTTTTTTTTTTCCGTGCGGAAATCCCCTCGGATACCACCTATCGGTGGCATGTCGGACTCGAACCGACTAAAACCGCACGCCGTCTCGGGTACTAATAGCCGGGGAACCAGGTATACCCTAGAAAGGAAGTCCCTGGTGCCCCGACATAAGAACTTTTGGACCCTATCGGCAACCTGTTGCGCGTGCTACGCGGTGCTTCTACTGTCATTTTAAACTGGCAAATATCTGAGCTAAGTTATCTTATTTTTCTTTCTTAAAGTAAATATTCTTGAAGAAGTGTATTTCCAAACGTTATCAGTTGGTCAATCAGTTTCTAAACAATTTTATTTAAAAGATAATTACAACTTCATTATCACATTCTATTTATCATAACGTAACAAGTTTCTTAACACAACAATTACGGCTATTGCAATAGAATGTCTTGTAAGACTAAGTATTTGATAAAATAACAAGATCAAATAATTCTTTGAACTTTGTACCATTACGACATGAAACCATACGCTGTATTATATTTAGTACAATAATGTTTACATGTATAATTATAAAATAGTGGAAAATAATCTCTGCCTGTGCTTTTTATTAGTCATTTTTGGAACGAAGTTAGTTAATTATTCGAACAGTAATCAAAGTTTTTAAGTTAATGATGCATACAGTCCAAATGTAGATTTTAGACCCAAACTAGATATGCAAGTACGTAGTACGTACGTATATCTAGTCAAGTACGTAGCTAAAGTGCGGGTAAGGTGGTTCATTCGCCCAACCTTAGAGGTCATAATATAATAATACCTAATCATTGTTTTTTTTTCCAAAATAACCAAAATACGAAATAGTGGTAACAGTACAAAATAGAATAGGAGTCTTCTATTATTTTGTTAAATGGTTTAGTGCTTCATGGTTTTGTTCTACCTTAAAACAAATCCTAGCCACAGATACGCGTTCCACGCCCTTAGTTTAGTGTGACAGAGTGCGAAAACTTTTAAAACCCACTATTTTACATAGTTACGATTGATATGAATAAAAGTAGGTATATTTAAGCCTTTTCCCTCTGCCTACCGTACACAGCCATCTGATCGCAAAATAGTCTAAGTCTGTGTTATTGTAACGCTGCTCTAGTTTATATTCACATCATCATCACATCAACCGCCTTTAACAGTCCACTGCTGGACATAGGCCTCTCCTTAGAAAGGAGGTTTTGACCTACTATACCACGCCGGCCAGACGGGTTGGTATAGGGTTTGTGTCAAGTTTTCCTTCTCTCTGCAGTGCTGTTATTCTGCGTAGTTTTTTTCTTAGTCGGCTCTTACGAAACCCACGGGATGAATAGGGGTGGTGACACTCTGTATTCTTAATCCGTCACCGCACGGACGTATGTCTAAATACGTCGGTACATATTATAGATAAATTAAAGACACGTAACAAATGTTGTCTTAGGTGGTAATCGAACCCACGATCTCTGGCTCAGCAGTCAGGATCGCTAAACCGACAGGCGAATCAATACAGCATCATCATCACATCATCACATCAACAGCCTTTAATAGTCCACTGCTGGACATAGGCCTCTCCTTAGAAAGGAGGTTTTGGCCTACTATACCACGCTGGCCAGACGGGTTGGTATAGGGATTGTATCAAGTTTTCCTTCTTTTTGCAGTGCTGGTGTCCTGCGTTGTTTTGCGCCCTTAGTCGCCTCTTACGACACCCACGGGGTGAATTGGGGTAGTGACATTCCGTATTCTTAATCCGTCACTAGACGGACAGCAGAATCACACAATAAATATGACAAACATTAGCTGTAAACTACGACCTGAAGATAAAGAAACCTGTAGATACATCCACTTACTGCTATGAACCAGTCATTTCAAAAACCGTGTTATCAAAGGTCATATTATTTACTTTTAAAGTCAATATATTATCTGTGGTATAAAACAGCTGAGATAAGTGTTGTTTTGTTCGAGTCTGGGAGTTCATCAGCGTGTGCAATCGTTGAAATCAAATACATCGTCATAGAGTGGTCGTTACCGAACATATTTGTTTGACTAGGAGGGTGACGAAACATTACATCACAATTTTAAGATAAATGACTGTGCAATAAAAGTTACTTTCCTACTAAAATTTTCGTTCAAGCAGAATAAGTAAAAAAAAACGGTGTATTTTTGATTTGGGAATATTTATTTCCTATGACATGAATATTGTATATAGACGAGTTAAAAGCAACGGATGTAATCTAGGATTATATATTTTTAAATCGGATAGTATATATATATATCAAAGGATATTCAAATATAAAAGGATATTTAGATGTTTCTATCTGCTAGAATTAAAAAAAGGCTTAGGAGGAATAGCTTCTCTGGATCCATTATTAAACAATTTGAATAGTTTTTTTTTGCTGTAAGAAAAATCTTCAGAGCTCTTTAAAAAGCTCTTTGTTAGAGTAGAGTTTGAAATTGGGGTTAAAAAATCGACTTTAAAATCCAAATGCAGGATATATTAATGATAATATAATTATTATGTAATCTATGACAACTTAAATAAACATAAATAATACTTTGCCTGAGTCAACTCACAGACTATATGAAAAATTAGTTTTCTTTAATAAAATTTCGAAAAGTAAAACCAAGAAAGTCAATTGTTACTTACCCGGTGCCGCAGGCAGTATCAAGTACATTCTTACAGCCGTGCTTTCTCAGAATACCGGTCAAGAAGTCCTTGTAGTTCTGTGTCCTCTGGTTGCTGTCACCGATGAACTTGTTCCATGCTCTGGCCGCCTTACCGTCCGCATACTGGTCCTTTACTCCCTCAGAGGGGATACCCTCAGACCGGGAGTGGAAAACTTGGTCAGCTGACATAATTTACTGAAAAGAAAATAAATAACTAAAAATTAAAGAAGAATAATAAGAAGGGCAGCAGAAGATGTAGTATTATTGAAATGAGATTATTTTTTTACATTATATTTGTAGAGGAACAAGTGTCATGTCCCTCCAACACAAAGGGAGGATCCTCCGACCAGGCGAGGTGATCATGCCTGAAATGCAGAGGCCCAACGGTTGATGTTTAAAAGTTGTATATATGCTAATCGGCGGGAGAATTCTTCATATCGCGATACAGGATTAGCAATTGTCATTCAAGAGTTTCTTCGTAGTTCCGGAATTAAGATGTCGACTCATAAGAGTAACTCCAAAAAGCATGTTTTTCATTACAACTGAAATGTAACCTTACGTAATTAATATTCAGTATTTTTTTACTTGTGTTGAGGTTTTCCTGTAACTTACATTTCAAGTAGCGTGACACATAGGTTTAACCTCATAGCATATAAGTAAAGTACGAGAAAGGAAAAATATTTTTTATTTCATATTCAAAAGGATTGAAATCCATAGAATAATAATAAATAAATAAACATAACACAAATACTTTTATGTTGTTGTAAGGGTCGACATCTCCAGCTACAGTCAGTTCAAGGTACAGTATCATTATCATCATCAGCCTATCGCAGTACACTGCTGGACATAGGCTTCTCCTATTGCACAGCACTCCGATCGGTTTTTCAGGTAACAGTGCGACCTTTAAACCTTCAAGAAAGGCCTTCTTCTTCAAAGGCCGGCAACACGCTTGTGACTTCAAGTTGCAGGCGGGCATGGGCGGCGCTAGCCACTATCTATCAGATGACCCGTCTGCTCGTTTACCCCCTCTTCCTTTTTCCCATCTTACTAACTTATCCTATCATATAAAAGGCCCAATTTTCCCTTTTAATACCTAAAAAGCCGGAAGCCCGGTTGAGTTCAATACGCTTGGCCCTATTACCTAAGTGGTATTAAAATTATGGTCGGCAAAATACGGGTGTTTAATATGATTCTGCCTGCTCCCTTTTGGGATGTCGTCGTAAATGTTTGCATAGGTTAATTACTAACGAAAATCTTTAAAAAAAAAAACTCAAAAATATGTTTTTTAAATAATAGTTTTAAATCGGTAGTACCTAATTTTTTTTTTCGTAGTTCCTATTGTTTATATCTAAACTTTACCAACCAATATTACTAGTTTGTGTAGGTCGAACTAAATGGAGATTATCACATTATTTCTAATCAGAAACATCTCATACAATTACGGCCATTTTCATACTTTATCAGTTTCATAAGTTCTTTATGCACTTTTTAACCAGAGTGACAGATATTAAAAAGTAGGTACGCATAACAGTAATACTAGGTTTGATTTCCAAACCAAACAACATTCGTGTTCCGTACGTGGCATACAAATATGTATTATGGACGGTGTAAGCACATCAATCATTGCGTCATTTCACCAAATGTCATTTAAAAAAAGTTAAGTAACAAATTAAAAAAAAAACATACCTGTGTTCTTAATTTAAAAATTGGCCGTCTTGAACAAGTAAGCACTGTCAATACTCTCGTATTTATTGTAGTGGTCACACGAAATATTGTTCTCAGTGACCGAACCGTACGCGTTCGTTTCGCGAATGGAACTGATTCTTAAAAGTGGGGAACGTGAAAAATAACTGTTCAAGTTTATACACTCGCTTCAAGGCTCGTAGAAATATAGGTATATAATAATTATTATCGTTTAATATGCGTGTTATGTCATCTTACATAACAAGTACTAAAGACAATTTCTATTAGTAAAATTGTTCAGTAGAGAACCAAACATTTTGATTCTTGTATTATTATTTTTTATAAATAAGTATGGCATTTCTAACGATGGCAAGGGATTGTTCGGTTCCCTGCTTAATTAATAAATTATTATTTTAAGAATTCAGTTTCAGCTTAGAATAAATAAGTGCTCTTTATAGAAACGGGCGAAATAGAACGAAAATTCGGATATGCTTCAGTTCAGGATACTTACGAGTTCGCCATAAAAACTTTCAAAAGGTGTTAAATTCGATCAGAATCTAATGATGTAAGTAATCGATGTTTTTATTTAATGTTTCGATGTTTAAATTCGTCTTAATCGAATACAGGTACACATCAATTGTAACGAAACGCTAAATGTAAAAAATGACCATATTCATATAAATTACACTAGTTTTAAACTCATCAGGAGTCCATCGTCAAGAAGCGAAGCAGCACTGACTACTTTAAAAAAATCAGTGAAATCTTTAATGTTAAATAGTTCCTATCAAAAACAAACCCGCAACACATAATGTCAAGGGAACCTGCTATTCGTGGAAAGAAAGGAAATACAATTTATGATTGCACGGATGCAATGGATGCAATGGTTTAAGCGGTCACCTCGCCACTTTATCTACCGCATTGAGTGTTGTAGATTCGATCCCTACTTGGGAAAACACTTTGTGTGATCCACAAATTGTTGTTCTGAGTCTGGGTGTTCTTTGTGTCCGTTTCATGTATGTGTGTAAAGTACTCCGCGACACAGAATGTATTCCTAGGGCGGCAGTTGTACTTTTAGAAAAACCGTTTCCCCGTGCCAATCCTAGAGATATTAAGGTAGGAATGAATGAAGGTTATAGCTTTCTGGGCTGATTCTAGTTTATATGATTTAGGTAGATATGTAATCAAATTGGAGAGGGGCTCGTGACTAGGTGGTAACCGATTAGGTTGACACATTGCAAAGTTAAGCAATCATAGCCAGGTGTAATAATAAAAAATTAAAAAAATTTAAATTATGTGTTGTGGGTTTGTTTTAAAACAAATAAAACTAAAATTGGTGGCATCAAATAGAAACAAAATAACAAAATAAAAGTCTCGGGCGCCAGATACCACCTTAAAAGAACACAGAACCCACCACAAACACAACAAATACCTCGGACATCTCAGCCAGCACCGAACCTTTTTAAAACAAAGCGGGAGGACAGCTAATGAATACAAGATGTTAAGTTCTATTGGCAGTTTATTATCCCGTAGTGTCTGTAGAGTACAATGTGTCTTATGTCTCTAATTACATTAGGTAATTCTTATACACAAATTAGTACTGTCATTAATGCAATCCTTTCCAATAAGAAAAAAATAAGGTTAAATAAATTTTAAAGAGTCACATGAAGACCCAAAAAGAAAAGAGTATAAGGGTAGTTGTAGCAACGCCCTACTCCCCTAATTAAAATTAACCCCTTTGGGGACCTGTATAGGTTTTTTTTAAACAAAGTCGCATAAAGACTTAATAGACAAAACAATAAACTCTAAGGGTAGACATAGCATTGACCTACTCTCTAATAAAAATAACACCCCTTAGGGACCTGCAGTATTCAATGCCACGTCGCCAAGAAAAATATAACAAAAACACATACCGATGACCTTGGATCAGTCCGAACGAAATGAAATCAAACCAACTCCGAAACTTCTCACTCCGGTTCCCACGTGGTGTAAGAGGCGGGTTAGCACCCCCCGGCTCCAGACAATGGCGTGCAGCTAAGCAGCTTTTTCTACCAATCCGGTGCTCCACAGCAATCTAATTTCTTGGGGTCAAACTCCGGCGAGAGACAAAAATCGAATGCCACGCAAGGACATTTCAATAAGAAAGTAAAATAATTTAGGTGATGTAAAGACTTTAGATATAAGCTAAAAAAGAAAAGAACCCTGATTCATCAGGGTTCTAAAATGCTTCACAAATCAAGCAGCGGCATTATAAGCATTATAAGCATTGCCTTTTTTATCAAAAATAATCACTCGATCCACTAGCTCGAGTCTTAACTAGGTTGGCCAAACATTTAAAGAGGAAATAGGCCCTCGTCCATATCAAATAAATACGGATTTCTAAAAAATTAAATGACAAAACGGTTTTGCGTCATTTCTCTCGGCGGCCGATCCAAAAGTGCAAGTCAAAGTGATACCAGTGCAATAGCCTCTCGCTCAATAGAGCGGGGAAACAAAAATGTTGCCAGAACAAGAAAAACTAAATCGACTAACTAATCGCGGGCGAACAACATCGATTATTACTCTCGTCCGTCCCTCGACCGTCGGCACACGCAGAAACGACAAAAAATTCAACCTAACAAAACAAAAACGAGACTAAGGTTCAAATTACTGTAATGGTGCGAAATGCACCGTTACACAGGTCAGTATGGATGGACCATTCTTAACATACATATTGATAAATTATCGAGTAGACTCAGCTCAACAGCATACTCAGTAAGAAAAATTCAAGAGTTGACTAACTGATGTTGCTACAGCACGACTTGTCTACTTCAGTTATTTTCACAGCATAATGTTGTACGGTATTTTACTGTAGGGGAATGCTGCCGACATTCAAACTATTTTTGTACTGCAAAAAAGAGCGATTCGAGCACTTTATAATTTAGGCAATTGTTTGTCTTTATATTTCATGCAACAGTGGCATGTCAATATATATTATTATATGAAAATGTAATATATGTTCATAAAAAACAAAGATAGCTTTTTGAAAAAAAGTGGTGTACATTCTATAAATACTACAAATAGAAATAAACTTGTAGTACCTGCCCTCTAGGCTCCAAAAGATAAACAAGTCGTTTCGAGGACGATGTCTTCGATTTTATAATAAAATCCCAAATGATATACAAGACTTAAGTGTTAACAAATTTAAATCCGCAATTAAACGTGAATTGTGCCTTTTGCTCAATTGTGGATTACATAGAAGACAAAAATGCTTGGGAATAATTTAGTGCGGACATGACGGAATATGTATTTCCGTAACTAGCATGAAATCCCGCTACGTTTAGGACGCTAAAGACCAAGTTTGACTACTGTTGAAAAGCTCGAGCCAGTTGATACAAATGCAATGACTACCGAATAACTATAACTTAATATGCCATACAGAAATGCTGTACAAAATTTGAGATCAAGGTCGCCTTTTAGAAGTAGAGATAGGGGCGGATCCAGCTTTCAACTCGGGGCGAGGGGTGTTATTTGTATGTAGTTAGGACCACAAGCTCCAATTATATTACCTATTTGAAAAAGAACTAAACCCAGACCAGGGGAGGGATCATGACCTCCAATCATCTAAATCTGCTTTGCGTAAAGGAGATTTTTTGGTAAAAATTTAGCAAATTAATTAACGCTCAAGAACCGAAAATGAAAAATTAACAAAAAACTTAAGTACTGATGTTTAAAGGTATCGTTGAAAGATTTTTTAACAGATGGCGTTAAGATTTCTTCAGGAGTAACATGATACCTTTAAACATCAGTACTTAGGTAATTTGTTAATTTTTCGTTTTCGGTTCTTGAGCGTTATATATACATAACTAGCGACCCACCCCGGCTTCGTCCGGGTGCAAAGTAGATACTAATGTGGTATATAATATAATATAATATATTCTACCACATTCACACAACGCCATCTAGTCCCAAACTAAGCAGAGCTTGTACTATGGCTACTAGAAAACTGTTATAAATACATATATACTTTTTTTTTGTAAATACATACATATTATGCATAGAAACACCCAGACCAAATCAAACATCAAATGTTCATGCACACAAATGTTTGACTTGAGCGGGAATCGAACCCGCGGCCTTTGGAATAGCAGTCCGTTACACAAACCACTCGTCGGTATCATTGCGGAGTAAGCTAATTATATTATTATTATGATTAGATTGCACTACAGGATACCTTTATATACCTACATATACAATATTTAATACACGCCTGCATCAAGCGTGCGTATAAAATATTGTATGTCGGCTGGTGCTACCGGCTCCGCATTTTAAATCTCAGATATTTTCTAAGATATTCATTATAATGACGTATTGCAAAGGGCAATTTTGATCTGCATTAAATGTACAACGTATCTAATGTATTTCATTGGGTAAGGAATAATGCAGTATTTTTTCAAATAGCTTCGGAATTAACCCATTCTCTTTTATTTTATTTTTAAAAGATAAAAATGGTTACTGTGAGTTATCCTTCACTTCATCTTATACTATAAATACCTATTATTGTAAGAGAGCAGGCTGATATAAATGAAACTATGGTTATAATCTAGATAAAATCTAGATATACTTAGATAAAAAGATTGTATACATGAGAATTAGTTTACTCTTTTGATTTTTCTAATACGTGTATATAGAATCCAGGCACTGGGACTTGGCCCATTGGCTTGAAATCAGCGTAGATGTCATGTTTAGCGCGATTGTCGAAGGCTTCGTCCAACATCTTCGTGAAATTCTCGAGTTTGTGAAGGTAAAGAGACAGACTGAACTCACTGAAACGATATAAAAAAGTAGTTGGCTTTAAGCTCTTCGTAATATACTTATAATTAATGTATACAGGAATTATTACTACATTTCTGTTGTCTGACGTTTTCACCATGGTGCATTGGTCGGGATCAGAGGCTGCCTCTGTCACTTCAATACAGTTGATCGAGTTAATTCCGGTACATCTGCATGATTGTATTTTAATTGTCAGTATTGCCAGTATAAACAAACCTTATACCAACCCCTCCGGGCCAGCGTCGTATAGTAGGCCAAAACCTCCTTTCTAAGGAGAGGTCTATGTACAGCAGTGGACTATTAAAAGCTGTTGGTGATGATGATTTCTAGTACGAGGCCTACAGTTTTCTCACCAATTTTATGTGAAGTAACAAATTAATTTTAATCATTTAAGTTAAGAAATATTTAATTGTATTCTTAACATAATTTATTATGTTATTAAGACAGCATTCTAAGTGTTGGAGATTTTCAGGTGTCCTTATGTGACCCGAACCAATGCTTTCGAGTTCATTAGTCAGGAAGTTAAACTGTTTATTCTGTCAAAGGTAGTATAGATAGTTCAACTCAGTTGTGCGCGTGGCCCTATGTGTTCGTGGGCTTGTAAATATACAACTTTCATTCGTGTGGCAGTGACGCGGCAGTCGTCGTCCGAGCAGCACACTAACACAGAACTATCTATACTTACATCATTCCTGTATTTTCTTGTACGTAGTACTGAAGCGTTACTGTTTTGGGCTTCCCGCTGTCAAGCATTACGGTCGACTTAATTTGATGCCACTGAAAAATAGAAAAACATAACAAAACTGTAAGTATGATAATAAATTAACTAAGTAAACTAGTCAGTAACTAACTAACTTAAAATTAATTAAGTTTAACGTTATGGATATCTTATATATCTTACGTCATTTTAATCTTATGAATTTGTAAAACTAAAACACTCCTGCTGGTGAAAAGGGCATCGTAGTCTGAGTATTTTAAGTGCTTTGAAGTGCCGGTAATCGCTTTTTATTAGTCACAAGTGCGTAGGCGCTATTTGAGACCCACCCCTCCCAGGAGGCAACGCAATTGTGACTCTTAAGTCCATTGGCGATGGTAGTCACTTACCATCAGGTGACCAGTCTGTTAGTTTGCCCCTAAATATACCATAAATCATTATTCATTTATCACTGCCTCATTTAGATTACATAAAGGGATTTAATGCCACAGGGACCACTCCACTAGTATCCACTAGTCAACCTTTAGATGATCCAGTAAGGGATATGGCAGGTGTTACAAAACAAGATTATTTTAGAGTAACAGACATATACATACCGGTTTAACACGGCACGGCACGAATGGGCCGGCTCGACCGAAGTGACACTGCCTCACAGAAAACCGGTGTTGAGCAATTCTTTCGTTGCCTTTCACTGAGTGAGTGAGGTTACCGGAGCCCGAATCCCCCCTCCCGCTGACTCGAGCGGGAGGGACTCCAAGGGCAGCAACGCCCTTGTGACTTTTGAATTGCAGGTGTCCATGGGCGGCGGTAGTTACTTACCATCAAGTGACCTGTCTGCTCGTTTCCCCCCTTATACCATAAAAAAATACATTCACATCACATCATACATCAACAGCCTTTAAAAGTCCACTTCTGGACATAGGCCTCTTCTTAGAAAGTAGGTTTTGATTTACTATAAGCACGCTGGCCAGACTGGGTTGGTATAGGATTTCTATCAAGTTTTCCTTCTCTTTGCAGTGCTGTTGTCCTGCGTAGTTTCTTACCTTAGGCTCTTACGACACCCACGGGATAAATAGGGGTGGTGGCTCTCCGTATTCTTCATCCGTTAACACACGGATACATATACTTACACGCAAATCACGAATATGCACATAGGTACATACCGACATACATGCAGATAAAATACTAAATATGTATAAAATGTTGATATTTTCTTTATATGTTTGGTTTTTCGAAATCATATGACTTCAGCCCTTAAGTTTGCATGTGGACCCTGTTGTTAAGTGGCGAAGTGGGTTTCCATTTGGTACTTATTCCGCAAATTAGCTGTAACCTATATTTTATTTTTAGTTTGCGGACGACCCATATCAAGAACTAGATTGTAAGTAACGTAGATTTTAAATAAATTAATTGTTTGTTTTTTAAACAAGCTTTTATGGACCAAATTTATCACTATATACACAAATAAGTCTAAACTGGATGCAGTTATCTTATTTGGTTAGAAATTTCTGTGGCTGTCTTCCGGTTCCGTCTTCAGAACAGTTTAATGATACTGCCGCTAAAGATACATATACAAACCAAATTTGAGTCCAATCACACATCGGGAAGTAGTTCTCATATAGCTTGTAAGGTTCGTAGCGAACACAAACAAACAAGTTAAAATTAAATGAATGCTTGTAAAATCAACTTACATCATAATAAATAGAATGATTAGGTACCGATCCACCGTTTAGAATATCATCAAAATTCCTATGATCAATGAACAATAATCCACCGGGTTTCAAGCACTTATTGAAGTTCTTCAGGCACAGTTTTTGTGTTCGCTGGTCTCCGTGCTCATCTAGAACATGGGCAAAGGAGTTTCCGAGGCAGAAGATAGCATCGAACTGAATTTCAGGTAGGAATGCTTCTAAATCAGATGGCAAAGATTCCCAATTTCCTTTTTCAATGACTGGAACATTAATACATTAATTTACGAGTAAAACAACAAAACAAAGAAGAAACTCTGTACTTAATATGAGTAACGAGAGCAATAAATATTTTAGTGTTTGGTGATACAATAATTGTTACTAGCTTATAAACAGAGTAGTGGCTAAGCTGTGACTTCTAAACGAGTGGTTAGATACATAATCGAACTCTACCTAGTATACTACTGACATAGATCCACTCCTGACAAATTTTTCGCTTAGCTGAACTGAATGTGAACCCAACATGAATAGTCTTAAAATAACGAGACATTAATGAGAACTTACTCCATTCATCGTACTTCTTCTCCTCCCGAGCCCTTAACGCATATTTCAACATTTTCTCTGAATCATCGACGGACACGACTTTGAAACCTTCTTCGATCAACATCATCGAGTCTATTCTGAAATATATTGAATCAATTTTGTAATTGCAGCATCTGATTTCGGATTCTGAATGCCCTAGACTGACTGGCTGGAAAAATTCAGTTTAGCGCTTGCAAAGGCAAGGGCTCAGCGCCCCAACGAGCCCTAGGCTGGAGCCTTATCAATCCATGGGTAAGTTATAGCCCTATAGGGTAGCTTTGTGAAAGTAGGGTACGGGCAGAATGATCAGTTTAACGAACGTTGAAAACTGCTTCAACAATTCCTCGAATAAAAAGGGCAAGAGACATTATGCCGACACAAAAGATACGCTTCCTAGTTTTGCAGATCATACCCAACATGCTATGATTGAGTAAGGGATTTGTGTTTGAACGTATTATTAGGGGGTTTTTAGAAATCGAATCATAGTTGCCTAATTGTCGTTTATTCTACTCATATGTCAACTATGTTAGTTTCGAACTTGACTAAATGAAGTAAAGTCCAATTACGCACTCAGGACCAAATCACACAAGGAATTTGAATGTACATTTACCTACAGATGTATCAAATAAGTATGAGGCCACTCAGAAAGTATTGCGAAAAAGTTTTTATGTACGGAACCCTGGTTAATTATAATTATTTAAAAACATGTGCTCGTTACATATAAAAATACCATTGTTCGAATTTCAAATTTCCAATCACCCTTTTTGAGGGCTAAATTGAATTACCGTGTCTCATTGAAAAATGAAAAACATTTTTGAGTGCCTCACGTTTTACCTACAAAGCAAAGTAGTTTTACCCTCTAATACTATTTTCACATGCCTTCACATTCCTTTAATGTATCGTTAAAGGCTTACCCGGTACCGCAGGCAGCATCAAGAATCCTATTACAGCCATGTTTCTTCAGGATACCGGTCAAGGTGTCTTTGTAGTACTTGATTCGCCGGATGTCGATATACGAGCCACAAATTCTGGCTACATTATCGTCCGAATATGGATTGCCATTTGAGTGGGGTTCCTCAGATTGCTGCTGATCGTCTTGGGCAGCTGACATAATTACCTACAGCAAAAAGGGGATTCAAAGGATGGCAACGCACTTTTAAAATGCAGTTGTCTATGGGTGGCGGTAGTCACTTAACATCATTAGACCCGTCAGCTCGTCCCCTATTCCATAAAGTGAAGTCATGCTTCGGATCAAATTGTCAATATCAAATATTTCTTGTAAATGAATTAGCTTATTCTACAATTTTATTTTACAAATCACTCGTCTAAACATTGTAATCCGTGTGGTGACGGATTACGAATACAGAGTGTCACCACCGCTATTCATTCCGTGGGTGTCGTAAGAGGCGACTAAGGGAACAAACTACGCAGGACAACAACACTGCAAAGAGAAGGAAAACTTGATACAAACCCTTTTTTTTTTTTTTTTTTTTTTTTTTAACGTGTGGAAATCCCCTCGGACCGTCACCCCTCCGGGGTTTGCGGCGGGGTGGTGTGTCGGACTCGGACCGACTAAAACCACACGGTGTGCCACTCTGCGCCTGTAACAGGAGGGATCCGGGAACAGCTGTTGTTAAGACATCCGGACCCCTCCTAGCGCCAGCCCGCTCCTGGTGCGGGCTCCGTCTCAATATAGATGTTCCTCTCTTTAGGCGACGTCCGGCACACGCGGACGCCGCCCCCTCGCGGCTGGCCAACTAATGCGGGTGGAGGGGAAACCCACCCCGTCCACCCGCGGCCACACTCAGGGCGGCATGAGGCTGTGGTAGGCGGGCCTCCGCCGCCCGGTTCGCCGGCGGCGGATCGGGTCCGAGTGGAGGTCGTCCTCCCGGGCCCTTTCCGCCGCCTCCTTCCGCGAGATTACTACCTCGCAGAAGGTTGCGACCGCGGTAAAACAACTGTCGCTACCGGCCATGGAGCGTACTACGGCCGGTAGCGAGAGATCCACTCCGATGACTGCAGTGAGGGCCCGGCGCTGCGCCGCCCATGCGGGGCAGACCGCCAGCGTGTGCTGGGCCGAGTCCTCACTGCAGTCGCAGTGGTGGCAGGCGGGACTCAGTTCCCTCCTAGCGACCGTGTGCAGGTACTTTCCGAAGCAACCGTGCCCGGAAAGCACCTGCGTCAGTCGGAAGGAAAGGGTCCCGTGCTGCCGCCCTGCCCACTCGGCGATGACCGGCTGGAGAGCCTCCACGGCGGCGAAGCCAGCGCGTGGAGTCTCCAGCCGGAACGACCAACGAGCCATCGTGGCTCGGCGAGCGGCTTCGCGCCACTCGCGCACATCCTCGGGCGGAGGGCGAAATCCGCTCTCCGCCCGGTAGTCAGCCACTCGCCGATAAACTTCGGCGAGCACTTCCGCCTCCAAATCCCACGGGGGAGTTCCGGCCAACGCGCACGCCACATCCGTCGAAACGGTGCGGTAACCGCGTATGGCTCTGACCGCCATTACCCTCTGAGGGCGCCAGAGGCGTACCCTATTCTGGGCGGTCAGAGCCGCCGCCCACACCGGTGCACCGTACAGTGCCATTGACCGGACAACCCCCGTGTACAGCCGTCTTGTCGCGACGCTGGGTCCACCCATATTGGGCAAAAGTCGCCCTAGGGCAGACGCAGCGCCGACCAGCTTTGGAGCAAGCTGTCGGAAGTGCTCGTCGAAGAGCCACCTCCCGTCGAGGATCAGGCCCAGATATTTCATCTGGGCCCGAACCGGTACGAGGACCGAGTTGACCACGATGGAGGCGCCAGGGGGTGGACCACGACGGGGCCCATGAAATAACAGGGCCTCCGTCTTATCTAGGGCCACCCGTAAGCCCAGCGCCTCAATGCGCCCGACCACCAGGGAGACTCCCCCTGTGGCCAGGCGCGCCGCCTCTTGGAAGTTTGCCCCCCGGGCTGTCACCAGGGTATCGTCTGCGTAACAGATTACACCCAGCCCGGGGGGGAAATCGGCGCGAAGGGCCCAGTCGTACCCTATGTTCCACAAGAGGGGTCCAAGAACAGACCCCTGTGGAACACCGCACGACATGGGCCGACACCTCAAATTACCTTCTCGGTCCTCGTACACGACGGTACGCTCCTCTAAATAGTCTGCCACTAGCCGCCTCAGGTACTTTGGCACCCCATGATAGTGGAGTGCTTCCCTGATGCAGCTGAATGGCAGACTATTGAATGCGTTGGCGATGTCCAGTGACACCGCCAACAGCACGCCGCCACAGCTCACGGCCTCTTCGGTCACGGCCCTCAGGCGCAACACGGCGTCGACTGTCGAACGCCCCGCCCGAAAACCAAACTGGGCGTCCGACAGATCGGGGCCCACCTCGCAGAGGTGCCGGACGATGCGGGCAGAAAGAACCCTCTCAAACAATTTGCCCGCCTCGTCCAGCAGCACGATGGGCCTATAGGCCGCGACCGAATCGGCTGGCCGTCCCGGCTTCCTCAATAGGACCAGCTTCCCGCTTTTCCAGCACTCAGGGAAGCGTCCCGACGCCAAGCTAGCGTCGAACACCTCCCCGAGGCGGTCTGCCATGTGGTTGAGGGCCAGGGCCAGCACTCGGGCCGGTACCCCGTCTGGCCCAGGGGCGGTGTTCTTGGAACGGATCCGTAGAACAGCCGCCCCTACCTCCGAATCCCGGACGGGCGGAACATTGTCCTCCCCGTGCTCCCCGTCGTCTCCGGCCAGGGAGGCCATCGACGGGGGACCTACCCTATACCAACCCGTCTGGCCAGCGTGGTATAGTAGGCCAAAGCCTTCTTTCTAAGGAGAGGCCTATGTCCAGCAGTGGACTATTAAAGGCTGTTGATTTGAAACATTCTAAGTGATATTTGTTTGATGAATGAAATACAGTATGGAGGGCTTAACTGATTTAATCAAAATGCTTATGTGACTAACAATAGAGTAAACGTGAGATTTTCATTGTTTTGTTCAGTTTTATTTTTTAAAAGTTTAAATAAGTAATAAATTAATTTAAATTATCGTCAAGCAATAAAGAAAACCTTAAACCATTAGGCAATGAAATAAAGGAGTGCGTGAAGGAGGATTTCGAGTGATCTAGAATAGAATCCTTGCATCGTAACTAAATAAATTTTGGAAAAGGGTATTTTTTAATTAATAACATTTTCACTACATAATTTAAATGACATTTCACAAATTTAAGAACCAATGTTATAAATACCTAATAATCTTGCAAACCTCTATGCAATTCAAGGATGTTCAAACAGGTTGACTGATTGAAAGAACTAAACGTATAGACACTACCAGTTGTTTCACGAAATGAGTTTGATTAAATGAAACGCTATTTATTAAGCGATTCCATTGCTTAATTAAATACTTCCGTGGAACAAACAACAATAAAACATTTATAATCGTAATTGTACTAATTCCGATAATTTTTAAAAACAGTGTCATTTACATGTAGGTTAATTAAGAACTTTAACGATTCAGGTGTATAAAATAATACTTAATTGATAAGGGAAAGAACACACCATCCGAGGTTGTGCGAGGCCAAACGTCGGCCCTCAGAGGGTAATGGCGGTCAGAGCCATACGCGGTTACCGCACCGTTTCGACGGAGGTGGCTTGCGCGTTGGCCGGAACTCCCCCGTGGGATTTGGAGGCGGAAGTGCTCGCCGAAGTTTAACGGCGAGTGGCTGACTCCCGGGCGGAGAGCGGATTTCGCCCTCCACCCGAAGACGTGCGCGAGAGGCGCGAAGGCGCTCGCCGAGCCACGATGGCTCGTTGGTCGTTCCGGCTGGAGACTCCACGCGCTGGCGTCGCCGCCGTGGAGGCTCTCCAGCCGGTCATCGCCGAGTGGGCAGGGCGGCAGCACGGGACCCTCACCTTCCGGCTGACGCAGGTGCTTTCCGGGCACAGTTGCTTCGGAAAGTACCTGCACTCGGTCGCTAGGAGGGAACTGAGTCCCGCCTGCCACCACTGCGACTGCAGTGAGGACTCGGCCCAGCACACGCTGGCGGTCTGCCCGGCCGGCGGAGTGGACCGGCCGTAGTACGCTCCATAGCCGGTAGCGACAGTTGTTTTACCGCGGTCGCAACCTTCTGCGAGGAAGTAATCTCGCAGAAGGAGGCGGCGGAGAAGGCCCGGGAGGACGACCTCCACTCGAACCCGATCCGCCGCCGGCGAACCGGGCGGCGGAGGCGTACTTATCACCGCCTCATGCCGCCCTGAGTGTGGCCGCGGGTGGACGGGGTGGGTTTCCCCTCCACCCGCATTAGTTTGGCCAGCCGCGAGGGGGCGGCGTCCGCGTGTGCCGGACGTCGCCTAAAGAGTGGCAAAATTTTTGAGACGGAGCCCGCAACAGGAGCGGGCCGGCGCTAGGAGGGGTCCGGATGTCTTGATAACAGCTGTTCCCGGATCCCTCCTATTACAGGCGCAGAGTGGCACACCGTGTGGTTTTAGTCGGTCCGAGTCCGACACACCACCCCGCCGCAAACCCCGGTGGGGTGATGGTCCGAGGGGATTTCCAAACGTCGGCCCCCAAGGTCGGTCATTGATCTCTGAGGCTATGCCGGTAGAGTCACTCATGCCAGATTGGTTCAGAGGGACACTCCAGACTAAGAAGGATACTCGGTGTGGCCCTTCTTGGGTCGCCAATAGTTGCTCCACTTTCCAAAGTGGAGGAACGACGACGCGTTCTGTGAGCACTTACACTGCCTCCGAGCAAGCTACGGGGACGGTGTCTCCTTGCAACCGTAGGCACATCGTAATCCCGAAAGGAATGTCGTGGTTATGTCTCGCGACTCTAATTTGGGGCGAGGGTCTTTGCTCTTCTTCGTCTCTCTCTCGCTCTTCTTTTTCGTCTTTGATTAGCCGCCCGGACTACGAGCCGAAGAATATCGGAACGATTACGATCCAGGTCCGCCATTCCGTCGGACGGAGGTAACTCCAGTACGACGATGGACGCATTAGAGTAGTTGGAGACGGAGCTCTGCGATAGTAGGAAACGTGGACGCTCCAGGGACAAAGAGAGTGATACGTCCAAGGAGATTATGCCTCCTAAAGTGGGTACTATCCGTAGAGGGAGGCCACGCACGCCGATCTCGGCACGTCAGGCTCTGTCGTCTCTAAGGCGGAAGCCTATAGACGGGTCCGAGCGGAGGGCGAAAGCGCAGCGAAAGATGGGATTGCTCCTGCATAAGATCCGGGCGCCGGTAGAAAGTAGTTTCGCCCCCTAACACCGGTGTCTTTGCAGGAGAGAGCAAACGTTGCAGAGGCCATAATACAGAAAGTGGCCACACAATGCAGAAACCTTAAGAGTTCCTTTATAAGGGCTCTTAAGGACTCCTCTTTCGCTCTCGCGGGTGCGATTTTGGGGCGTATGCTCTCCGGAGGCAGCTGACGGCGGACTGTCGTACGAGGCCGTATTCAAGAAGGCCCGGGACAGTCTCGCCAATGGTTTCGGGACGGTAGGGGCCAGAATGCGTCTCGCCCAGACGATATTTTTTAAATTGTTTTCCATACAAACCGTGTTCTGACAATGACTCATACAACAAAAAAAATAATTATCCAAATCTGTTCCAAAGCCGTTCTCAAGTGATGTTTCGTCATAACATTTATTACGGCAAAATTATTTTTATTTAATTATTATGTAGGTAACCGGTTAAGGTTAACCGTTAGGTGAAAGTAAAAAAAATTTCAGTGTTAACTTTGAAATATTTTTTACTTTCAATTAGGAAAAAAATTAAAATAAATAATAGGTAACAATAACGAATAAATATTAAATGTATTGAACACTGTACGCAACTGTACCGAAATCGTAAGGTGTATTACACTAAACATTTTAAAAGCCAGCACAATGTACTGGGTGATTGCTTTTTTGTAATCACCTAAACATGGTCGGGTTACCACGGTCTTGCACCTTCTAATGAGTTTTATTTAATTATCTCGTAAATTATTATATGTACGACGCTAAAATTTTACAGATAGACAACTGAACTAAACAATTCATTATTGGTATAACATTCAGTTTATATATCCACACACAGGTTTATCGGTGGCCAAAAAAGGCCGCACATATTGTGATCGTGAACGTGGAGAGTTACATTTCATCATAACTTTTTAGTTACCAACAGTATACTAACGAAAATTCGTATACATTGGAAGGCAGTTACAAGCAATAGAATAACGTTTAAAGTGAGTCTTTAGAGGTGTCTTATTCAAAGTGTTAGGACGTATTGTTTTCATACTTAATTAAATAATTTTTAAACGGTCCATTATTTTTGTTTGTATATTGTTAAACAAATTAAAACTAATCCTCAAGAAGTAATGTACAAAAGATGGTTACAATCCGCTTACCCGTTTCAGAGATCCAGCAAACCCACAAACGTTACTCCAGCAGGATCTCGAATAACTTCAGAGCCGAAGAAACTACAAATACCAAATAAGTTGTAACATTTACCTCGTCCAGATAACTAATTATTTAGCTAATATTTATTTCAATATTCCAATTAAAAAGAAAATGTCTGGCTGTGGTAATGTTTCAAACGTTACCCCAGCAAGAAATGTTTTTTTGAAATAACTAAAAAAGAATTAATGAAACAAATTTAAAAATGTGCCTTACAATTACAGAAAGGGGGCAACTAATTAATAATAATAATAATAATATTCTACTACATTCACACAACGCCATCTAGCCCCAAACTAAGCAGAGCTTGTACTATGGGTACTAGACAACTGATATAAATACATATATACTTTTTTTTTGTAAATACATACATATTATACATAGAAACACCCAGACCAAATCAAACATTAAATGTTCATGCACACATATGCTTGACTTGAGCGGGAATCGAACCCGCGACCTAACGTTAAAATGGTCATTTAAACCTAATTATCTATAACGTTTAAATGACCATTTTCGACATTATTTTGCTGGGGTAACGCACACGATTAACTGTGTGCACAGTGGATTGGGACTCACTGTGTACTTGTTGTTAAGGCGATACGCATCTTGTCTGAGTTGCAGGTATTCATTGGCAAAGGTGACCACTTACCATCAGGTGACCCATTTTAATCGTTTCCGGCATATGGCATAGCGGCCATAAAAAAACAGGATTTGGGTTATTAAAAAAAAAACAACATTTTCCCATGATATTTATTACCATGACAAATACAGAACATTTCATGTTAATGATTTCTCTAGCGTGATTCAGTACTCAAAACCGCTTACTAGCCTTTGAGACATTTATATTTACAATGTAGTAGACATTGGACAAAATCACAGTGAACTGTGATTTATCATTCTATTTTGATTACGTAGGTTAGGGTTAAACGCTATTTAACAGTAAATCTAGTAATTTTTTTACATTATTATGTAGGGAATGGTAGCTATATATAATAAAATAATTACTAGATTAGCTGTTAAATACGCGAAATAGGGTCTTTATGCATCGTCTGAAAACAGATTATTGGCATCATCGCGTGAAGTAGTAACCCTAACCTACGTACGGAAAAAATAATGTTAAATCACCGGTCTTTCACAGTTCACTGTGATTTTGTCCCATGAATACAATGTAGGACATATTTGTAACTGTCAGTAGTTGTTACTACTTAAACTCATATTGTTAACGCATTCGCTACGTTACGGCAAATATTTTGCTGAGTCTTTGTCTTTGTTTATCTCGTACCGCACTGGAATAAAGTTCTAACACCGCCGCGCCGTCGACGGCCGTCTGATCCCAAACTAGGCAGAGTCTGTGCTATGGTAACCAGACTGCTGATAAACATACTTATATATTCTTAAATACATACATATTTTAGAAAAGTTAAACCCAGACACAGAACAAATGACCGTTCCTCATACCACAATATTTGTCCTGGGTGGGAATCGAAACTTGGACCTCCGGTTTAGCGGGCAGGGTCACTAACCACTAGAGCAACAGGCCAGTCAAATAAAACTACGATTTTGGTAATGATTTCTACCAATTAAAATCCAAATATACCAGGTCTACAAAACCAAACAACAAGCAACTTTAAAGAATTTAACACTAACTTTATATTGTAATTTTCTGTTTAAGTTCCTATTAGCCAAGACCCGCATATCCATGTGGTGACGGATTAAGAATACAGAGTGTCACCACCCCTATTCATCCCCGTGGGTGTCGTAAGAGACGACTAAGGAAAAAAACTACGCAGAACAACAACACTGCAGAGAGAAGGAAAACTTGACACAAATCCTATACCAACCCGTCAGGCCAGCGTGGTATAGTAGGCCAAAACCTCCTTTCTAAGGAGAGGCTTATGTCCAGCAGTGGCCTGTTAAAGGCTGTTGACGTGTGATGTGTAAGTATGAACAGTGGTAGTGGCACTCTGTATTCTTAATCCGACACCACACGGACCATACATGCTGTGAAATTCTAAATCATGTTCATGTCCTGAATGTTTCGGTTAGTAATCCTGATCATTATGCATAGAGCTATTATGAATTATTTTAATTTTGGTTTGTTTTTCAAATGTAAATGAAAAAGAAGTTAACACATGCATAAGTACCTCAGATGTATCTCACAAATTTATTATAAAAAAAATACTTAAAGTATCAGTAAAAGCATACAAACTAAATCAATGCACCAACATCAGAAGCGTCTATACCTAACATAGCTAAGTCATCCATCTCTTCTTTCTTCCTCGCAACTTCTCCGTTCCCCTTTTCGTCTTTTATCATCTTCTGTTGTGGTGGTTTTTGAGGTTCTTTCTTTTTAATTTCATTCTTCTGTTGTCGTTTTTGCTGCTGATGTCTGGGTTTTGGACTAGGAACTATTGGCACGTGGGTGTCATACAGCTGGGGACGAGGTTGGAACAGAGGAGCGTTCATATCGAAGCCGAACATTTGAGGTTGCATCAGCGGTAAGGGGGGGAATGGAGGCATAAGGCCAGGCATAAAGCCTGGTGGCATCGCGAATAATTCTTGCTGACTGAGCTCCTGGTTTTTTACTTCAGATGGAAATATTATATCGAGAGCATCTTGGAAGTCTTTTGGCAGGTTCGGCTGCTGCGGTATCTGCGGTTGCTGCTGTGGAGCCTGTGGTCTGGAATAACGAATATAAGTTTGGTTATTCGCCCATAGTCCAGCGACTTTGGAGACTACAATGGATTGCTTTTAAGTTTAATGTTGATTACTTACCAATAAAATTTCAGTTATGTTTTTAAATAAAATTATTAAAACTTACGGATATAAATTCCTTAACCGGGTGTGAAAGCATGCGTATAAATATGTGACAATAACTACTTGCTAACAAATAATTACATTGAGATGTTTAAGGATGATAATGATGAACTATATATTGTGGCGGTCGCCATCTGTAATCGATTAGTAGAACTAATCGGTTTTGAAAAAAGTATGAACATTCTAAAAAGCGATATGACACTTTAGCCATTTCCAGAGGAGCGTTTCCTACCAGTCGCCATTTTACAAAACTTTTTGGAAAAATAAAGGAACATTCTGGGAAATACTGATAAAAGAAAGCTGGACTGTAGATGTGGACCGCGATGCGGTATGGATACTTTTAGATCTGTACCTCGAGTAAAAGTTGAGTGCACAGAAATTAGTAATAATATTGTTTTTAAAAGGAGATTATATTTATTTTTGTTTTTTCTTTTTAAAAAGACAACTCTCGTAATAATAATTCCTGTGTCGCGGGGGACTTTACAAACATACATTAAACGGACACAAAGGACACCCAGAGTCAGAACTACAATTTATGGATCACACAAAGTGTGGGGGATCCCATGTGGGGGATCTAACCCACAACATCCAGCGAAGTAGGAAGTGGCGAGTCCACTGCTGGACATAGGCCTCTCCCAATGATTTCCAGCGGGGACGGTTAATTGCGCCCTGCATCCATCGGTTTCCGGCAACCTTTACCATGTCGTCCGTCCATCGCGTAAGCGGTCGTCCCACACTGCGCTTTCCAGTACGTGGTCTCCATTGGAGCACCTTGCTGCCCTATCGGCCGTCAGTTCTCCTTGCTATGTGCCCTGCCCATTGCCACTTCAGCGCGCTAATCCGTTGGGCTATGTCGACCACCTTTGTTCTTCTGCGGATCTCCTCGTTGCGGATTCGATCACGCAAGGAAACGCCAAGCAAAGCCCTTTCCATAGCACGCTGAGCGACTCTGAGCTTTCTGATTAGGCCCATAGTAAGAGACCACGTCTCAGTTCCGTAGGTCATCACTGGTAACACACACTGGTTGAAGCCTTTCGTCTTTAGGCACTGAGGTATTTCGGACGTGAAGACGTTTCGTAATTTCCCGAACGCTGCCCAACCGAGTCGGATTCGACGATTGACCTCTTTCTCGAAGTTGGACTTACCTAATTGGACCGTTTGTCCTAGGTAGACATATTCGTCAACAACTTCGAGGACAGAGTTTCCCACGACTATGGGAGTCGGCGCGACATCGACATTCGACATGATTTTCGTCTTGTCCATGTTCATTTTAAGGCCGATCTGTTGAGAAACTCCGTCGAGGTCAGCGAGCATTTGTCCCAGGTCTTCCAGCGATTCTGCCATGACTACGATGTCGTCGGCAAATCGAAGGTGAGTGATGTATTCCCCATTGATGTTGATGCCAAGTTCTTTCCATTCCAGGAGCTTGAAGGCATCTTCCAGAGCAGCGGTAAACAGTTTCGGAGAAATAACGTCTCCCTGTCTTACCCCTCTCTGTAATGGAATTGCCTTCGTGTATTGGTCCTGTACTCGAACTGACATATTGGCGTTATTATACAAACACTTCAATACCTCGATGTACAGATAGTCAATACGGCTTCGCTGGAGAGACCTAAAGACTGCCCAAGTTTCGATCGAATCGAAGGCTTTCTCATAGTCCACAAACGCCAAGCATAGTGGCCGATTATACTCCTCGGTCTTCTGTATAATCTGCCGCGCCGTATGTATGTGGTCTATGGTGCTAAAGCCTTTTCGAAAACCGGCTTGTTCAGGAGGCTGGAAGTCATCAAAAAGTCGTTCGAGACGATTCGTGATGACTCTTGAAAACAGCTTGTAGACATGGCTCAGCAGTGTGATGGGCCTGTAGTTCTTCAATAAGGTATTATCGCCTTTCTTGAAGAAAAGTACCACCACACCCCTGTTCCATGACTCCGGTGTGTGTCCCTCAAGCAAGACAGAATTGAAGAGCTTCTGGAGAACCTTGAATACCGGTTTGCCACCCGCTCTCAGAAGCTCAGATGTGATTCCGTCATCGCCCGGTGTCATGTTATTCTTAAGCTGTTTCAGAGGCATCCCAATCTCGTACTAGCTAATGTCTGGGATATCTTCGGTATAATGTCGGGTTAGCCTTGCTCTAGGGTCTTTAGCTGGGCTACTAGCAGGCTTTGCGGTCGAAGTATACAAGTGTCGATAGAACCTCTCTATCTCCGTAAGTACCCTCTTCTGTCTTCAGCTTCGTCAACTGGCTTTTCCCAATAGACGCCTCTCTTGCGAACACTTTCGAGCCTTTGTTTCGCTCTATCGTCTCCTTAATACTGTTAGTATTAAAGGAGCGGTGATCGTGTCGCAGAGAATTCCATATCTGTCTATTGAGCTGCCGATAGGACTTAGCGTCATCGGAGATTTGGAGAGTCATAGAACGTCGCTCGGCCATGAGGTCCCGGGTATGGTCGGATAGCTTCCGAGGTCTATCTTTTCGGTGGGGTCTGAAGAACTTAGACCCAACCTCATGGATACTTTCTACCGGCCTGCTGCAGCTATCTAGGCATTCAAAGCGATTTTGCAATTCGAGTTGAAAGCTTTCGGTGTTTTGGATCTGAGCAATCGAAGGTCGGAGCGTGGACTTCATTAGACGGGCGCGTTACAACTGAACGTCTATATTCTGTGTGCCTCTAACCATTCGGTGATCACTTCCGGTTTTCACCCCGTGAATCACGGATACATCATTGAATATACGCCTTTTGTTGGTCAAAATGAAGTCAATCTTTTTTTTTGTGGAACCATCGGGACTCATCCAGGTCCATTTCCTGTGAGGCGGATTCTGGAAATCATCATAAAGAGTCCCTCTTTTTCCAGGAAATCGGCCAGCCTGTGTCCCCTGAGGTTCCGTTGCCTATAACCAAATTGCGCCACTCTCAACTCATCATCGCTTCTTCGGCCCAGCTTTGCATTAAAGTCTCCCATATCAGTGGCCCGACTGATGTCCTCACACATAGCTTCCACTTCATCATCTGGGTGTGTCGAAGTCGGTGCGTAAACCTGTATGACCTTCAACGAATATCTCTTAGATATTCTGAGTATAAGGTACGCTACCCTGCTCGACACACTATTGATGGACATCACGTTGCTAATAAGAGACTTGTGGACGATAAACCCGACACCACATTGGGACTGTTGTTCGCCCTCCCGGTAGTAGAGCAAATTGCCGGGATTCAGGGTTCCCCGGCTATTAGTACCCGAGACAGCGTGCGGTTTTAGTCTGTTCGAGTCCGACATGCCACATTCACACATGGATAGGGGCATATCCGAGGGTATTTCCGCACGGAAAAAAAAAAAAGGTACATATTAAGTGTAGACAGTGATCTAAATTTAGCACACACCTATGGTATATGATAGGTGGTATCCGAGGGGATTTTCGCACGGAAAAAAAAAGGGTAATCGTGTCCTCACCCTCCTTCGGACTTCTGCTAAACCCACTATATCCCAGCGCAATTTGTTCAACTCTTCTTCCAGCTCTACTATCTTCTCGTCTGTCCTCAAAGTGCGTATGTTGTGTGTTACCAGCGCCAGTTGTCGTCGGGGGTGGTAGCGAGGATGATGGATGATGATTTCAACTGAACGATTGCTAGATTCTAAAGTAACTACAAAAATATATTTTTAGCTACCTTATTTTATTCTAGCTGTGCTATTATATCTGAATGAGAATAAAAAAGAAATAGTGACTTTGAGCATTTTATATGGTAAGTGAATTAGTGATACGTACTGGGGCGGCGCGGCGAGGGGCGGGGCGACGGGCGGCGCCTGGCCCAGGGCGGGGGCGGGGGCGGGGGTGGGCAGGTAGGGGTTGGGCAGCAGCCCCGCGCCGGGGTTGGGCCCGAGCGCCGCGGCCAGCTGCTCCGTCACCTGCGCCTGCTCCCGCTCCAGCTGCGCGCGAGCTATCTTCTCTTTAAACTCCGCTACCTGAAAAAAACATGCAAATCCGAGTGTTGTACCTGAAGGCTACGAGCGAGGCTTGTTTCACTAGAAAACATTGCTGTATACTTTCACCAACCTTTTTTTGTATCTCGGCATCCATTTCTTCTCGCCTCTTTTTTGTTACTTCTTCTTCTTCTTCTTTCTTTTTCAGATCCTCTTTCTTCTGCTCCTCGACCTTAACTTTACCCAAATTTTTGAACACCGGCATTTTTCCTATTTCAAACAAAAATATTATTTGGATGTTAATTAGAAATAAGTGAAATACCTATCTTCACAAAGTATAAAATTAATTCACTTCTTTGTGTTGTAAGCTTAGATCTTTTAAACTAAGCAATAGATTTTAATGCAGTTTGCACCAATAGAGAGAGAGGGTGATTCGAGAGTAAGGTTTACATGTATAATACATGCATATTATAGTAGAGAAAATTTCAAAGATTTGTTTTAAAAAAACATGTTTTCGAGCGCTTAGATTGCAAACGCTGGCTAGACCATACGAGAAAGACCAAAATAATGTACTATGGAATTATATATTTTAAAAAAATCTACAAAAAAGCCGCGATGGTATATGTCTATCTCCTAAGGATAATCCACAGTAACCATTTTTATCTTTTAAATGTAACAAAAAAATAGTGGGTTATTTACGAAGCTATTTTAAACAGTACATTATTATTCCTTATTCAATTAAATACGTTAGATACGTTATGCATTTAATGTACATTAAAATTTCTCTTTATATCAGTAAAATATTTTAAAAGATATTGGAGGTTTAAAATGCGAGGGCCCAACGACCGTCGAACCGTACGTCCGTCTCGGGTGGTAGCGATCGGCAGGATCAGAGCAGACCTATAAAAATTGCATTTAAAGATGTCCTGTAGTATAGTCCCATCATAATAATAGTATAATAAATAACTCTACACTGACCACATTAATAGTATTAGTAGTATCTACATTGCACCCGTGCGAAGCCGGGGCGGATCGCTAGTAATTACTAAATGATACGCAAAACCCCACACGTCTCACCACTCATATAACGGCAAAGTCTAGTACCACGTACCCTCATTAGTCAAATCAAATAAGGCGCTCTTCCGTCCCTTTGGAGGAAAGCCGAGATGTTAATTAAGATTTATTTGAACAGCGATTCCAATTAATTGCAATAATGTTTTTAATAAATTGATGCTTCCATTGCATTTTAGCTTTATTGATGTGCAACCTTTGTCTGATATCCATTTTCTATGCATCTTATATAATGGAAGGGGTATTTCATTGCAGGCTGTTTCGAGGTCAAAACGTATCAATTTAATGTTATTTTATTGTTCTTGCTGCACCAATCAATAGATTAAATGTACCACATATATATCTAGTTATAAAAGCAATTGTTTGTGGCCGGGCAACACCGTATACGTGCAGCATATAGGTAGGATACTCAGAATTTTCTAAAATATAAACGGAAAAATTGATCCTTTTGTTCTTTTTTTTTTTGACGCATGACGTCACGCTGGCCAGACGAGTTGGTATAGGGTTTGTTTCAAGTTTTCTCTATTGCCCTGTGTAGTTTTCTCCCTTGGTTAGCGCTTACAATACCTTTTTTTTTGTTAATGGGGTGGAAAATCCCTTTGGATATCCAGCTCCTCTGGGACTCAGGAGCCAGGAGTATGTGGTGATTCCATTAAAATCCACCCCGACGGCCGGTCTCAGGTGTCCTACTGGGAAGACCCGGACCGTGTTATTTCAGGTCCTCCCCGAATTGACACCACGCCGAATCAGGCCCTATCTAAGGGGAAAACACTTCCCCCTTTAATCGCGACCTGGCGACCCGATTGCATCTTAATGCAATCAGGCTGCCATCTATCCCCTACCGCAGCAATCAATCTGTCACCAGAGGTCCCCACTCTCTGGCGGCCCAGCTCTTACGATATCTACCTGAATAGGTGTGGTTACCCTCGGCCGTTAGGTTAAGAGTGAGAGGTAGGACGGAAAGAATATTTCGTAACAGAAGTGTGTAATAGGAAACCAGGGAAGAAATCGCTATTTGATTTGATTAATAAAGTCGAGCGATGCTAAAATTGGCCGTGAAATGGATGTCAGATATGACACATCTTTCGTATGGCTCGCTCGGCCTTTTAGTAGTAGAGAAAGGGTATTCTCTACCAACCAACCTTAAGGCATTAAGTCCGCCGATGTTCAAAAGTGCATAAAGTTATAAATAAATAATATTAAAAATAAACTTTAGTACGATAAAAACACATTAAAAACATTAAAAGTGATTTATTTTTCGGCCAAAATTCAAACTTGCACAATTTGATTGCACTTGAAGGTATTTTAGTAACAATCAATCTGATCAATTCCAATAACCATTTACAATGATCTCTGGTCATCATGATCAATGGAACGGTGCAATAGGTGGGGTCCTAAGCGCGTCTCAACAAGTGGATATAGTTACCGATGAAGGGCATCTTCTTGACCTCAGCGGTGGGCTTCTTGGCGTCGGAGGGGGGCGGCGTGGCCTCGCGCTCCTCCGAGCGGCGCGAGCGGGAGGACGCGCGGCGCCGCCTCTCGCGGCTCTCGCGCCCCTCCCGCCCCTCGCGTCCCTCCCGCCCCTCTCGGCCCGAGCGCCCCTCCCGCTCCTCGCGCGAGCGGGAACTCCGCCGCTCGCTATCTCTAACGAATACATTGACACGTTTTTATTAGCTTGGTATGTATATATCCATGTAACGGAATCTTTCTCCCACTCTAAAACGTGTCATTAGATTGAAACTTCACCCACTAATCGAGGACCGATGACAATACAATAATTTAATAAATTTGTCCAATAGGGAATATGCATGTATTTTTTTATTTTTTTAAACGATTCTACTAGTTATTAAATTACCAAAAATAAATATAACACATCCGAAATATAAACCGTTAAGCAAAAAAAAAAATATTAATATCACTATAATTTTGGGGCAATTTGAACACGTCCATTTTGGCGCGCTTTTTTTGTGACGTCAGATTACACTTTCAGACGAATTCGATGTCAACAACGGAGTGAAGTTCACAAAGTTTGTGAAAGTTAAAAAAGTGAGTGATATAAATTAACTTATTACCATGGAAAAGCCAATAAAAACTTATTATAAATATTGTGTCGTTCCTTTGTGCCAAAATATATTCAGTCATTGTGTTGAGTCTTTCTACACGGGAATTTAATAATTTCACACTGAAAACGTATTAGTTATTAACTTAAAATGAAACAAATAATCACCAGAAACCAAATATTACAAATACACACAACTTGTGTGACACTCTTGACAGTGTAGGTTGACGTCACGTTTTATTCGACCAATAGCGTTGCGTTTTAGAAATTTGCGAGGGAATCTTAAAAAAGCCAATTTTTGATGATTAAATTTCACTATTAAATTAAAATAAATTTCAAAAATAATTGTATGGGTATCTTTTTTTAGCAATAAAAATTACAAATAAAAATATTTTGTCCATTTTGGTGTCACGTGCATATTCCCTATTATCCTAATCAGGAACTTCAGGAGAAACGGCTTTTATCATATCTAAAATGACGGTAGTGTCTTGTGCTATGTACTGAGGCGTGTACTGAAACATATGTGACTAAGAAAATAAACATCTCTTTTTCTGACCTAAGACTATTACACTTATAACGCACTAGAAAAAAACTTACTTATACAAATGAATTGCAGAGCCTCTGTCAGAAGCGGCGTTGTTACTTTATAAATTATTTGAACTTTAGTTTATATTCCAGTATTAGTAGCAGTATGTTCTATATACTTAAGTTAACTTTAGGGATTAGTACATTGTAAGTTTAGGGTATGTTGGGGCTGACATGGTCTTATGTGTGACTACTAGCCCCTAAGATAAAAAAAAAAAGAATTTCGGAGTGTAAAACCCAGCGCAGACCGAGAGGATTTTTAAGATAATCAAAAATAAACTTTAAAACTATTACTGTAAAGTGCATACATGTTTGAACATGACAGTAACTGCTCACACGGCCATGCTTAGCCACTTTATAGCAATAGTTTTATAATTTATTTTCGAGTGTCTTAAGAAACTCTTCTCGTCTGGGCTGGCTCTAAGTAATGACCTCGAGCAGGTCAAGGTCGCATACATGTAACTAATTGGTATTACCGGAATATGTGACGTGTGTGACCTTTAAAATATCATTATCACAATAGGTATGTGACATAACGGTTACCTCAGTTTCCGCTGCAGTTCCACTAAACGATCTCGATCACGTGTGGAGCGATCGCGTTCCTGAGATCTTCGCTTTTCATCGTTATCTTCCTTTATCCTATAATGAAAACATTTTGTATTATCCATAGTAATATTATAAATGACAAAATGTGTCTCTGTCTGTCCGCTTAAACCATTGACAGTTCAATGGTTTAAGCGGACAGACAGAGACACATTTGGATGAAATTTGGTATAGAGATAGTTTAGGTCCCGGGCAAGGACATACGATAGTTTGTATCCCAGAAATCATCCTTCAAGGGGGTGAAAAGGAGGGTGGATGTTTATATGGGGAGCAATAATCGCTGAACCAGTTCAGATGAAACTTGGTATGGAGAAAGGACATATGCTACTTTTTACCGTGATAACGGACATACTCGTACACGCAGCGGAGCTTATATATATATATATATATATATATAATTCCTTTTTCAGGTGGCAAACAAGCATACGCGTACTTGATGGTAAGTAACTACCACTGTCCATTGAAACCAGCAACTCACAGTACAAGGCGTTGCCACCGTTTGTCCCTCCCTCTAAGTTTAGGGGAACGGCGGGTTTGGGCTCATGTAATCTCAATCACTTCCATAAAATATATTAGTACTAGCTGACCCGGCAAACGTTGTTTTGCCATATACATTATTTCAAATTTTTTGTAAAAAAAATTATTAGGGGTATGAATAGATGATGGCCGATTCTCAGACCCACCCGATATGCACACAAAATTTCATGAAAATCGGTCGAGCCGTTTCGGAGGAGTTCACACCGTGACACGAGAATTTTATATATTAGAAATAATAGTAAATTCCAACACCGGTTATTTACAAAAAAATGGAATTACATTATTTACAGCAATTTGAGAACAGCTCTGAACTGTAAGTATGAGATACAAACCTGTTTTTGAGACTATCCAACAGTTTCCGGTCACTCTCATTGAGTCTGTCCACCTGTATGTTCGACACCCATTCCGTCAGAGTCTTGTCGTCCCGAGGCTTAACTCTACTCTTTGATTTTTTTTCTGAAAATATGAAAAAAAAAATGGTTATATAAGATAGATAGATAAATACTTTATTTGTACACCAATGTTTTACAGACGTTATACAGTAATTAACGACCGATGTAATGTACAAAGGGCGGCCTTATCGCTTAGTGCAATTTCTTCCAGGCAACCTTTGGATGGATTCATTTTGAAATGCTGAGGTATACATAAATATAAATTATTAAAAAAACCTAGATAATTTTAGTTATTTCTATCTCTCTACATCTCATTTCACTAGTTTGTCTGGTGGTACAGTGATCCTGACAGCCAGAGGTTGTGGGTTCGATTCCCACCCAGGACAATTTTTCAGTAATATGTTTTATATGACCAGGCAATTAAATTATCAGTAATATGCATGTATTTAGAAATATATAGGTGCGTGTCAGCAGTCTGGTTAACATAGTACAGGCTCTACCTAGTTTGACATCAGGTTGAGTGTGAGATGTGTGAACTTAAAAAAAAGTGAGAGAGTGTTGATACAAAAAAGGACTTTTTAACCAGTTGAGTGGTCGCATTACGAATCAATCGGGTCCGTGTGGTGACGGATTAAGAATATAGAGTGTCACCACCCCCATTCATCCCTTGGGTGTCGTAGGAGCCAACTAAGGGAGAAAACTATGCAAAACAACAGCACTGCAGAGAGAAGGAAAACTTGACACAAACCCTATACCAACCCGTCTGGCCCTCGCGTGGTATAGTAGGTCAAACCTCCTTTCTAAGGAGAGGCTTATATCCAGCAGTGGACTATAAAAGTCTGTTGATTTGATTTGATTTTGATTGTTTACGAATCAAAACCTACCTTTCTTTTTAACCGGCTCACTATCCGAACTACTAGAATCACTAGATGAACTGCTGCTGCTACTAGTCTTTCTCTTCTTCTTTGACTTCTTCTCCTTCTTCTTCTTCTTTTCCTCTGGAGCAGATGGACTATTCTTCCGCTTGGTGTGGAAGCCGTCTTTATTGAACGTGATAGTGTGAGACATGTATTGTTGTGGCTTTTCTCCATCAGACTTGCTCTTGTTGGCCCGAGATTTCTCAAACGCTTTCTGACGATCGGACATCCAGTCTGTCTCCCAATGAGGGTTTTGTTCTACGAAGTTCTAGAAAATAATTTTGAATGTAGTAATAATTGTTAATTATGGGCTTACGGCTGACAGACCGAATAAGAAATACAGTACTATCCTCTAAACACATGATAATATGTCATTCATAAAGCACGCACTCAAGTGGGACTGGGCCGGACACGTTTGCCGCATACCGTCGGATCTATGGGCAAAAAATAGCACAACTTGGGACAACGTGGAGGGCCCAGGCAACGATGGCGGGACGATCAACGGAAAGAGGTGGAAGGGAGAGAGGGAGGCCTTTGCCCTGCAGGAGAACAATACAAGCTAAATATAAAAAAGTAATAAGTGTTAATAAATTATTATTTTAAATTTCAAATTTAAAAATCCATATTAATATACATACCTATTAAACCTATAGGCATTTTTCGAATACGTGGTACGTAAGGATGGATAGATGTGGACCCTACAATAACATATCGACGTCAAAAAGCGGAATTTCGTATATCAGAAATTGGCTTAAACGTAAAAATTCCTATCACGTGACAAAAGATTGGTTATATTGAAGTTTGACGTGACTCAAGTCAGTACCGAACAATTTCCACTTTCTTCTCATACGAATTAAATATGAAACAGACATAGAAACGTGTACTTACTGTGTAATTCTTGGAATGTGTCACAGACTTCAGATGAGCAGAAGCACAATGCAGGTCACCGATGAACTGATCACAGAGCTTGCAGTACCATGCGGTGGAAGGTACGAAAAATTGTAGACCTTAAATTAGACCAAAACAGCAATTTTAGCTAACAGTTTCAATTCAAGTATAAATATTTAAAAAATCATTGCAACATTTTTAGTCGTTTAGTTAGATACTTGCAATTTAGATACGCAAGTGCGTTGCCACGATTTGAACAGACCCTCCTATTTTAGAGGGAGAGGGGGGGGGGGTTTAGTTGTGCCTCTGATCGAGCCGATCGATCTTTGAATTTTTTTTAAGGTTATTTGAAAGTACTTACCTTTAATTGGAGTCCTTTTAGTTTGTGCTTGGGGATAGCTTGGAAATCCCTCGTTCATACCGGACACAGTGTGCCACGGGGCCTCCATATGTGCTGCTGCCATTCTATGAATGATAAACAAAAAATAAAATAAAATTTGTGATAATATTAAATAGGAATAAATACTACCGCGTAAAGGGGTTGTTGTTGGTGTAATAATGGTATAACTAAGATCTACATGGTCCTTCGAACTTCACTTAACAGTGCAATACTGTTGATGTCTTAACGTATCAACTTATCTGAAAACTTCGTCAGTTCATTTCTTTTCAATTCAGTTCACGTTCAATTTTAGAATGTACGTCGATCGGCCAAGCGCCTATTTGGGTATCGCTCCCCGGAGAAGAGGAATTAACAATAGTTGACTAAAATAATAAAATATAATTTTTTCCATTTTTTATTTCAAAAGATTAAAATAATCCTGTCTCCGAAACAGTGAAGACAAATTTAAGTTGCCTGATTCGAACGCGTTGGCAGTAGCCCGAATCAGATCCCCATTTCGTTATGACAACTGTCGGCGTACGAGCACCGAGCAGCGGTGGGGGAGAAGAGGACAGCGGCGCGAGGAAGCGATCCTCTCGGTGCGATAGAACACTCCGCGCAATACCTTGGACAGCGACGCTCGCCTTATATAGGTATTTTGTTGTACATAACATAAGTACTTAATTTATACAGTCCACTTTATTTCATTTATATACCTAACTCAAAGAACCTCACGGACAACAACCGTATGCCTAACACTCCGTATATTATCATGTAAACGTTAAATGTTAACGTTTAAAGTATACGGACATTTTTAAATGGCGATATCATGAAGTGATCAATTCTAAGATCTGGTCACGATATCTTTAAATAATTGCTTAGATAGATTGTATCAAAACCCTATTATTTATTGAACATATACCGAAAAATTATTTGACGAGTTTAAATTATTATATAAATTATATTATATTCCGGATTTCGTATTTTAAGCGACAGATAGAAGACCTTGACTTATTTGAATTATTGCTTATTCCAATCATATGAGCACTATCTCTGTCTTGCCACGCCTTCGCTTCTAAGTTATTTCGTTTTAATACACTACCAATTTTATCATGTATGCTAGCCTCTTAATACGTAAGTCTGATAGATAGAACTCTTTATTTGTACACCGTTTTAGAAAAAGTATGGTACATAAAAGTGTCAGACGTATAATGTACAAAGAGCGGCCTTATTGCTAAAAGCAATCTCTTCCAGGAACCTTAGGATGGATCAAAATGTTCCGGAGAGACAGTGGTAGTTGACGGTGAAATGAGTTTTTCAGGTTAATGGCTAACGAATATAAAACACATAATAACTAGATATATAGAGTACTTATAGATACGTACGTAGATTATGATATATTTAGTGTTACAAATATGAATCGGCAAAATGTCGGAGTTACCTTATTTAATTCGTTTGTGTGAATGTAAACCTAAAACAGTTGCATTAAATACTCCTAATACAGCAGGAGTAGTTACCGATTTGTCTGGATTAACAAAGTAAAAAATACATTTATCATTATGGTCATATAATTTCGTACCAGGAATAGACAACCTAATTTAGATTTTTAGTCTCAGTTGGGAACTCTGAAAAAGCATTGAGTCTGTCCATCCATCATCCAAGAAAGAAATAAGCTTCAACATTCATCATCTAACCTTCAGCGCATAAGGTTGAAAGGAAAAGTAAATTAAAACATAAAATAAGGTTGACTCACGTGGGGATTTTGTATTGCCGGACTAGTTTCATGGTCGAATTTTTGGTGGAGCTTGTGAAGGACAGATACATTTACTGAGCAAGTCATACACGTTACAATTCACTGATAAGTTTTAATGTGCAGATGGTCTTCTCTCAATATCATGTTGTCTCATTCTAGAGTCATTTGAATGAAGAGTCACAGAGTATGTCAAGGCGCTTGGATATAAAACATTTTACCATTTAAATGAAGGCCAGTAGGAGGTTTTTAAACTACCAGAAAGAGATAACGTAGTCAGAAACATTTGGTAGCACCTGTAACATCTGGACCAGGTATGTGTTTGGCGGTCTACATGGTCTTTCGAACAACACAAACGCCATCTTTTCTCTTGAGTACTAAAGTATAATATATTCTTATAGAACAGGAATCATGAACGATACGATTTGTATGTGAGTATGCTTGTTTCGTCTGTAAATTCATAATCCACTAATCCTCGTGTACAGAATTTTACTTGCCTATCTAGACACTTCGGAATACAAGCGTTAACCTGGTAGGAAAGACCACCTGCACAGTTTTAAACAATCAGTAGTAAGTAACACGTGTGAACAGCTTTAGGGTTTCGTATTTTACAGTCTTTCTTTTAACTTGCAATTTTTGTATATTAGTTTGTTTCGATCAAATCTTGCAACTGAATTTTAAATCATACACAGTTAGTTCGGACGAAAAAGAAAAAGAAAAGTAAATAATGGTAAAAACACACACACAACCAACACTAACATATAACGGGTGTCCCAAGAAGAACGCAATTTTTAAATCTGGCAACATTCGAAGTGTCAATGTTTGACATTTGAACAATTGTTATTGTTTGCTAGTAGAAGGTACGAGGTTAGTAAAAATGGAGCGCTACACGAATGAACAACGCATTCTCATTGTGAAATTGTTTTACCAAAATAGTGAAAGTTTTGCGGCTACAGTTCGCAACTTGCGATCAATTTGGGGTCGCAATAATGCTCCAAAAGAGTCAACTGTAAAGAGATTAATGGATAAATTTGCCGAAACTGGGTCTGTTAGTGATGTAAAGACAACAACGCGCCATCGAACAGGTCGTTCGACCGAAAATGTCGCAGCTGTACGTGATGATGTCGCTCAAACTCCATCCACCTCAATTCGACACCGAGCTCAGCAAATCTGTGTCTCGAAATCCACTTTGCAGCGAATGTTGACGAAAGATTTGCATCTTCATGCATACAAAGTTCAATTGACTCAGGAACTGAAGCCAGCTGACCATGGACAGCGAATTGAGTTCGTTAATTGGGTATTGGAGAGACAACATGAAAATGCTGATTTTGTCGATAAAATCATCTTCAGTGACGAGGCCCATTTTCATCTTGATGGCTTCGTCAATAGGCAGAATTGTCGCATTTGGGGTGAGGAAAATCCTCGAGTGATTCACGAGAAGCAAATGCATCCTCAACGTGGCACAGTGTGGTGTGGTTTTTGGGCTGGAGGAATCATTGGACCTTTTTTTTATGAAAATGAGGCAGGTCAAGCGCAAACAGTCAATGGTGTTCGGTATCGTGAAATGATAACCAGTATTTTTTTGCCTAGAATTGAAGAAATGAATGTGGAGGGCATGTGGTTCCAACAAGACGGCGCCACATGTCATACAGCCAGAGAAACAATTCAATTGCTGCATCAGTCATTTCCCGGTCGTGTTATTTCGCGTTTTGGAGATCAGAATTGGCCGCCTAGATCCTGCGATTTAACACCATTAGATTTTTTTCTTTGGGGTTTTTTGAAGTCGATGGTTTACGCGAATAAGCCGACGACGACTCAAGCCTTAAAAGAGGAAATTGGACGCTGCATTAATGAAATACCGCAGCATTTTCATTAAAAGATCGCGTGCATGCCAGCAAAGCCGCGGCGGCCATCTGCACGATATATTGTTCCATACATAACCTCATTCTACTTTACGATATAATAAAGTTTCACGGTTTTTTTTACATATCTGTGTTTTATTTAAAATTTAAAAATTGCGTTCTTCTTGGGATACCCATTATATAAAAAAGTAATCTGATAAAGTTGGGATTTCGAATTAATAATAATATAATATATTTTACTACATTCACACAACGCCATCTAGTCCCAAACTAAGCAGAGCTTGTACTATGGGTACTAGACAACTGATATAAATACATATATACTTTTTTTTTTGTAAATGCATACATATTATGCATAGAAACACCCAGACCAAATCAAACATTAAATGTTCATGCACACAAATGTTTGACTTGAGCGGGAATCCAACCCGCGACCTTTGGAATAGCAGACCGTTACACAAACCACTACGCCATCCCGTTGTTGTTAGATACGGATATGGCTAAGTTGATAACTCCCTATTGTTTACTCTGTCTACTGGTGTCTACGTTGGTTCGTTGTGCGACATACTATTAATGCTCCGCTTTATTGTCCCGTATTGATATCGTATGTTCATATTTGATTATCTTTATAAAGTGCTCAAACATTTTAAAAACATGTCACAATGTTTACCACTTTGTGACATGTGTTTAAAATGATTACTTATAAAAATACGCGCATCGCAAGTCGAAATATATCTTACTAGTTTCTGCCCGCGTGTGTGTTATCGGTAAAAAGTAGCTTTTTTTTAATATCTCCAATTTACCGTGAAAGCGTAACAGACAGAGTTAATTTCGAATTTATAATGTTAGTAGTACTCAGTAGATCGGTATGTCTTCGTCAGATGGCGTTGAAGTCAGTTTTATGTTCGATGTGTAATGTTGTATCTTTTGAACAATAAATTACTTATATACTACGGACTTTAGTAAAACACTGACTTAGATACCGTGGTGTTTATTAAAGCAATTTCATCATCATTTGCCGGACATAGGCCTCCCCTTAGAAAGGAGGTTTTAGCCTACTATACCACGCAGGCCAGATGGGTTGATAAAGTGTTTGTGTCAAGTTTTCCTTCTGTTTGCAGTGTTGGTATCCTTCGTAGTTTGCCCCTTAGTGGCTCTCACGACATCCACGGGATAAATAGGGGTGGTGACACTCAGTATTCTTATTCGTCACCACACAAGCAGTTTAGTAATCAGGTAAAAGAGTATTACAGTAGGTCAACTTACTTATGATGGGCTGGTGAATGCAAATGGTTCAAATACTCCTTAGCAGTCGGTGGAAACTCGTTGCAAACGCGACACCAGTGCATCTCGGGATCATAGTAGATATAGTTGAATTTCTTATTAGCCGACGGTGATCTGTGTAACGAATAACTGTTTAAAATATCTTTGTACAAGGTAAGTTATGATACGACACTTATATACATACGCTTAAATGTTAAACAGCAATGGTTTCGTCATTATCCGTTGTTGTATGAAGTTAACCTTAGCATGCATAATAATAATAATAAATTAAAACACACATGACTGTTTAATCCCAAACTAGGCCGAGCCTGTAAGTATTATGAGAACCAAACTGCTGATAAACATATTTATACATATTTTTAAACATATATGATATGATACAACAAATGATCATGCTCATCACACGATTATTTAAACTGGGTGAGAATCGAACCCACGACATCTAACTTAGCAGTAAGGATCATTTACCGCATGATCAAGAGGTCAGACGTGAAATGGAACGCGGATTTAATAAAAAAAAAACTTCAATTATATATTTTAACAATACATGTTAGATGCTAAGACGCAAATGCCATCAAAGATCCACCCCTATACTTATTTAAATATGTAACACGAAGAGATAAAGAGGAGTTAAAACGGTAGTAGATTAAGGCGTTAAATTTGCGATAAGTGGTTGTGGGTTAAAACCAACCCACTACACTACCGACCCTAACACAAACATATACACTAGTCTTAAAAATTGGTGCGATGCCGAGGACGAATTCTTAAAACTTTGATTATTTTACAAGCCGTTTCTTAAAGCATTTCATTCTAGTTTATAAAACAATGTTTAGACTGTAATCGTAAGTCCGTTTAGCGGTGGATAGTGATTTAAAAAATATATTTTTATTATTATTTTAATTTATTTCTTAATAAGCGTTGTGTTATTAATAAAGTTACATTATTTTTTATTATGAGTATGCTATTAATAATTTTTATGTAATTTTAAACACCGATCACGTTAATCTGTCTATTTTATTTTTTAAAGCAAAAGGGGAATAAAACCATTATTTATTTTTCAAAAGACAATATTATATTTACAAAGACGCTGTTTCATAGTTATACACGCTAACACGGACAGAAGTAATAACAATAATTACTTGATACATCTCACAGAGTTGTTTTTTTTTTATGTTAGAGGTGGCAGACGAGCAGACGGGTCACCTGATGGAAAGTGACCATCACCGCCCATCAACGTCTGCAACTCAGGAGTCACAAACGCGTCTGACAAACTAGGCAGAACTATGATGACCAGACTGCTTATATACAACTAGCATTCGTCAGCGACTTCGTCCTCGTGGAGGTCGACATCAGACATCGTAGAGGATACGCTGCTACCCAAAAATAACGAAGTTTTAAATAAATTTTCAACCCCCATTTTTCATCCTTAGAGGTTTAATTTTTTTTAATTCTTGGTGACGTAAGTGTGCACTATACACTTACGTCAACTAAACAACATTTGTGAAAAATTACATGCTTCTAGACCCAGCGGTTTCAGATTTGCGTTGATCGATGAATTAGTGAATCAGTCTCTTAGTTTCTTCTTCTATATAGATTAGATAATTGTAGATAGATTATACCGAGATACAGAACAAATGGTCCTGTGTGGGGAATGCTACAGAAGAAAATTCGCGGGATATTTTTCGTTAAAAAATAAACATTGTCGTAAAACAACTCATGAAGTTTACAAAATTATTCTGAAGTTATTATACAAACATAAAACAACTCTTTTCATGTGAAGTCTTTATTTTTGACAATAATACAATATAGTAACAGTCTTATATAATCTTAATTCCAAAAAATATAATCAAGTACTAAAAAGCATTTTTAAATTTCACATTTATGAAAGGTATTTTTATTAGATTTTAATCATAAAGCAACAAGGGTACATAAGCTTACATCAGTACACATGATATAGAAACAAAAACTAGTGCTAGAAGTATTTTGAAGTCCATCGGTGTTGCCACTATTCCAATCTTGAAGTTGCCAAATCACTAAATACATTAAAGCCAACAGCTCTTCTTGGCACGCAAAAGCACAGCTGTGCAATCCTGCTTTTGGGGAAAATGTCACAACTAAGGTAGTAATTTAAATATTTCATTCATAGGTACTTATATTTAGAACAATTAATTGCAATATACCATAAATATGCACATCGAATTTGAATTCTGTTTTTTCTTTCTTTGTGTTGGTTCATTATAATTTAGAATTTCATAATGACAGATATAGTTATAAGACATAGACATCAAAGAAAGCAGGTATCAAATTCGAATTTCAAAAAATTAAAAATGAATAAAACAAAAAAGAATTAACAAAACACACCTGGATTTGCGTTTAGTACCGCGTTCGGCGGAATCATCAGAATCGTGGAGCTCAACGGGGGCTTCTTCACCGATGATGCCATTCAGCATATCCACTACATTGTAGATGGTCTTCAGCTTGTTCTGTATCTCCAACTACAAGAACGCGTCGTTAAACACTCATGTACACCAAGCTTTACACATAAGCAAATAATATGAGCTACATCAAATCATCATTGTCATACAAACAAAGTATGAAATTTCATTTATGGCAAATCAAACCTGTAACTTTGTGTTTTCCTTCAAAAATCTCTTGGTGTCAGGACTCGGAGAGCGTTTGGCGTCTCCTCGGAGCTCGTTGCGCTGATCCTTTAACGTATCCAGTTCCTTTTTTAGTATGTTAGCTTTCTTGACATAGTCTTCCCTTTGTTTAGACAATGCTGCCTTTTGGTGACGCATTTCCGATTCGATAGCAGCTGTAAAATAATGACTTATTTCATAATTTATATTGGGTTAAAAAATTAAGTGTAGTGTCACTTGCCAGGCTCAAACTTTGTGATATGAAAGAATATTAATCAAATGACACTACACTTAATAAAGCAAACTATTATTGAGAAATTTTCTTAGCTGTTATCGACCCACATCTGCTAAATAAAATGTCTAGAGGCAGTTTCAAGCACATCAATATTAATTCTATTGTGGAAAATCTTAAACCTATTTACAATCATGCAAGGGGTGCAAATTTTATTGCAATCAGCAGAGTAGAGTAATGAGGGGGGGGCAGGCGAAATATAGAAGTTATAGGACCAAGCGGGCAGCATTTCTTCAGTTTTTCTTCATCACACCAACTATAATGTAACATGGCAATGGAGGAACAGGATAATTGACATATTCCTGTAATATACCTTCTTAGATAGATAGATAGGTACTCTTTATTGCACACCATAACACATACAATATAAAATACAAACAAAAAAAAGGTGACAATGGGTGGCCTTATCGCAGTCTGCAATCTCTTCCAGGCAACCTTTAGATGGACTGTATTTTCTTACAGTAATTCTTATAGTTATTTGCAAGTTTGTGTGATGTATTAATTCTACATCACACATTTAGAAGTGGTTACAAACAAAACTAACTAGAAATTATGTGTAAATGGCTAACATACAGACTATTTATATACTTGATTCTATGGATCTTTGGCACCCCTAAAACACAAATGTGAGTAAAACTTAACTTAAAAAATATTAGTAGAGCTGTTCGTCTCGTTCATATCATACTCTATAATTAAATTTTAATACTCTTCTTAAGGTGGCTTTCGAAGGAGTTACTCAAGCATGTAAGCACTAATACCCGAAAGTAATATCAGGTTGATCAACTTATTGCCCTCTCTTGCAGGTAGTATCAAATTTACATGGGGCACTCAATAAAAAAATTGTTGGTACCCAACCTCGTTTCTAATAATCATTACAAACTCAATTTTTAAGTTCATAAAAATATACCGTATTCCTTATAATTTCATACAAGATATTCAAGAAAACTTATGTCATAGAATGGTTTTTATATGAGTCAAGTTCCAATAAAGTTACATCAATTTGTTACACATAGACTGAATATCAAGATCTTCAATATACCAAAGTAAAGTATACCCACATAAATATCTAATTAGTTTTATAAAATCACAAAATAAAATATCACTAAATAAACATACAAGTTGTTCATGTAAAACTAAATATGTGTAATATATAATGGTCAGTCATAGACAACTTTCAAGGATGCACAGGCTCATGTAGACCATCTATGGTCCTTCTACTAATCACTTATTAACAGTCACCTGTAGAAAATTAATGGTTTTTTTTTGTGTAATAAAATATATACATAAAATATATCTTTTTAAACCAAAGGTTAAGTTTACTTTTTTCATCTTACCCACATTTAAACATGAATTAGGTAGATATACGCTCTGTTTATGATAAAAAACATTACATACATACAGTTACATCTTTCACACTATAATTTTAGTCCACTTACTATAGAGAGTCCGTGGGATATATGTCCATGTGGTGACGGATTAAGAATACGGAATGTCACCACCCCTTTTCATCCCGTGGGTGTCGTAAGAGCCAACTAAAGGGGTAAACTACGCAGAACAACAGCACTGCAGAGAGAAGGAAAACTTGAAACAAACCCTATACCAACCCGTTTGGCCAGCATGGTATAGTAGGCCAAAATCTCTTTTCTAAGGAGAGGCCTATGTCCAGCAGTGGACTGTTATAGGTTGTTGGTGGATTGGTGGACTATAGAGAGAAGCCTATTATGATGATACTATTTATTATATTATTATTACTAATTTAACATATAATTATACATCTCTCAATACATACATGTTATAGATAAATTACACCCAGACAGAACATGCTCATTGCATGATATATGTGCTGGACGGGAATTGAACGCACAACCTCTGGCCTTTAAGTCAGGACGGCGTCAGGAAAACAATTAATTTCACTAGTAGCAATTTGTTTTAACAGCATAGTTCCATATATTATATTAATGTTGAATTACTATGTTTACATAATCATAAGAAATGACATTTGTGTTCTTCATACATTACTTAAATGAATTCATAATGGTGATTGAATTACAATTCTACTAATAAAGGTAAAGTATGTTAGGAGGTATGGATGGGTTAGTTTTCATTTAAAAACTACTGAACAAATGTTGATGAAACTTTACATAATTATAGTGAAATAGGAAGTGTATAAAGGCTATAATTTTTAGTAAAGTAAATAAAATATCATGATATATGTAGTCAAATTTAAAATATTTTTATTTGATACAATTATTTTTTAATTGTTTGACATCGCCTCGTATATAATAACTCTAGTCATAGATCAACACACACAATAGCAACAGTGTTTTTTAAATATTTGGTATAATAAATGGAACCTCTGGAAAATCTACATTTTTTTATTTATTTAATTCTTTCTTTTTGCACACACAATAATTCATTGTACAATGGCAGACTTAATGCCACAGGCATTTTCACCCAGTCTACTTTTGGGTGGTGGGGAAATGTCTTGCCTGTGTCGATCTACAACCACTTGTTTTCAGCCTTATGAGAAGAAAGGGCAATCAAACTTACTGCCACTCTTCTTAAATTATCAGATAGTAAGTTTGCTACTTAAACACCGATTAGTTCTTATTTTCACATGCATTATTAAAATATTTAAATCTTGCAGTAAAAGTGCAAGGCAGGCAAACTTGAAGACCGCTTCTGGTATGAAATATAGCATTAAAACTGTTTAGTAATCAACATTTCACACCATTTTTTAGCCTGTATCATCAGTTCTTTAGAAATAGATATAAAAAAAATTTAATAAGTACATACCTTCTTTTTTGATTTGATCTTCAACATTATTTAAGAATGGAGCAGGAGGTTGAGGCGGCGCCGGTGCTGGCGGTGGTGGTGGCAATGACATTTGATTCCATGAGGCTATGTCTGGTGGATGAGGTGGTTGAGGTGGCACTGCTCCAACTGAAGGGAAGTCATCATAGATGCCAGAGTATGACGGCTGATAGTTGCCACCATAACTTGTGGTTGCAACACCCTTGAAAATGAATTGTATATTTAAAACTATGAGTTAGCCTGAGAGCATATGCAGTATGGTTTTTTTATGGAACAGACGAGCAGACGGGTCACCTGTTGGAAAGTGACTACCGCCGCCATGAACGCCTGCAGCTCAGAAGTCAGAAACACGTTGCCAGCCTTTTAGGAAAGAGTATGCTCTTTGTTGAAGCTCCATGATATATACGATAGAGAATGCAGAGAGAAACTAAGTCTCTATGTAACACTAACGGATCAAGCCGATCGGAGATATTTGGGCTATCGACGAATCGTTTAAAATGTGGAGTAACCAATACACTATGGTAACTGCACTGCTGATAAACTTAAATATTGCTAAATATATACACTCAGACACAACATATGATCATACTCATCACTCAATTATTTGTCCTGGGTATGGAACTAACTTCCTGATACTGATAGAGTAAGAACCACCGTCATAAAGAATTGTACAAGAACAAAAGATGTCACAGTAACTATCAGAAGGCTGAAATGGAGATGGACAGGACACACAATCAGAGGAAAAGAGAAATGGTCTAAATTAATAATGAACTGGTTCACAAGGCATATTAAGCGAAAACAAGGAAGGCCACCAAGAAGGTGGGTGGATGAAATAAAGGTCATAGCTGGAGGTGGATGGACAACAGTTGCTAGAGATAGAGGAAAATGGAAACAGTTGGAGGAGGCCTTTGCCCATAAAGGCACACAGACAGTTGTCAAATAGAATAATGTTTTAGTAAATATATTTGTAAACGTTTTGTATAAGATGTCTGAATAAAGGCTATTATTATTATTATTATGGAACTAACTTACAACCTCTAATGATGACTAACCACTGGATTAAGTCAAGAGGCCAGTCATCATTGTCTATCATTTTAAACAGCAATCTTCATGTCAGCTAGTTAATCCTCATGTCATCAGGACGGGACCTGATGATATGATCCTAGAAATCTCAAATCAATCAGCAGTCAGTGTAATTGTTATAATGCAAGTATTTAGTGTAGGAAAGCACTATTTGGTAAAATTGAACTAGACTGAACTGAAAGCTGAACACACAGGTGCAATAGGGTAGATTCTGCAGTAGAGCTTGAATCGTCCTACATTATCAATTTAATGTTTACATTAATTTAATATCTATAAATCAACATTATATATTTGGTGACCCGTCTGCTCGTATCCCGCTCGTATCGCCCCCTCTTACATAAAAAAAAAACAACAATTAATAGCAATTCATACAAAAATGTACTGCATCTCTCATTTTGACGTTTAACCTCTCATAAGCTGCAAAAAGCGTGAAATACGCTACACTGTAAAATGCTTTCACCGGTGAGCGCTGATCAGTGCAGTGGCACATGAGAGGTTAATAGAAAGATACTGATTTGTTTTGACAGTCATTACATTATGTAACTTGATTGCTTAGCAATATATACTCTTCGTAATGCATATGGGATAATACCAGGAGAATTTGTCCATGATTAACATTCCTACATCAGGTGTCAAGTTTCAGAAAAGGTGATGCAGGTGACGTTAGGATTTTGTAACTTCGATAAAGTTACAGGAAAACTTTATGGATATATTTATGAACAGGGAAAATTATAAGATAATAGACTCCGTTGGTTATTCTTTTCAAGATATGCATAATGGTGCAAATTCTTAGTTGTATCTGTCTAATGGTAAACTTAACTAAAAATTTGTTTGTCCTGTCAAACAATGTTTTGTATTCTGAAAACGTAGTACTTGACAGTACTAAACAAATTTTGAGTGATTTTTAGTTTAGTTTAGAGTTTTCAAACAACAGATTTAGTCTCTCATAAATGAATCCTGAATAGTTTAAATAGTAACATAATGATTAACATGTGAATTGCTTAGTTTCAAATAATATTTAGTTTTTAAATTACATAGAACAACAGAGCACTCAAAACATTTGAACTTGGTAATGCAGTGTCACTCATCCCCAGTGAGTGTCGTTAGAGCCGACAAATGGAGCAAGCTACACAAAACAACAGCACTGCAAAGAAAAGGAAAACTCGAAACAAACCCTATATCAACTCATCTGGCCAGCGTAGTATAGTAGGCCAAAACCTACATTCTAAGGAGAGGCCTATGTCCAGCAGTGGACTATCCAGGAGCTGTCGATGAATGCAGTGACTAAGTAAAATCTGTTTGATAACATAGGCATGTCATTATTTCATTATCAGATTTTGAAATTTAATATTTATTTACAAGTCAAGAAAAAATTATCTACTAATAACGAACAAAGTATAAAATTACCTCTGGAGGGGGCTGTGAAAAAGCCGGTGGTGGTGGGGCAGAAAAACCGCCTTCTTGAAACTGGTTGTCCCATAGCTCACTAGGTTCCGGTAGTTTAGATATCTCACTCAAAATGTTCTCGTCCAATATATCTTTATCAGGTTTTCGTGGAGACCGGCTTCGTTTGTGCTCATCTCTCCTGGTGGGTGTTCGACTTCGCTTTCTTAGCGGCGGACGACTTCTGTAATCTGAGCGATCTCTGTCTCTATCCCTATCACGGTCACGATCGCGATCTCTGTCTCTGTCCCTATTTCTATCCCAATCTCTGTTATAATATCCTTTTCTAGGTTCACGAGACATTTCTGATTTAAATTACACAAATAAAAATGTTTGCAAAATTAGAGGCTTCGGCAAACAACACGCTTGTTTGACAATTATGACGCCATGTTTTTGAGTAATGTTGCCACAGTGCTACCAACCCTCAAAAACATTTACCCCTACTGCTACAGGAAAAACCTCTAAAATTGCAATAGCTCTAAAAAAAACAATAGGTATTTAACAGACTAATGGGGTTGGCAACTGTTAAATGGGACTAAGTTAATTTGTTCCTAAAACATTGCGTTGCACTTAATAACTTTTCTATTGTTCAATTTAGATTTTTCTAATTAATTCAAAGACTTAACATATCGCGTTGTATTTTTTCTAAATGTTCAGAGCAATGCGAAAAGCAATAAAAAAAACATTATATAAAATTAAAATATAAATAAAAATACCAATAAAAATGTAAAATTCAATTGAACTGAACAACCCTTTGTCTATGGTATAACATAAGTGGTAATTGCGTTTTTCTTCATCAAACATTAGTAACGATTAATTGTTCTAGATATTGTGTAGGAATAAGTGTCATGCCCCACCAACATAAAGGGAAGATCCTCCGACCAGGCGAGGTGATCATGCCTGGCAGGCCGTGGCCCAACGGTTGATTTTTCAAGATGTAAACATTAGACTTGCAACGAATAGTATATTCGGCAGTATACCGAATACCGAATATTCGGCGAGGCCCCTGACCGAATAGCCGAATATTAGGCAAAAGTATTCGGCAGGATTTTAGCGCCAAAAACTTGTACAGACGTGATTGTTTCGCGCTATTTTGTTTTGTTCTAATGTACTGATCGCCCGCGCGCCCGCTGTTGCTCTGCGCGATATATTGCTAACGCACTGCATGTTTCGACAAGTTCATTTCGTGGATATCGTATTACGTTAAGTACAGTTTATTGTGCTCTCTTAGTTTTGATCTGTTTGTAAGTGTGATAGTGTGAAATTTAACAAATAAACAATTAAATAATTACGAACGTACTTTAATAATAAAAAAATCGATTATGGCCTTTAAAAAAAAATCGCCTATATGGGCATACTTCGAGGATGATGTAAATGATCCAAAAAGTGCCGTGTGTAAACTGTGCGAAATAAAAATTTCTCGTGGTGGTGTTGGAAGAAAGGCGACAACATCGGGAATGTTAAATCATTTAAAAAATAAACACAATGAAGAATATTATAGGTTGGTACCCACGTTCCCTAAGGGGCAAGAAACTACAAATCAAGATACGAATGTAAGTACTCGTAATAAACCTTCAACGTCAAAAAAACAATTAACTCTTAAAAAAAATAGAGAAATAATATATTATTTCTCTATGACAAAATATATTATTTAAGTATTCGGTATTCGGCCGAATAATATGTAGATATTCGGTATTCGACCGAATATAATAAAAGCAGCCGAATAGGCCGAATACCGAATAGTAACCGAATATTCGTTGCAAGTCTAGTAAACATGCAAATCGGCGAGAGAATTCTTCACGTCACGGTACAGGATTAGCAATTCTCATCCAGGAGTTACTCTGTAGTTCGGCGTGTCTTTGTTAGATGGCGCTGTAGTATGTTTATGTTTCTTTGTATGAGGGAGTCGCCACAATATCATAACGCGTCGCCAGGTCAGCCAATAAATATTACTGGCTAGATTGAAATATTTTAGGGTTTATATTTGTAAATAAAAAATACTCTAAAAACACCCCTAAATATGACTATGAAAAGTCCTCACTAAACTCTATGCCACGTATTTACCCTCTAAATTAAGTGGAAAAACCCGTAAGTTGTGAACCCTGAGTTGCCTGATTAGGAGAAAATATTGCCATTATCGATATCACTTGGAGAGATTCCTTTAAATAATGAGTTAGTGAATGTAGGTACATTTCTTTTAAATATACTATAAATTGGTGATTTCAATGAAACAAAAGAAGAATTTAGTTTCATTTCAATAAATGAAATTAAATTGTCTGGTGATTATTAGGCTAACCACAACGGATTCTTTAATTTTGCGCATGAATTACATGCTGATAGTATTATGGACTTATAACTATCGACTTGGCTTCTTGACGGGATTAATTTCAGTAGCCTGTAGCTATATAAGTCTAAATTATTTGCTATCAAGAACAGATACCTTGACGATCAAACGATGGGTGGTATTACAATACTTTTATGAGGCGACTCGTCAGAAGTAAGAGCTTGTCTAAAGAGTTATTGGTTGTATTTCACACGGTTAGCTTTATGTGGCTCTGTCGCGTATTAGTAATCTTAGGAAACTGAATGCTTTGATCCCCTACGAATAAATACGGATTATACTTTGTATAGAGATGCATTATTGTAAATTAGATAATAGATTAATAGTATTGGAGATAAATTATTTATTTTTTTCAGCCACCTCTTAATTTTTATTCTATTAAATTAAATGTTATTATAGAAAAATTTATGAGAACTTTTCGGAGTTAGAAATTTACGCGGACAACATGTCGCGGAGAACAGCTGGTAATTAATCATTTATACATTTTATAAATTCAATACAGTTACAATGTTGTTGCCCTGCTACATTTTGACGATAATAAATTAAAAATCAATAATCAATAACTATCATATTTGATGCTAATAGCTTTAAAGTAAAAAAAATCATTGTTGACCTATTTAATAATTTAATTTTAGACAGTAACTACACACCTAGGTGGCCTATTTACTATGTCGGGGCACCAGGGCCTTCCTTTCTAGGGTATACCTGGTTCCCCGGCTATTAGTACCCGGCGAAGGCGTGCGGTTTTAGTCGGTTCGAGTCCGACATGCCACCGAGAGGTGGTATCCGAGGGGATTTCCGCACGGAAAAAAGAAAAAAAAAAAAAAAAAAAAAAAAAAAAGAGGTGGCCTATTTACAAAACTTTACTTACCACGCAACCTTCACGTACATCCCTCCATCTTTCAAAAGCTGAATGTTTATTTAAGTGTGCCATCACCAAATAAGTCTCACGCGAAACTTGAAAGCGGCTGTCTGTACTAAAGCTGTAATAACAAGCTCATGTAACGATTTTGTTTACATTTCAAATACGTCATACTCACTGATCTCCATGAAATCGTTCAACGCAACGGTGCGGAAAAGACTTTTCACAAATGAAGTGTGTCCGACAGGAAACGTTGCGTTTGAAAGGGGAGGTAAGGGGAGAGGGAGAGAATGTCACATTCAATGTTCCACTTGGTTTCATCTTATTTGACGGCTTAAAAGCGTTCTAGATTTAAATTTGCGCCAGTACGACGCCGATACAGAGCGCTGGAGTTCCCGTCGGGGAAGGAAAAAATGATTATGTCCGATGCTCTATGGAATACCGTAACCAGTTTTTTTTACAGATTCGTGTGTAAGAAAACCAGATATGTATGACAAAAAGTAAGCGGTTACGTACATCAAAAGAAAATTTAAGGAAGAGTGACATTGCTGACGCTTTGTTATACAGGGATTTTGCATCCTTATTTAAATTACATGTGTCTTTAGACAATATTGTCCAGTTACTTGAACTTTGCAATTTTCAGCAATGTCATAAACTTTCAAGTTTAGAACACTAGTATGCAAGTAAACTTTTAAAATGTAGAACCTTATTTATAATTTTATCTCAGGAGAAAGTGAATTCGTTCATAAATATCTATTATTTTTAGTAGTAAAGTATTACTAAGACGAGCAGAATACCGATTCAACTTTCGGTTTACTGCTAGGATACCTTCAATGACATTTGTGAGATCGAGGGTATATCGGAACTGAATTTTTAACGAATTTTATAACGAGAATTGATATTCTGGTGCAGGCCGCTGCTACTAAGAAGGTCTAACCAGCATTTATGGAAAGTGGAGTTTTGAAGGTTTAATCTCTACAGACAGGCATGATTCTTTATACGTTAAACAATTACTTATTTTACTTATAATAATAATTATAGTTGAACAATTTAGACCATCCGAATCAGAGTCTATGGCATAATTTGTGATGACAGTTGGCATCAAAACAAACGAAGGTCGGACACAGAGATGTATCTTCGAAACTCAATGACGTCTTCTGGTGATAGATGGTCACTCCGCTATGACAAATGTTCTCAGTTAATTGTTTAGTGTCGAGCTTTGTAGATAATAATCGTTGATTGATTGCAGTGGATGACAGTTTGCATGATGTGATATTAAAACATTAATCTAGTTTATAATGTGGACTAATTATTATTACTCATAAGATTAATAATAGACTTAAGATTTATACATTTCAGCGCCATCTAGTAGAGATCAGTCTACTTACGTAGTAAACCTGCATCACGCAATGTAATTTGTATAAATTATATGATAATAATAATATGATCAACTTACTAATACAACTGTTAAACTGTGTTCCGCAAGATGATATATGATCCCTAGTCTTCAGACCATCGTAAAATATTCTTATTGTAAATTAAAAAATCATTAACACCCCATAACGGGTTTTAAAGTGAAAGTCAAAATATATTTTTTCATAAAATATAATAATATTTGAAATCATCTTTAATGTAGACTCTAAAGTTATAGATCAGCAAATACAATACAATACCAAGAAACTGTTTTGTCAAATATTTAGTAAAATTAATCCAATCCATTATATTTCTGTGCCAACCTATAGCCACCCGTTGCCAGGTTGAGCCTTATGAGAAGAAAGGGCAAACAAACTCACGGCCATTTTTTTATATAAGTAAATTATATATTACTTGCTTTTGCCCGCAGTAAAAAGCCTATGTCTTTCCTCAAGAATCAAAGTATGTTCATACCTAATTTCATCTAATTCGGTTCCGCGGTTATTGATTCCCCATACAAACTTCCACCCCCCTTTTCACCCCCTTAAAGGATGATTTCTGGGATAAAAACTACCCTATGTCCTTTCCCGGGACTCGGGATATCTCTATACGAAATTTAGTCTAAATCGGTTCAGCGGTTACTCAGTAACTCAGCGGTTACTCAGTAACTCACAGAGAATAAGTAAATAGTGTACTTGTATGAAATAGGGAGGCAAAAGGTATTAACAACCACTTAAATCAATTGACGGGCATCTTGGTCTAGTGGTTATGGTTCCTTAGTACAAAGCCAGTAGTCGTGGGTTCAATTTCCCCTTAGGACAAATATTATGTGATTAGCATATAAAATATGCACGTATTCACGGCACGATGGACCTTCGACTTGAGGAAAATGGCTGGCAGCGGATGGATGCGGGCTGCCCAAGAGCAAGGTGGTTGGCACTCCTTGGTCTTCGTTCAGCCGTGAATGACGGTGGACTCATAATGGCAGTCGATTAGAATGATAAATTAAATGACGCAATTTTTGTTTTAAAACTGTAGATAACAAACTTGATAGCTCCAAGTGGTTGGAACTTCTTGAATTTCACGTAGGTACCTTACTCTGCCCGTTATTAAGGAAAACTTCATGTGTAAGAGACAATTCACATGTGTAAGATTCTGTAAGGTGTTAAAAAACTGCAGCGACATATTGAATATCAACTTTGATGCATTAAACAAGTATAAATCAGTTTTAAGCTCATTGCCAGTACAAAGATTGGCAAAGTTATTTGAATACCTCAGAATAGTTTGATCTGTTTCTTAGTGTGTTTTTATAATATTTAATCAATCAATCAACAGCCTTTAATAGTCCACTGCTGGACATAGGCATCTCCTTAGAAAGGAGGTTTTGGCCTACTATACCACGCTGGCCAGACGGGTTGATATAGGGCTTGTGTCAAGTTTTCCTTCTCTCTGCAGTGCTGTTGTTCTGCGTAGTTTGCTCCCTTAGTCGGCTCTTACGACACCCACGGGATGAATAGGAGTGGTGACACTCTGTATTTTTAATCCGTCACTACACGGACGTTATAATATTGTTTGTACTGTATTGTTAATGCTAATATTATTTTTTAATAATACATGCTGTGTGCATCTATAAGTAATTGTTACATTATGTTGCATAATATGGAATGTGTAATATATTTATTTAAAAATGTAAACAATTGTTGGCGGACCTTTATAAATAAATAAACCTCATTGTAGTGTAGTAGTGTATAATATTGAAATATTACTCAATAAATTATTATTATGGTATGTATAAAAGGAGATTCTTGATCGTAGTTACTTACATTCCAGGTAAGAGTGTGTCCCCAGAAGATTCAATACTAAAAGTAAGTTTATTCTCATTGTAAGTCATTTGTGTGAAAACGTCTTTAGCCGAGTTGAACGGTTTTTTGTAGGGGAAAAACTTACGATTGCGGCTATCGTGCGGAGCGAGAGTGCGTGGAACTCTGCCTTTAAAAGGAGACGTCCTTTTGCGAGCAAGTTATGCTCGCGAAGGAGACGGCGGAGCGGAACCGGGAGAGGTTTAGGGCTCTCCCGGCCCGCCAGGCCCGGGAACGGGCCAGGTACCGCAGGCGACTCAGGCGCCGGAGGTCGCAGAACGACCTCCGTCCTCCATAAGCTCAGGCCTGGGGGTGACAGGTGAGGCCATCTGTCACCCTAGCAGAAGCAGGCCGGGGTGGCGGCGAGCGCGTTGCGAAGCGCGCTCGCTTCCAGGGAGCACAGGGAACATGGGGTTCCCACACGGGGGGGGGGGGTCGTCTACTCGTCTGTAGATGACCCGAGGTATGTCGGGGCACCAGGGACTTCCTTTCTAGGGTATACCTGGTTCCCCGGCTATTAGTACCCGAGACGGCGTGCGGTTTTAGTCGGTTCGAGTCCGACATGCCACCAACAGGTGGTATCCGAGGGGATTTCCTCACGGAAAAAAAAGGGGAAAAACTTACGGGTTCGCGTCCTTATGACTGCCTCTGTCCATTCTGTTTCTTTTTTGTGTTTATGTTTGGTCACGATCAACCAACTTTAAGGAGGTCAATTTATGATTTTAAGAAACAATTTTGTTTTGCAATTTATTTTTGTTCTTTAAAACTATATTTTTGTGAAAAATATCAACACCATGCATAAAACACTACGATACCATACTTTAAATACAAACGTACTATTTGTCGTCGACCCAGATCTAAAGTAAAGTTTGTAATGGCATTTTAAGTCACCTCAGTTTTTTCTTGTCTATTGCCAATCAGGATGTAGTAGTCTTACAACATTTAGCTCGCATTTATTTGAGCACCATTAAAAACAAAACGACGGGTTGCACTCCGGGAGTGCCAGCAGAAGTGAAAACTTGAATATTAACGTTGTGCATTTTTGATATTTTGGAATGGTTAGGCAATAATTTTGCACGAACTGCTTTAATTATCAGTATAAAAGTACTATCATTTAAGTGGTAGAATACAATATTTATGTATTGCGCTATCGTACACAAACATGACAATTTATATTACATTAAAAAGTTTATCTCTCAGAAAAACGAACATTCGCGCAAGCGCCCTGCGCCGCCTAAACGAAACAGCAAGCGCAGGCGCAGGGATACTTCCTCTCCTACGCCGCGCCGGTTGTCTACTCTCCATCCGTCTTACGATATATAATGTTTTATACGTAACTGTCTTATAATTATCTATTCTCGTTTCTATTTACCACCTACGATAGATAGAAAATGTTGGTGATTAAGTTACTTCCACTTTTCAGTTTTTTGAAGTGAAAACTTTTTAAGCGGCGTTGTACACTTTTTTTGTAATGGGTAAAAAATGTTAAACTCGCGTCAGGACACGTGACCCTGATCGAAAATTACTCCCTTACTAGTAGTTTACTCCCTTAGTCGGCTCTTACGACACCCAATAGTGACCCGAATAGTGGTGGCGACACTCTGTATTATTAATCCGTCACCACACGGACCTAATGGTTTAATTAACGGAATTAATGGTTAGTGTGGAAATAATGCATTCAGAATGTTCTCTTCATTGTTTATGACGAGAATGCATTGCAGAGTAGTGTGATATTTTGCATAATAATCAACAATTTTTCTCCTTACAAATATCTGTATTATTGTTATTAATACCTATTTTCCTTTAAGGTTTTGGTCTGATATTTTTTTAAATCTATTTTGTTATTAGCTTACTTGTATATAAGTGAAGGCTTGTTATCGGCAACCTTTTTTTTTTTATTTTTCTTTACGTATAGAGTGTTATTAGTCTGTAAGCCTTCTTAAAATAAAATAAATAAATAACTCATTTACAGATGAGTCTACAACAACCCTTTCTGCTGATTCTGTGTGCCGTGGCCATGTGTTACGGGTCCGACAAAAAATATTGCGGCAGAAACCTGGCGAGGGCGCTAGCTCTGTATTGTTTCGAAGTCAACGTTGTGAAGAGGTCCGAGGGTACCATGTACGGTAAGTTATTTTATTTTGTGATATGTCACATAGTATGGTGACACCTGTAACCCAGTTTAATTTCCCCTTTCTAGAATTACGGCAGGGAGGGAAATTTCCTTTGGGAAAAACTGACTCGGTGAAAATCAACGAAAGGAATGCTTAACACCGGTTTTCTGTAAGGCTATGGTAGCACTCCGGTGGAGACGGCACGTTTGTGCATATTAAAGTATATACAGTATTTAAAATTTTGGAGACATATGTAATAACTTTAACTTAACCATATAATGAAATAATATATAACCTTATCTTAAGGATGTGTCGCACATATAATAAACTAGTCATGGAAATTATTGTTACTTTTAAATCATATTCATTGAATGAAATGATTGGTTTTGTCGCAGCCATTTAACAAGTGATTGTGATTTCGTTATGGACAAAGATAAGTAGAGTTAAAATTAATCAATATTCTTTTCATCAGAGATTACGACCTTTTGTTTTTTTTTAGATTTAGTCTCGCGAGTTTTGCGGTAGCGTAATAATAAAAATTAAGTAGTTGTGGTTTTGTAAATCAGTCACCGGTGTGATGAAATGCTTTTTAATTCATATGATTTATCATATGTGATTGTGATTTTTTTCTATCCCTATAACGAACTGGAATAGGACCGGATATGTGTGTGTATTTAATCGTAGATTCTCCCAGTACAAGAGGCCCATAACGCATATAACAAATGCTCAATGTTCGTAGTAAGGCTTTTAACTTTGCTCTCTTTTAATAATATAGTTTTAATTTTACGTATGCTGTATATACGTGTACTTGAGTAGCGTTTTTAAAAAAAAAGCGTGGCAAGTATCTGTATTTGCCAAATGTATTTTATTTTGCATTTTTATGTTGTGTATGCAAAATTTAGATCACTGTCTACACTTAATATGTACTTTTTTTTTTTTTCCGTGCGGAAATACCCTCGGATATGCCCCTATCCATGTGTGAATGTGGCATGTCGGACTCGAACCGACTAAAACCGCACGCCGTCTCGGGTACTAATAGCCGGGGAACCAGGTATACCCTTTTTTTTTTTTTTTTTTTTTTTTCTTTTCCCGTGCGGAAATCCCCTCGGATACCACCTATCGGTGGCATGTCGGACTCGAACCGACTAAAACCGCACGCCGTCTCGCGTACTTATAGCCGGAGAACCAGGTATACCCTAGAAAGGAAGTCCCTGGTGCCCCGACATACCTCGGGCCATCTACAGACGAGTAGACGACCCCCCCCGTGTGGGAACCCCATGTTCCCTCTGCTCCCCGCAACGCGATCGCCGACACCCCGGCCTGTTTCTGCTAGGGTGACAACCAGGTATACCCTAACTTAATATGTACCTATCTCCTACTATTTCCTGTGACAAGCAATGACAGTATTTTGTAAGCGTGCCTTTTAGAAATAAATACTTAAATAATAAAAAAACTAATTGTCTAAAACAAATGCCTTTGTGTCATGATTAGTAGAGACTGAACGCTGCCGTTGAATTAGTTCTATTTAATCCTTATTTACTTAGCTACCTTACCGTACTTAGCTATTAGCACGTTAAAGTATTCAGATTTAATAATGGTGTGCAAATTTACATTTGTGTTACTAATAGAATACGGTTAATGATAAATTATTGACTTGCTTTGACTTTACCTCCTGTACCTAAAGTTGAAATAATTCATTCACGGCGCTACCGATTTCTAACTTGTGAGTTTATTTATTTGAAAGAACAAACAATAGAACATTTTGTTTTCATATATGAATTAAAGATTTCGAATTTAACACGACAGAACATTCTATCAACTTTAAATAACAGAGAAAGTAAACAGACTGCAAGGACACAAACCATGCTATTGGCTTTTGGTATATTGTCTATCTAAGACATTTTTTTTTTCTACTTCATCAACAGCCTTTACTAGTCCACTGCTGGACATAGGCCTCTCCTTAGAAAGGAGGTATTGGGTTACTATACCACGCTGGCCACACGGGTTGGTATAGGGCTTGTGCAAGATTTTTTTCTTTTTACAGTGCTATTGTCCTGCGTTCTATGTTCCACTGTATGTATTTTAGTGCTCTTTGTTAGTATTGTTTGAAGTCGGTTCAATTGATTTTAAAAAAGGATTTCTCTTATTAACATATCTATATCAATTAAATTTATTTTTATTCTGTTTTCTTAATCCGTCACCACATCTCCGTGTGGATTGAGAATACAAAGTGTCACCACTCCTATTCATCCCGTGGCACCGACTAAGGGAGCAAACTACGCAGGGCAATAGCACTGCAAAGAGAAGGAAAACTTGAAACAAACCCTATACCAACCCGTCTGGCCAGCATGTTACAGTAGGCCAAAACCTCCTTTCTAAGGAGAGGCCTATGTCGAGCAGTAGACTAGTAAAGGTTGTGGATGATAGAGTAAATAATTCTAAACTACAATATTAACTTTGCGTTTATTCCCAACTTCTGCGATTATTACCACATGTAACTTTGAATATTTTCTCTTTTTCAGGTTCAATTCTTGCCCCCTTCTATAAGGAACTAGAGGAACCCGGATTTAGGTTGCTGTGGCCCCATTTCAAAACAAGGTCCTTGGCGCTCCCTTCGAAGGGTAAACGGCTCGTTGTTGAGGAATGCTGCAACAAAATATGCTCAATTGCTAAGTTGCAATCTTTCTGTTACTAGGCCTAGAGTAATTACTTGAACAATAAATAATATTTAGTAGAAAGACAAACAATCAAACAAACGCTCTTTAGCTTTATAATATTAGTAAAGAAAAGAATATATATAAGAGGCGAATCAGAGAATTTTAATTTTAATTATTTACGATTTACTGAGCTGATGTCTCTAGAGTTTTTTTCTTCGTAACAATTAATGAGAACGCTTTTAGCCTAGTAGTCAAAATTGACTAAGTAATTTAAATAATATTTTAGAATATTCGAATAGATAAAACCTATTTTTTAGAATAGATAATTATTCTTACAAACTTTAATGGACGTACATAATTTATTTAATAGGTCAAATATTCATTAGGCTGAGTCTTTCTGAAAACAAAACAAATGTTGTATTAAAATGTTTTACCTCTTATATCTAAATCAAAATTAATCTTAACATTGCCAAACACTACGCGAAACAATGTTTTTCTGTAATATTTATTGAACGTTACATAAATCCTTTCAAATTCATAAATTATTATAAGCGAGCTAATGATCCCCTGATAGTGAATAACAGTTTTGACAGTCATTAATGTGGATTTGATACTTTTTATCTTAAAATAAATATTGTTTGTGAGTGGAAATATTTTAACTAGCAGTAAATTTATTTTTGCTTCAATATTTATAGCTTAAGCTTAAAACATGGGTATAAGTCTGGGAACTTTAAAAAGCTATAAATATTGTTTACTTCTAACACGTAAACGTTGTCAGCTTTAAAAGGCTATAACTTGGAATTACGGACTTTGTTATTTTAACTGAAGCTGAAGCTGAAAGTTGAAGCAATAATTAATATAATTAGTATTGGTTACTTCGACCATTTCTATTTATCTAACTGTGAGAGAGCTATGGAACTATGCTTCGTCATAAATGGACCGGCTCGAGTTTATTATTCGAGCCGTTCCATTTATGACGAAGTCCATTTATTTTTTCTGTGAGATTGTCTTTCACTCCCCCCTCCTGATTCTGTATCTCTCCCTGATGCTGAGGAGGGGAGGGGTCCATATGTAAAAGAGCGGTGGTAGTTACTTACAGTACAAGTCTTCTTTTTTCCTCCCTGCTCCATAAAAAAACACAAATTTTAATGAGTTTCTAGTAAAACCTTCATGCAAGAGACATTTTCTTTCTTCAATAAACATCTCCACTCGAATTGTAACTCAGACTACAGCAAGGAGAATTTTTAATGGCGGTATTCATGCATAAAACTTTTAAAACCTAGGCTTTTTCATTTGTATCTTTTTGATGTTAATTGCATCTGCTCGTAATAATCTCTTTGTTTACGCCCATTACGCAAAAGGAATCTGAAATAGGATGCATACCTTTACACCGATGTATTCTCACTTCATGCGGCTGTGATTTCATTCGGTTAGCGTTCCATTACTCGATTATTTTACCTGTATACTAAGTGTAGGTGAAGATAAGCGGTAATGGTTACATGATTTTTGGAGGTGAGTATTTGGGATATGCTTTTGCGGTTGCTTGATGTTGCAATATGGTACTAGGTATGCATTTGTTAGATATAATGCATTCAAGTCACGCCGTACTCTAGGCGTTTGCCGGCGACAGCGAGTGCATTCGGTTTAGCATAAAGTTTCTTTACTGTATCTGGCTTTTGTTGACACTTACTTCGTACTTAGAGATTCTGTTTAAACGTAGTTACTATACATTTCTTGAGAGCTTTATAATATGGGTTTATGATTACTTAAATTATGTTTTTGTTTAATAATATCAGGGACTAACGAGGAGATTGGTCATCTGATAGGGTATACCTGGTTCCCCGGCTATTAGTACCCGACACGGCGTGCGGTTTTAGTCCAGTCCGACATGCCACCGATAGGTGGTATCCGAGGGGATTTCCGCACGGAAAAAAAGGGGATATGATGGCTGCCTGATTGCATTAAGATGCTATTGGGCCGCCATGCCGCGATTGTAGGGGAAGTGTTTTTCCTCCGTCATAATGCCTGACTAGGCATGGTTTCAATTCCGGGAGGCCCTGAAATAACATGGGCCTCCCCGAGTTAGGGCATCTGCAGACGATAATTGTTCCCCAGTTTGGTTAGGGAAGGCAAAAAGTTACTTGAAAAGGGCACGAAGAGTTGTACGTCTTGATGCTATGATGGGATGAGGGAAAATAGACTGAGGTCACGGTTTCGGTTCCAGTTCAGTGCTAATTTGTAAGATTTAGAATATCTGTTTGAATACGTCTTGTGTATTCATTTTTAATGATTAAAATATTTATTTATCTTATTGGCGAAACGCTAAAAATCTAAATAAGCGGTGTGAACGCCTTTTTGATTAAAGCCAAAACTTTGACATAATCCTAAAATATTTAAAAGAAGATTTTTTTTTTAAGATATCTCTCCCAGTAATGAACTGTACTTTTCATACCTTAATTTTACACCATTAGAGTTTTTTTTTCCTTTAAATGTTAACGAGACTAAATGGGAAATATACTCTTCTAATTAAAAGAAAAATACAAATACATTCATAAAAATACAACCAAATTGCCTGTCACTCCCTATGTCGAGTAAATAGAAAAGAAAAAAAGAATAGTAAATTTTATTTTAATGCTTTTAGAAATAAAATATAATGTCAAACAAGTTTTCAATCTTGCTTGTAAATTTATTATCTGTTGTAACAGAAGGCAACCTCGTTATTAGGTAACCTCATTTAAATTTTGTAAAAAAAAAGAACGAACAGTTTAAAAGTTAATGTTTTATAAATTTTATCTAACAATTATTAATTTTGAATCTTAATATTTCTTATATGTATCCACTCAAGAGCGGCTCATGAATATATTAATTATCTCTGAAATTTGAAAAACAAATTTTAAAACAAGTTTTTTTTTGTAATATCCAAATCTGACTGCACGGATGGCATAGTGGCTTAAGCGGTCACTTACCGATTCCACTGCGCTGAATGTTGTGGGTTCGGGACAATACTTTGTATGATCCACAAATTGTTGTTCTGAGTCTGGGTGTTTTTTGTGCTCATTTCATGTATGTCTGTAAAGTCAGAGTATATTCGTAATGCGGCAGTTGCCTGAGCCTGCCTGAGTTGAAAAATAACAATTTTTAACCGACTTCAAAAAGGAGAAGGTTATCAATTCGGATATTTATATATTTTTTTATGTATGTTCGAGCATAACTCCGTCATATATAGACGGATTTTAAAAATTCTTTTTTTTTGTTTGAAAGGGGTTTATGCCGAAATAGTCTCATTTAAATTTCTTATAGATCATTTAGACGTATGAAACCTGAACAGAAGGTCAATTCAAAAATTTTGTTCAAAATTCAATGCCGATCTAGTCTCGATCTCACAAATTTCATAAAAAGTATTCTCGTAGTATTTAAATATCAAATGTTGACTGTAATGTGATTATATAATACTGTGACCGAAAGTTGAAGCGGTCTTAGTAATACTTAACTAACCTTTTCGAAAATATCAAAGCCTTCTTAATCAAAACAAGTTCGATGTAACACAGAGGTGTTTAACTAGGTTGTCAGCTATATAATTTATGAAAATTGAGTTAGTGTTGATCCAAACTCTATTAAACTTTGGGACCTTGTTATAAATTTTGAAAGCAAACTATTGTATCTACCCCGTGCGGACTCTTTACCTAAAAACATACTAATGAATTTTGGTGTCACTCTTTGAAAGGTTCATTTCTATTCGTATCACAAATACCACCGACCAACTCAATGATTAAGTTTATTAAATTTATAGGTTACTAGGTTTCACTAGGCGTGTTATCGCGGTAAACATTTCCATTGGTGAAGGAATTTTTAAAATCAGTTCAGTACTTGCCTAAACTACTGAAAGCGTAACAAACAAATAAACTCACTTGCAATTTTTAATATAAGAATGAATATAAATTAATTAATTAATATAAATATATTATTTGTCGTGGGTTCGACTCCCACCCAGGACAAATAATTGTGTGATGAGCACGATCATTTGTTCTGTGTCTGAGTGTAATTTATCTATATTATGTATGTATTTAGAAATATATAAGTATGTTTATCAGCAGTCTGATTACCATAGTACAGGCTCTGCCTAGTTTGGGATCAGACGGCCGTGTGTGAGATGTGTGAAATTATTATTATCATTATTATTTATTATTAATATTTAGTTTTAGTAACGTATGCTTAGTCATTTCACATCAAATCAACAGCCTTTAATAGACACACGCTGGCTCTGCACCACCGAGGTAATCGATAATAGCCGATATGGCCTGTAATTAATTTGTTATTATTATAATTAGATGAGATAATCATGCATTTTCATACATACATTAGTCACATCATCATCATCAACAGCCTTTAATAGTCCACTGCTGAACATAGGCCTCTCCTTAGAAAGGAGGTTTTGGCCTACTATACCACGCTGGCCAGACGGGTTGGTATAAGGTTTGTGTCAAGTTTTCCTTCTCTCTGCAGTGCTGTTGTCCTGCGTGCTTTGTTGCCTTAGTCGGGTCTTACGACACCCACGGGATGAATAGGGGTGGTGACACTCTGTATTCTTAATCCGTCACCACACGGACCACATACATATTACATTAGTAATAATTAATAAAGATACCTGAGTAATCTCTACTCGTATAACCGTTTAAGATGTCTAAGTCGTGTCAGGAACCTGTAATAGGAATATTGGTTACGACCCTTGAAGTGGAAGGCTAAAGTGCTTCCCGATGCATCGTCAGTACCGAGGCTGTATCTGATGTCTGCGATCACTTTGGCATTTACATTGGACTACAAAAGTATGGAGAAGGCAGTTTTGTAGTATAAACAAATATTTATTAAATATTTTGTAGTCATATTTTCCTCCAAATTCGATCCGTTTGAGAAATAAAATTATCACGTACGTAAACTATATTCTTTATTTACCCACTCTTCAACAGCCCCTAACAGTCCACTGATGAACATAGGCCTCTCCTTACAATGGAGGTTTTGGCCTACTACCACTCTTAGTGGT